TTAAGAGATTTGCATTGTCTATCATAGAAAGGTCAAAAGTTGTCATAGTGATTGTAAGTAACACCTAATCAAGACAATGGCATTGTTAAAAAAACTATTTCATCGTACTTGTGTGAAAGAACAAGTAAAATATAAAATTAAAATAATTTCATCGATGTATAAAGCATATGTTTATAACCTTAAGTACATATATACATATATATATATATATATATATATATATATATATATATATAGGTAAGTACAAGTAAAAAATGCTTAATAATACAATGTGTAATGTAAATATTACATAGTGAGTTTAAATAATGGGGTGAAGGCAGTGACGTCACAGATTACTGTAAAAAATGGAGAATGACAGATGGAAGTGGAAGCAAGTTATATATGAGAAGGCAGAAGGTAGCCAGCCGCCTAGTAAAGAGGATCGAGAAAAGAATGTGAAAACGTAACCTAACAACGTGGCACCCAACTAGCGTGGCTTTTAAATTAAACATCTGTAGCCACGACAACTAAACACACTATCCTCTTGAATTTTTGTTTTTTCACTTTACTATTGCTTTAAATAAACAAAATGGTATTTAATAGTGAGGCAAAAGAAAATTTGGGAGTTCCAGATGGGTCAAAAGTTAGTTTGTATGGGGAAAATTCAGTAGTTAAATATTAGGAAAGTATTGCGCAGGTCCAAGTAGCCAATAAACCAATTCAAATTAATGACGCTGCTAACGCTAGAGTATCAGCAACTCAATCAGATACTAGTCGGCTTTAATAAATTAAAAAATGGTTTCAAAAATTTAAAATCGGAAAATATAAAACAATTTTATTAAAAAATGGAAAAAATTTCAAAATATTTACAACAGAATTAAGAAAGGAAAACAGTAGAAGGGCGAAACAATGAGAAGAAAGATTTGAAAAGTTTACCGTTAATAATAACCAAAAATATCATACTGACATAAATGATTTAAAATAAAATCTCAATAAAGAGATAGTATGCCTGGAAAATAATTTTAAGAAAAGACAATAATAAATCAAATAAATGTATGTCAAGAAGAAAATGGTAAAATAAACGACAAACTTGAATTCCATACGCAATTTCACTTTCATAAGACTTATCATTTTTGAGCTAGACTGATACCATACATACACACAGACCATTTTGCGGGACTCGGTTATTTGGACTCAGGAGATTTCAAAACATATAATTCCTTTGAAAACTCAGACTCGAAAATTTTCATGTTCGCTATACTTACCCTTACTTATATAGATAAGTGAAAGAAAAAAAGATGGCATAAAAAAATATTGGACCATTTGGCCTATATAACCTCGTTATTTTGACATGTTGGCGTTGGAGGTCACACCAAACAGTCAAATATTTTTGTAAGCAATCTTTTTTCTCAATTTTATGATCAAATTATCTAATGATTAAAATTGAAAGCAAATGGATGTTCATAAATATTTAGTACCTAATTAAATAGACAAAGTTTACCGATCTTAAGATTGACAGATAGGGAAATAAGTTGTAGGTTACGATAAGATGAAGTTATGGGTGGATATTAATAATTTAAAAATTTACAATAATGGGTCTGTAACACGGACTAATATTGTGTTGTAGTGTACAAGGTAATAAAGGAGAAAATATTATGTGAATACATTACAAAAAAAAATTTATTATAACAGTTTAGACAGTCGATTGAATATAGTAAGCAGTGTTCCAATTATTATCGACATTTTTTTTTCTTTAAACACACAGAAAGGTAGTGACAAAGATAAAATATTTTAACAAGACTGTTATTTCTAACAATTTTTTAGCGACAATCACAACTGGACCTAAAATGTGTGAAAGGCTATAGTCGGTGGGCCAGACCCCCCAACCGTGCATCCCCTCCCCCTCCCCCTCCCCCTCCCCCCGACATCCTCCTATAAATCGCATATCGTTGTGTTCCTTGTAACTATGTATTAAAAAAAAGCCAATGTTCCCACTAAAAAAAGTGAACAGACTGCCCCAAAATGGCGTCCAAACATGGCGGATTGACGACTTTGACTTTAGTTAATTTTTCTGTTACTGAGAATCAGAATTTGGCTTAATTTCATCATAGTTGGGCTTTTATTAAAGCTGAATAGTCAGAGAATAATAAAACATGAAACAATATTAAAAATTAATTCACTTAGGCAATAAAAAACACCATTAAAATGTATTTTTTTAACAAACAAATTTTCAATTTGAAAATCAAACGTCGTTTGTAATTAAAGCGCCAACAATAACGCAAAACGAGCTGAAATAAAACATCTGAAGAATATATTTCTCTTTCTAAAACACTGATTACTTTTTAAAATATTTGCAGTAGTTCCGTAGAAAATGCACTTGAGCGGCAGAAAAGCGGTACTAGCGTAGGTGCCTTCAGTCCTCTACCACGCCACTCAGTACTCATAAATGGTTTAGTTGTAGTGCTATAATAACGTTTTTGTTACATTATATTGATTGTATTAACGAACAAATATTAATACAATAATTTAATTGTAAAAACAAAATTAAAACATTTTTTTTTAAATTTATTATTATTATTTTTTAATTTAACTTCCTCTATTCTATACGGAGGTCGTTTAAGAAGGCCTCTATTATACAAATTATATAATTATAATAATAAAACTTAATTCAAAAATACTTTGCTGAATATCTTGAATTTTTTATTTGATTTTAGCAATTTAACACTTTGTTTTATATATTTACTGATTCTTAGAAGTAATTTAAATTATATATACTTCCCCTGAAATGAGTCATATTAATACCTGTTTTATAAACTAAAATAATATATACTTAATCTGAACTACATATAATGAATAGTTGATGAGTTGTTTAGTAAAATTCATATATCACTATAAAAAAAATCATTTTTATTTCCTTTATTTTGTTCGAAAGTTGGACCATATCATAAAAAAAAGAAGGAAATTTTAACATTGAATGTATTGTTGTCTCGGCACAAAGAAAGATGGAAAGGGCGAATTTTATAAGTTATTCTAGGTAACTAGAACTGATTGTTAGCATTTGGTCTCAAAATGATCAAAAACGCGAAATTGGACTCAAACATTGGAAAAATACATTAAGCGAATGACAAAGACAGTGCCAAAATCTCGGAAAAGAAAACAAGGATCAGTATCCATTATATGGCTAAACAAATCATAGTAGATAGATGAATAGAATATTTCAAGATGTTGCTAAAAGGGAGTCAAAATACTGGATCAGTTTGGGTGATATTAAGCAGGTTTATTATGGTGAAGACCATTTGATCAGCAAGAAAGATTTGTTCTAAGCAATTGGAAAGTCAGCAGGTCTGGCATTACTGTTTAGTGTACCAAAGAAAGTCTACTCAAAAATCGTAGAAGCTAGAATAACAAATAGTGTCGATTGCCAGAGCGTTATAGATTGAGAAACTCAAGTTGTACATTGGAACGTAAGTTGCAAATTGGGACTGTCTTCACATTAAGGCAGGTTATATAAGTCCATATAAAAAGAAAAATAGCTCTCTATCTGCTTAGTGCCGCACACTTTGGATTGTGCTAATATCTACTAGTCTTTCAGAAAAGCTCGTTTTCTTTTCAGATTCCTTAAAAATCTTTTGCAAACACTAAACAGAAGGAGAGCTATTTTCCATTCTCGATAGACCTCTCTATAACCTGTTTCAAAGTGAAGATAATCCCAATGGGCAAATTCAATAGCAATCGAAAATAAAGTGGTTTTCACCATAATAAACCTCTTTTACTTTCTCCAGACCTGCTGACTTGCCATTTGCTTAGAACAAATATTTCTTGCTGATAAAATGGTATTCACCATAATAAACCTGCTTAATATCATCCAAACTGATCCAGCATTTTGACCCCCTTTTAGCAGGATCTTAAAATATTCTGTTCATCTGTCTACTATATATTCGTTTAGCCATGTAATGGATACTGATCCTTGTTTTCTTTTCCGAGATTTTGGCACTTTCATTGTCATTTGCTTAATGTATTTTTCAATGTTTGAGTCCAATTTCACGTTTTTGATCATTTTTAGACCAAATGCTAACAATCAGTTCTAGTTACCTAGAATAACTTATAGAATTCGCCCTTTCCATCTTTCTTTGTGCCGAGACAACAATACATTCAATGTTAAAATTTCCTTCTTTTTTTTATGATATGGTCCAACTTTCGAACAAAATAAAGGAAATAAAAATGATTTTTTTTATAGTGATATGTGAATTTTACTAAACAACTCATCAACTATTCATTATATATAGTTCAGATGAAGTATATATTATTTTAGTTTATAAAACAGGTATTAATATGACTCATTTCAGGGGAAGTATATACGATTTAAATTACTTTTAAGAATCAGTATATATATAAAACAAAGTGTTAAATTGCTAACATCAAATAAAAAATTCAAGATATTCAGCAAAGTATTTTTGAATTAAGTGTTATTATTATAATTATATAATTTGTATAATAGAGGCCTTCTTAAACGACCTCCGTATAGAATAGAGGAAGTTAAATTAAAAAATAATAATAATAATAAATTTAAAAAAAAATGTTTTAATTTTTTTTTACAATTAAATTATTGTATTAATATTTGTTCGTTAATACAATCAATATAATGTAACAAAAACGTTATTATAGCACTACAATTAAACCATTTATCAGTACTGAGTGGCGTGGTAGAGGACTGAAGGCACCTACGCTAGTACCGCTTTTCTGCCGCTCAAGTGCATTTTCTACAGAACTACTTCAAATATTTTAAAAAGTAATCAGTGTTTTAGAAAGGGGAATATATTCTCCAGATGATCTATTTTAGCCCGTTTTGCGTTATTGTTGGCGCTTTAATTACAAACGACGTTTGATTTTCAAATTGAAAATTTGTTTGTTAAAAAAATATATTTTAATGGTGTTTTTTATTGCCTAAGTGAATTAATTTTTAATATTGTTTCATGTTTTATTATTCTCTGACTATTCAGCTTTAATGAAAGCCCAACTATGATGAAATTAAGCCAAATTCTGATTCTCAGTAACAAAAAAACTAACTAAAGTCAAAGTCGTCAATCCGCCATGTTTGGATGCCATTTTGGGGTAGTTCGTTCACTTTTTTTTGTGGGAACATTGGCGTTTTTTTAATAAATAGTTACAAGGAACACAATGATATGCGATTTATAGGGATGTGGGGAGAGAGGGGGTAGAGGGGTCTGGCCCACCGTGTACTACAAGAGATGAACAACACTGTTCAGGCATCTTCTGATTTTTTAAAAAATAATAACATGCAAAATTCAAAATGCATGATTAGATAAAAAAAAAATAATAAATACAATAAATGTAAATCTGTTTGCTATACAGGTATCCAACATATAAAAAATATATAACATAATTTATAAAAAAAAAAAAAAAAGAAATAAAAAAAAAAAAAAAAAAAAAAACTTATATTAAAATCACATTTTCGGTCACTGCCGTTCGTATAATAAATCCATTCTTGTGGTGACCTAATATTAACCAATCCTGAAACTGCCCGACACTCGCGACACAACACTCATGTTACCACTTCGCCCTCTTCGACCAATCTTTTGGAGTCCAATGGAGACACTTTGGGTCTATTCTGATTTTGCGCTTTTCCATCGCTTTGTGATGCTGATCTATCGTATCTTTACTAAGCGTTATAATGTATTGTCCTTTGTAGTAATTGATGAGATTTAAATTTTGTAGCGTAGATATGACATCTTCTTTTTGTATACTCGTAAGTTCACAAATTTCCCTAAACAATTTTTTTTAAATCTATTATCATATAAATAATTGACTGAAATAATAATAGTAATATCACACATTTAAATTTTAAAAAAAGTAATCAACTCAAAAATTCTAAGTCTTAAGTTAACAAAAGAAATCAAATTTAAATGTACACAAATAATTGAGTGGCCTTATATTAAAGACAGACACCTGTCATTTAAATTTGACAAATAATTTTTTTTTTAATCTAGCTTAAATTTAAACCAATTCCAATGATTTTTTCATGATTCAACTTGATGTTTCTCAAATAAAATCATCATAAACAGTTTAAGTTAAACCAAGAAAACAAAAATTGACTTTTGAATACGTGATGGTTGACTGCTGTATATTATTGAGTACGGAGATGGTCCGTGGGTGAAGGTCATAAAAAGAATGAAAAATTAAAAAGACTATTTTTATTTCAAGCCAACGTTTTGACTCAACTAACTTTGCAGGTCTTCTTCAGGGCTAAAACGAACAAGATACAAAAGGATATAAAATGTGAAAGTTACATGATATAAAGTTATTGTGTAACTTTCACATTTTTCTATCCTTTTGTTTCTTGTTCTAGTCCTAGAGCCCGTGGCCAAAAAGGTATCATATTTCATACTAAGCTTTGTTCTTATAAAGTGATCATATCCACAGGTCTGATGAGAAAAATGCACGTCTGCCAGCATATAGCCACTGGAATACAAAATGGCGGTCATGTGAAGATAGATAGAGACCCTACATAGGTTGTAAGTGTATATACACAGGATGGTACAGGATGATACCTGAAGAACAAGCGGGGTTTAGAAGTCGTAGAGGATGCACAGACCACATTTTCACACTAATGTCACTAGTTGGTATTAAATTTAGATCCGAAGGCAGCTACTTATATGCTGCATTTATTAGACTTCCGGAAAGCCTTCGACTCCATCAACCATAACCTGCTATGGTAAAAACTCTTTTCTCTCGGACTTGGAGGAAAACTTATAAGGATAATGAAGGTGCTGTACGACAATGCTACAACTCAAATTGCAATCAAAGGACAACTATCGGAAAGCATAGATATAACATCTGGCCTGTTACAGGGAGAAAGTCTTAGTCCAACACTTTTCGTCTTGTTCATATCAGATATAATCCAATTTTTTCAGCATAATGGAGCCAAAGGCGTAAGCATCGATAGCACTCATCAAGTAAAAATGCTCTTACTAGCAGATGATATTATTCTTCTTAGTAATACTTGGCAAGAAGCACAAAAGAAACTGAAGATCCTGCAACAGTACTGTGAGAAGAACTCCCTGACTGTAAATGAGGAAAAATCAAAAGTTGTAGTATTCCATAAATCCCCTAGGATGAAGAAACTTAGGCCCGTTTACTTGTATGAGAAAAAGCTGGAATACACTAAGGCCTATACTTACTTAGGAGTACCTTTCATTTCCTTAGGAAAATTAGTAAGACATCTGAGCATTTTATACAGAAGTCCTCAGTTGCCACGGGAAAAGTATTGGAGATTTTGCGAAGGGGTAGAAGTGATTCATGGGAGACAAAAATAGCTCTTTTTGATTCCATGGTGTCTTCAACCCTTCTGTATTCTTCTGAAATATGGAGCTTAAGATACCTGGATGCTATTGAAGTGGTACAGCTGAAGTTTCTGAAGCAACTATTTAGGTGGCCAAGGAATACTGCCAACTACATTGTACGTCTCGAAACTGGCCGAAACGCCTTGAGTGTCAGGGTTATGAGAAGGATCATAAATTACTGGTATAAATTGTCACTTATGCCTGAAGAGAGGTTACCAAGGCTTTGCTTCAACAAATTAATTTTGCTGGATACAAGGAATCCTGATATAAACTTTAACTGGATCACACAAGTCAGATCAATAGCTGCTCATTATGGCTGTAAAGAAGAGTTCGATAAAGTATACCCAACTGGATTATTAAAATACAGCGATGAAATATTGGAAAAGCTAAAAAACCATTACCTATCTAAGGACATCCATTTATCCATAAATTCCAACAACAATCCCATATATAGAACTATTTCCAGCTTCAAAATTTCTAGCCCAGAGTCCTATTTGATCTATAGAGCTAACATGAAAAAGCTAAGATCAATAAGTCGGTTAAGGGTTTCAAATCCCAAATTAATTAAGCTCTATACGAAAAACAAAAGTTTCTACTTCAAAGCCCAGGAAACCTGCACTTTCTGTAACCAACTCATTACTAACAGCCTGTTCCATATCCTTCTGTACTGTGAAAAGACAACAGACACAAACATTTACGAGCATTTCTCTCTGCGCAAAGTGATGTAAACAAGATACAAGACATACTTCGAATCGATAACATAGAGAAACTTAATAAAATTTACTGGTACATAATGTCAGCGTGCAATTCACTGGATTCCTTAAGCTCTGATGTTCCACACACCAACCAAGTGCTATGACTAAGGATAATTGTTGGTCAGTTCAATTAATTGTTTGTTTCTTTTTTATTTTTTGTTTTTATTGATAATGTAGATAGAAATTAATTGGAATGTAATAAAGTATTATTGTTTAGTTATTGTTTTTATAATAAGTCAATGTACAGTTAGGATAAACTAGACTCATGTAGGTGAAATAAAGTTATTCATATATGTATCATTTGTACAAGATTGTAAAATAATCTGTAACAAATAAATTCAATTCTATTCTATACACAGGATGGTTTGTAATTGCACGGCACTATTTTAGGTATATGTTCACTAAAACAAAATAAACGAAAAATTTCATATTAGCATACATCTCAAACTCATTTATTAAACAGATATAAAAAATTAAAGATTTATTATTACTATTTATTTATTATTATTACAACATTTAGAGTAACTGTTCACTTTATATATATATATATATATATATATAAAGTGAACAGTTACTCTAAATGTTGTAATAATAATAAATAAATAGTAATAATAAATCTTTAATTTTTTATATCTGTTTAATAAATGAGTTTGAGATGTATGCTAATATGAAATTTTTCGTTTATATATATATATATATATATATATATATATATATATATATATATATATATATATATATATATATATATACACTTTCATTGGAAGTGGGTAAAAATGATTTAATAAATTAATGTAACAGTTACAAAGCAAGCTAATCTAGTTCTACTAGTTCAGAGAAAAGAAAATAGCTGCTCTGTAGTTTCTCCAAAAAGGAAAATCCCAAAGAGAGGATGGTACAAAGGATTTTGTTTTGGCAAGTTGTTGTTTGGCTGCAGTGAAGAGAGGATAGGAGAAGGGATTCTGGCTCTAGTGGGTAAAACCCAGTAACAGTATTACCATCTTGGAAGATGTTGTTTGACAGAGCCACTGCTTGTTTGGAAGTACAAGAGAGAGGATCTCCCAGGGAGCTTGAGTTGAGTAGAAGATAGTGTAGTGTCACCAATTTGGAAGTGATGTTTGGCAGAACATTGGAAAGCATTTGAAGGCAAATGAATTTAGTGCAACAAAGGAAGAAATAGTGTATATAGAAAAAAGGTTAGCTTGCCAATTCATACTTGACTTTATTTTAAAATCAGTGTTTAATTTTAGTATAAATAATAATAGTTTATCTGAGTGTTTTTGTTTTGATCTGATAGTCAGTAACCCATACCTGGCATAAAATAATTATAAATTTCAATTTAATATATTATTACTCTTATAATTTTGTTTATTATTTAATAACCTTTTATTTATTTGGAAGTATCCCAACAGTATAAAGTGATCTTCCACAAGTTTATGTTACAATATATATATATATATATATTTATATAATGTAAGCCAATTTTTATATATGTATGTTGTCTTATATTCAGATTAAAAGAGCTGTATCAAATATGTCACTTTTTTTGGCACAGGCTGCCGGATTATTCGTTTTAGCCCTGAAAAAGAACTGCAAAGTTGTGTTGAAACGTTGGCTTGAAATAAAAATACTTTTTTCACTATTTCAGTCTTTTTATGAGCCCCACACCGGACTATCTTCTTACTAAAAAATTGACTTTCTATCAACTTTCTGAAAACGACAGGTGTCTTTCTTTAATACAATGCCACTCAACTTAAGTGTGGAAATACACTAATCTCAATTATTCTTTTTAAATTATTTTTTGTTTCAAATTCTTAAATCGAATAAGCCTTCAAGAAATTAATTTAAATCGACATTGATACATGGAAAAAATTAAATAACAGAATTTCACAAGACAATATAACAATAAAATAATTACATTATAGTGATTTGAGGTCTTTCATTATCGCCAGTAGGTTTTAAGGAGACAAGAATTTCAAGTATCGTTTGTGCCCAATAACTTCTGTACGACAACAGACCAAGATCTGAAAGTGGCTTTTCCGGTGAACCAGTTTTCCCTTCAAATTTTGATAGTTCATAACCTGAAAACATAAAAATGTAATCAACAACAAAAATAATATAATTACATGATACAAAAATTAAGAAATAATTTTATATTTTGAAAAACAATTATTTAAATATTTCAGATGTTCAAGGTGGCGATGAAAAAGCAAGAATATAATTAAAACTATTTAATTTAAATTAAATACAGGAAAACTTCCCATTACCGAAGGGGAATCAAATTTTGGGCTGTTTTTGAGAAACTGGAAGTAAAATATATAAAAATAAAAACTAATGGATTAAAATTCTATTTTATAAGTCATATAAATGAAATTGTTTACTGATTAAAAAAAATAAATTTAATTTTTCAATAATAGTGCACACATCTTATACATTATTTCTGAATATATATCCTTTTTGCGGCTCTCAGGAGTGATGGATTTTGATGAATGAGGTATCAATTGAAAAGGAATATCACGTAGAATGCGCAAATTGTAATTTTGAATCATAATTTTATACTAGGACTTAAATAAAAGTGGGAGGTTTCAAACCCTGTGATGGTGGCATCTCAACGAATCGAGACGTTACGAAAAAATTTCATAATTAGTGAATAGCTCAAAAAGTACACAATTTTTGATCCACTATACATGAGTATTTGAAACCTTACTAAATTCCCAATAAAACGTAAAAAGAATCATCAAAATCATGAACAGCTATGCCTGATAAAATATATATATATATTTTTTTTTTTACAACCAAATTTATAATTGGCATACAGCCATAGTACGAGTAAATGGGTTCAAATATTTTTTTAAGGAGAAACCAAGTTGAGATATGTATTTTGCATCTCTGAAAATCTCAAAATACAAATTTTCATAGCAATAAAAAAAAGTTCACCAAATATAAGCCAAAAGATTCCAATTTTTTTTTTTTTAAATTAATTATATTCATTTTTTTTAATTTATATAATTTTGTCTTTAAACACTTTTTGGAATGTTAGTCAATGTGCTTCAATTAGATTAGATTTTACTTTTAGATCTTGATAACTGAAGTTTATCATTTTGAAAATACACTTTTGATTTATTTTTAATGATAAAGTAACAAACATCCTGATTGGCTTAACTATTCCTTCCTGAGAATTTGTCAATTTGTAATAATCCAATGAAGAAAAAAGCTAATATTTAAATTATAAGTTTAAAGAAACGCAATGGTTATACCATGGCAGAGAAATCATATTTATAAACTGATCTTACTAAATATATGTTGTGTATCAAATATTACTGAATGGAAGTAGTGCGGAGCCCTTAATGTATTAAAATCAGATACAAATATTATTTTGTGAGTAATATTCACAAGGACTAGCTAGCAAAATGTATAATTGTATAAATATTAAATTAGTGATGAATACTTAACGTGCGTAATATTCGCACGGATCAGCTAGTAAAATGAACAATTGTATAAAATATCAAATTAATGATGAATACTTAATAGTTGACTTGTGTATTTTAGAGGAAGGAGATGGTCCAGGGTGGCGTTCATAAATGAACTAAAATAGTGGAAAAACTATTTTATTCTATTTATGGCCGCCACCCCGAACCATCTCTTTCCTCTAAAATATCAAATTAATTAGAATAGTAATCTGTAATTTTAGAACTTCTTACTTTTATTTTATTCATAATAATAATTAAAATAAATAATAATTATTATTTAATATTTATTATCTCTACATTATACTATCTCCAGATACCCTACTTCTATTAATTACACATTTATTTAAATAAATCCTTGAATTTATCTACAATAAACCTCTTGTCCATTACAATCGTTTCTGTGTTTTAGTTCACGTATTTCAGTCAACCGTTAAGGAGGGCACTACATAAGTTCTATTTTTTCGTACCAAAACAATGTTTGTCTTGCGGAAACCTTTTGTTTCACTAGCTCTGCCTATCTCTGTTATCTTAGTTTTCTCCTCTTTTTCCTGTTATTCTCATTTCCATATCTCCATCTCTATTTTGTATATATTGATACATTTGCTAATTTCATCTCATTTACGTTATTTTAATTTTTTATTCTGTTATATGTAGTCAGTGTGTTTTGATAGATTTTACAGTATCTCAATCTTTTTATTTACATCTATTATTTTCTTTAAATAACTTTACATTCCTTTTCTCTGTTTTATATTTTATTCAATGATTATCTCACTTCCTTTTACCATACTATTACATCATATTTTAGCAACTTCAGCAGCCCATTTATTTTTTGTCTACACTTAGGTTTTTTTAATCTCAGACATTCCATTACATTTCACTGTTAATTCATTTTTCATTTCTTATGTTACCTTATTTTGATTATGTTTATTTCATTAGTCTTTACTTTGTTGTCATTATTATTTATTTCATAGTTCTCTGTTACTTTTATTATTTTATTCATAATTTCCTAACTCTGTTACCGTTATGTTATATATCCTAACTTTTCTTCCTCTATTTTCTACCCTTAACTTTGTTCCGTTATTTTATATTTCCTTTAAGTTTATTATACTTACTGTATTTTACTTTAAGTTTCTTCTACCTTCATTTTTAAGACTACACCTTTCACCTACATATTACTTAAAAAATATACTTTTTTTGATTACTTGCTTTTTTTATTGATCATCCCAACCATTCTTCTGTTCTATTAATTTAATAATCTAGTTATAAAATAAGCCAACTTACTAAATTCTATATGAAGTTTGCCATATCCTTTCCTATAATTATCAACTTATAAGATAAGGCAACTTACTAAATTCTATAAGAAGTTTGCCATATCCTTTCCTTTGGTACGGTGGCATCGTGAGGATACAGGCTACGTTATAGTCCTGAGACGACTCCTTCTCTTTGGAAAAATATCCGACGATGTGGAATCCTCTTTCGTCAAGATCAGTCATCACGTAGAAGAGGAAAGGGTCCGTATCGTAATAGAGGGTCTTGTGGTCGAGGAACAATTTAGCGAGTAAACAAAGGTTTTGGGCATAAGCTTTGTTTTTACGACCGTCAATCTCGAAAAATGATATTGAAGCTTTCCTAAAATGGAAAAAAAAAATATATATATAAATGAAAGGATAAAAGAATCATCATAAAAGTGATATAAAAAATAACATTCATACAACATACATTTCATAGTGAACGTAATTTTGAAAAAAAAAACAAATTATACAAAAAGAAATGAATACATGAGTGATAAATAGTCAGAACACAGTCATTTTAAAGGTTTTTATTGGTGCTGACAAATCAACCCAAGCATGTGGGTCATCATCAGGGCTGAAAATTGTTTAATACAATCTGAGATATAATATTTTAAGACAGATAATGGTTAATAATAAAAAAATAGCAATGGATGATACATGAATAGACCAACGAAATATGCAATAAGTTACACAAACTAAAAAGATATAATGTATGTAATCAATTTATAAGAAATGTAAAATTTATTCTTACTAACCGAGTTTCGGGCACTGAAGTTATTCAAGTACTGGCCCTTATGTTGGTAAGTAAAAGGGAGTTGTAGAAAAAAAAAATATCTAGAAAATCCTCCAGCGACCCTTTCACTTATTTACCTATACCTAAATAACTTCAGTGCCCAAAACACGGTTAGTAAGAATAAATATTACATTTCTTATAAATTGATTATATACATTATATCTTTTTAGTTTGTACAACTTATTGCATATTTCGTTGGTTTATTCATGTATCATCCATCACAGTGTTTTCATTATTAACCATTATCTGTCTTATAATATTATATCTCAGATTGTATCAAACAATTTTCAGCCTTGATGATGACCCACATGCTTGAGTTGAAAGGTATAATTATAGGTACCAATATAAACCTCTAAAATGACCGCGTCCTGACTATTTATTAACCATAATATATAGAACAGTTGACTAATTGTATTCTTTAATAAAAGAATACATGCATAATAAAAATTTAGAAGTATATCATACTGTAAATTTCAAGGCTGATCCAAAGAAATTAAATCAATATTATTCTGAGATATTAACCTTCGAGAGGAAACATTGGCGAACAGAATGCGCCAACCTCGATTTTCAGGCTGTCAAACCTCTCCAAAAAGTGTCCAAATGTCGCGGTAATCACCAGTATTTGTTTATCTAACCCTTATTGTCCTTCTGATACCTTCTTATCTGCCCCTGACCCTTACCGCCCCCCCCCGAACTTTTTAAAATTGTTCGGAAAACTGTTGTGGCACACACTCCGTTTCCTGCACGAAACTCATGTTATACTTGAATATTTTTGGTCTTTCTGATTGAATGGAAATTTTTAAAATGCCATGTGTGTGGAAGGAAAGAAGTGTTTGTTGATATTAGTTAATATCAGAAAATCACTTTATCAATGGATTTTCTTTTAATCTTATAACATGTTCCATGAAAGAGAATTTAAAAAAAAATTGATAAGGTGAACTGTTCCGTGTTGTGAACAATAGATCATATAAACAGTTAATTTGTAATAAAAACAAAACAATAGATCATATAAACAGTTAAGCTGTAATAACAACAAAACAAAACAATAGAACCTGTTTTACTAACCCGTTAGCAAAGCTAGCTGAACTTTTTTATTACAATGACACCAGCACTCACCTATAAATTTCATTTCCTGGAGGATGTTTCACATTACATTTGGCCAGATGGCGCTCGAGGCATTTTCTACTCTTCCGATACTTTAGGCAGAATTCACATATATAGATGCAGGATAGGTCAATTAATTCCTGAAATAATAAAATTAATTCAGTTAATAAAAACACCAGTGCCAGTGCCACCCTTCAAGTTTTTAGAGGCCCCTTCACTGATTCTGATCACTACATTACAATCTCCAGGGTTAGGACAAGGGTTTCAAACATCAGAAATCAACTTAGAGCACAATCGCCTAAGATCAACATTGAAAAACTGAAGGATCTGGAGGTTAAGGTAGTATTTCGTTGGTGTTGTCCACCGCTGTTGGCGTAGCTATTTCACTGAAACTGCTCACTGAGGTTGTTATAACCTGCCTATAACCTTCGAGCATTTCGCTGTATCTTCGAAGATAAAAAGATGGACATGCTATAATAATAAAAATGAACATCTCTGACATCTCGATTTTTTATTTGAGGAGGAAAAAGAAGAGAAAATGTTGTTCATAAAGAGAAAGAATATCAGTATTTCGATGAGATGCTTATCATCAAATCCCTTCTTGGACATTGTTTGCTATTGTCTAGATGAACAACCAAAAAGAAACAAAAAGGCAATAAATGCCGTACTAACAATAGTCCCTCTGATATTAGATATTATTAATTTGAAAAGTAATAGTAATTAATAAACAATTGATTAGTAATAAATATCATATATTTGTAATTAAATCACAGCAGGCGATATTTTATAGTTTTATCAATAGTAATCAGTTAATCACCACTTTAATTAAAAAATACAAATCGATTTTTCAATGGGTGGATTTTAGTATTTACCTGACCATAAAATTTGTTGGATTCTTTAATTTATTTAATATCGTTTGGATTTAGGTATATATTTGTATTTCGCTGTAAAATATTGCTGGTGGAATAAATAAATAAATAAATAATCTTGTTACTTCAACCTTAAAAAAATAATTTACTATTGCATTGTTTCAGTTTTAAACAATATTTGTTATAATTTTGCCAGACTGCCAGACTTAAAAGAAACATAGGAAATAAAACATATTGACGTGACTGTTATCATCAAAACAATGCTCTGATATGATAACATAACCTACAACCGCCAAACCGCCAACAGCTCTACTGCTTCAGAAGCGGTCAGATAGGAGCAGCTTAGATATGACGTCATACCTAGACTGCCGAGCAGCGCCAGCGAAATAGGTTCCTTTCTATTCCACTAAAGCACTGGTCAACCGCGAGCAGTCGCGGTCGTGGACCGCGCCATCGAAATAGTACCTTTAGACAACTCTTTACTGACAGTATGAATGTCAGAATTAAAGATCTATATAAGGCCAATAGCATAGATTCACAGTGGCGAAAAAAAATTGAAAGGACAATGATTAGAACATTATAGAACCAATTTTAACTGTTTGGTGAGATATAGAAGTTATCCTCCACCATGGATATCTTAATCTTAACCTAACTATCACTAAAGATCACTACTGCTGCGATCAGCTAGACTAGAGCTGGTAATTGAAAAAAAATATCCTCACTAATCAATAGATGAGGTATTTTATTCCACCATGACAATGCGAGGCCTCATGTTGCAAAATAAACATTGCAAAAATTAAAGGACTTTGGATGGGAAATTATTCCTCACCCGCTACATTCTCTTGACTTAGCACCTTCAGATCATCACCTTTTTAGTAGTCTCCAAAACTCATTAAGCAGCAAGAACATGAATTCAGTCGATATGGTGAAAAATGAGGCTTTCTTTGATTCAAAACGTGCAGGAATAGGGAAAAACTAGATCATCAAGGCTGCAATTCAATATAATAATTTTTCACCTATAGAGTACCTGTGGGTAGGGCGAGAAGTACCATGGTCGAATCCTATGAAGACCGAGCTCAATCATTTCAACATTTTTCATCCTCGTGACGACGTCGTCGTTGTGAGCTATCATTGACCCAGTGAGGCGAGGGACTCCGGGCAGGGCATTGTTGGCTTCTTCCTTCGCCTAAAAGCAAGCAGTTTCATGATAATAATAAAAAAAATACCTAACTAGATGATATTCTAAAATATGAAATTATTAATAATGCAAAAGTGTTTAAAATTAGTTATGTGATACAAAATGTCTTCTAGGAATTAATTTTTCAATAAACTAGTGGTTGAAAGAGTCATAAACTTTTTTAAATAAGTATGATTTTAAAAGTTGGTTGGTTGTTGCATAGTAAAGGTGTAAAACCTATTGGTCTTCAATGCTATTAATTAAAATTATAAATTATTACATCTTCTGGTTGTGAATAATAGGAATAAAATTAAATTAAAAATCTGGTGTGTCCATTCACACCACTTTCCTACCTATTTCAGAAAAGTTTTTTTACCTTTACATAAGTCCATCAAGAAACAAAAAAAATTGAATTAGATTTATTTCCCTGAAAATTGATCAAAGAAAAGATTTGAGTACAATTTATTTGATAAACTAAAGCAATGTAAACCGGCTTGTGGTTGATTAGTGTAAAAATTTCAATACCCTTTCATATTGCTGATCAGAAACTTTTTGCCATAGCCTAATTTTGTCAAACAACAATTTCTGTTAGAAGTAGAGGAAATAGTGATGCGGACAACGGATTTTCTTACTTCCACTTATTTTTTCTCTCATTCACCCCTTTCTGACACCAGGATATGAAACCGTAATCTTACATTGGAAATTGAATAGCTGTAACATCATAAATAGTTGTCCGAAATAAACGATTTTTTTAAATTCTTGTAAGGAATTTCATTACCTTTCAAAAAGGGGGCTCAGGGGGCTGAAATGTAGATAGATCCATCGAAAATCACATATCGGAAATTTGACCCAATCGTAATACTTTCCCTAATTAGTATAGATAGGGAAGTAAAAAAACTGATCAAAACTTTTTGCCATAGCCTAATTTTGTCAAACAATAATTTCTGTTCAAAGTAGAGGAAATAATGAAGCTTGTGTGATGCGGGTAACAGATTTTCTTACTTTCACTAAGTTATATTTTTTCTCTCATTGATTCTTTTCCGACACTAGCATAGGTACCCATAATCTTACACTGGAAATTGAATAGCTGTAACTTCGTAAATAGAAGTCCAAAATGAACTATTTTTATATAGTTTTGTAGGAAATTTCTATACCTTTCAAAAAAATAGGCTTAACGGTGTTCTAAACTCAGGGGACTCCGAAACGTATAGATCCGCCAAAAATTTGACCCGATCGCAATACTTTCCTTACCTACCATAGGTAGGAAAGTAAAAAGATGTAAAATGCACGCTACGATTAAAGTTATTTACAGTTATTAAAGTTTAGTTATTTGAAGTTAAGTCCAAAAATAGAAGGTTAAATGAAAAAATAAAAAAAGGTAAAAGGAAAAAAAAAAGGAGGTGGGGATTGCTGTGTGAGAGATTCAGAGATTTTTAAAGATTCCTTATTCAGAGAGAAAACATATGGTTTTGCTCAAGATTTTTTTATCATTTCCCAAAGCAGCCGATTTATTTGCTGGTATTCCTCTTTTGTTTAATTCTCTGATGTAAAAGGCACAACTCTCGAAGATATGGACCACTGTTAATATCTCTCCACACTTCCGACAAATGGGCGGGTTTTCTTTTAAATTTTATAAGTATTTATCAAGCTTATTAAGAAAAAGTTCGTACAGTAAAAGTTAATCTTATATCTTTATAACAATTTTTCTTCAAAAAGTACAAGGTTCATCCAATTTGTTATAACTGGAAATGAGTATGTGAATGTTTACAAATACTGGTGTTTATTTTGATGATGACAACGATGAATATTCAATTTTGGCATTTCAGAAATTACCTCTTTTTATTCTTTAGAAATCTCTTCAATATGAAGTTTTCTTCAACTAAACTCCTGCCTCAGCAGTCTCTCCATCTCTGCCAGTCCATCACCATCTTCCTCCGACAATCCCCAACGAGCAGTGCTCTCCACTCTCCGCCACTCTGAAGATCTTCCTCTTCTTCTTCTACCCTCTGCCTCCCAATCCATAATCATCTTTGATATCCTATTGTCTCACATGGCCATACCATCTGAGTCTCCTTTCTTCCATTTCCTCTAGGATAACTTTTTTTTGTATCAGTCTATAAAATATATAAAAAAAATATTTCTGAATTACTTTTTTACTTTTCATTTTTTTTTCTTTCCTAAAAAAATTTTGTGAATAACTGTTTGTTTCTAACTTTCATCCTCTTCTTCTTTCATGGCTCTACAACCCGCGAGGGGTCATAGCCGCCTGAAGTAAGCTCCGCCTTTCTTCTCAATTCCGAGCAGCCACTCTCCAGTTCTGGGTCCCCAGAATGGTGTGTGTATCCTTATTCATCCCATCCACCCATCGCAGCCTGGGAAGTCCAGGCCTTCTGGTGGTGTGAATTTCTTCTTCGAGGAGCCTCTTTGGTATTGAGTCGGCATTCATGCTGGCCACATGCCCAAAAAGCTATCATAATGAAAATGTTCAAGTTCAATGAAAACTTTATGTAAGATTAAAAAAAAAAAGTATAAGTTTAATTTACAGTTTTTAAAATTAAAAGTTAACTCATATTTTCGACCCCTACAATAAACTTGTTCTCAGCATTTATGTACAGGGAATTGACAAAATTTATTATCAATTCATATATGGTACAATCTCAGTAATCCCAACTGATTGTTGTAAAGATCATTTAGATTACAGAAGATATTGAACAAAACTACAATACAACAAAAGTTAGAACTCTATATACATTCAAAACTCTATAAAATGAATACACTATCACTAGTGTATATAGACTTGCAAATATTGAAATACCTTTATATGCTTAATAAGAATTATCAGTAACGTAAATCTTTTAGTTAAATTGCATCCATCTACCTCTATTAGTTATAATTTTTTTTAAAATATTTTATGTTTAATTTTTATGAAACTGTTTTTTTTTCATTTCAAATGTGTGGTTCAAAAAGAAAACATCCCAGATTAACAATAATAAAACATATTAATAGGTGAACCAACAGTAAAATTAGCAATGGAATTTAACATTGGACACGTCTCCAGCTGTGATATTAAAATAAATGACGAAAAAGAACTTTTTTTTTTGCTTCCATTGAACAAAATCCAGGTCATAGACAAATTGTAAAATCAAGAAACAGATACAATAAAAAAACACCAGTGAATTATCAAAAAATATTTTTAATATATCTTCTGTGTTTTTCAAATTTAGATTTTCCCAATTATTAATGAAGTTACCGATAAACCTAATCTTTCATTCTTCTCAACTCTCTTGGCTTTAATTAATTCATATTAGTGAGAGCCTACCATAACCATATCACCACACATACGGATCCACTTATTGCACTCCTTATGATTTGATTATGGCAAGTAACGAGAACAGATAATAATAACAAGCTCTATAAAAAAAGAAAAAAAAAAAATAGAGGTGAAACATACGCATGGAGCAGGAGGAGGAGCAGGAGCAGCCGGTGGGGGTTGCTCGGGCTCGATGGACGGAGTAGGGGCTTTTCGTTTCCTGGATATCTTCTTCTGAACAGCTGCTGCCAGAACTGCGTTGCCGTTGACAAGTTCTTGAGGAGAAGAGGGTCTGGACGTGGGAACATTAGCTTTCTTGCTTGGAGTCGATGTCCCTCCAACTCCTCCATCTCGTCGAGGGTACTGAACTTTCCGAGTGTCAAGCCTGCTTTCTGTGACCCATTCATCTAATCTTTTATTATCTAAAACAGGATAAAAAAATGTTTATATTATATTTTTACTTTCACTTACCAGTAAATGAAATATATAGTAAAGGAAAGAATTACGATCGTGAAAATTTTTGAATCATAGTTTTCAACGGAAATACATATTTTGAGGCCCCTGAGTCAATATAACCAAGTCCTACAAAATGGTCTGTGTCTGTGATAACAGTCTAGCTCAAAAACGAAAATTGACATGGACTAAACACATTATTACGATTGTCTCGAAAACAGCTCTAATGATTTTGATTAAATTCGTTATATCAGTGTAAAATTGAGCAGTTTTAAATAAAATATACATTATTCTGATTGATGTTCTCTAACAGGGCTTAAATGGCTAATTTTCAATATTGGCTTCCTCTAAAGTACCTTTATTATTTTTTTTATTTGAAACATTGGACGATTTCACATTAATCTCTATTATAAAAGATGGTTGAATATAAAATATGAAATTTTTTTATAATTAACTAAAAGAGGAATAAGAGATCGTAATGAAGAATAGTTGTAATTGAGGAACCAAAGGAATACGAGCGCACTCGAGCTTGCCCGAAAGATTAGGACACGCTTCCATACTTCAGATGAGCCTAATATAATAAGGACTCTGACAATATTATGCAAATATATATATGCAGTATTCATAAATGCTATTGTTGGTATTATTTAATATTTAATTGTATAGATTACAGAGATATAAATATTAAAATTTGTATATTAAGGGTACTTATACAAATAAAAATATCCACAATGAAATATAAATCCATTTAGTGTTTATAATTTTTACTTTCACTTCCCCTTTGTTTGAAAATACTTATTTCTGCTAAGAGGGTGGTAAGTGAAAGTTGTGTGATGCGCGCACCGCACCAGATTTTTATATTTGTAGTAATGGTTCAGTTTTGATGAATGCTTTTTGTTTTGTGAGAAATTTAACTACAAAAGATTATATCTGCACCACAAAATTAAGGAATACCACGACCATATTTTATTAAATAATTTAGTAAGAAAGAAATTATAATAGCTCAAAATTATGGAAAATTGCCCCTCCCCCCCCCCTAAGAACAGGGTACACATATTTAAAATTTACCAAAAAAATGTATGCTTTATTAGTTATGCCCCAAAATATTTCCCTTTTCATTATAATTTTTTCCTAAAATTTTCTTGGAAATCTACCACATAGATGTTCAAAAGACAATAAGTAGAAGATTATGGGACAGTTTCATCAAAATTGTTAGATCTGTTTCTGTACTACATCCACATTACCTATTCTGCAGGGAAGGCTCGCCGATTTGATTCACATGAATTCGTGGCCAAAACCCTAGGTTTTAAAGCAAAACAAGAAGAATGAGATAATCGTGTCACAGACAAACAGACCACTGGCTATAAATGTATTTTTTGGACTCAGGAGGGCTCTGAAACGTAAAAATCACGTTGTAAACCGCACATCAAAAATTTGACCAGATAACAAATAGTTCCCTTATCTAGTGGTAGGAAAGTAAAAATATATAATCACAAATCTAAAATATACTTAAAATACCTGTTTTAAAAATTTATTATTACATTTTTATTAGAGGAAGATATTTTTAGAGCTCAATAGAACTTCAAATACATTTCACAAACATGTAAGATATTTTATGAACTTTCTTCGACAATAATAATTGAATTGCCTATTCCAAAACCCACATAAGCATCATTTTCCAAAAACTTCAAAAATGACTAAAAACTATATTGAAAAATGTGTTTCTTTCCAAAACAAACCCAACAGGAAGTTTATTTAGATCCAAAACGCAACGCTCTTTCAGTTACATTACAGAAATTATTTCATTAGTTTTGACATTATATAATTTTAGAATTAGTTTAATAAAATTTACTTTGATCCTTAATCACTTTAAGACTAAAACAACAAATTGTTGGTGTTCTTCTCATCTCGAAATGAACTAGTTGTGTGTTCATAGACACGCAACTACGTGACTGACAAAAAATTATGATAGTCATTAACTAGTACCAAGCCCAACTTCTGATTTCACAACAAGCTCTTTTAGATGTCAAATGTAATAAACAAAGATTTTAAAAAAAGTTAAAAATAATAATATTTCAAAAATGAGCTAAGTCATCAATAAAAAGTAATTTTGAATTATACTTACAGTCAACAAAGTGTATATAATAATAAACACATCCATTGACTTCTTTGACGCTGACAATTTCCGCAAGAGCTGTAACATATAAAATATTATCAATCCAATGATATAATATAATATAATTTATAAAATTAAAAACATAACTTATGAAGTATTTTTTTCTCCTTTATAAAATGCTTCACAATTTTGTAAAAAAAAAACAACAACAAAAACAGATATGTTGAACAAATTCATTCTAATTATTAAACTTTACATACAGAATAATAAATTTGAAGAAAAACTAAAAAATTATGTTCTAATAAACTTGGAGGGAGGAGATCAATCTTAAAATACTGAAGTTTTATCAGATCAAAATTACAAGTAAAAAATGTTTCCATTATTTCGACTAATGTTGAATAACAAAGCATCTGTACTAGGATACAGTAATCCAAATAGATTATTAATACTATTTATTTATCTTTTTATAATTATTGATTCATGATTTACAAATCGTGTCGATGTTTAAATTAAAATAGAGACAATTAAGTAATCTTGTTTTCTTAAATTACTGATCTGATTTGGCTTTGATTGGTAATTTTTTTATTGGTCTGTAACAATTTTGGTCATATCTTTTTTAACAGCTGAGCTAGACAATCTATATCTTACTTCTTAAAATAAATTATATGATACTTATAAAAGATCCTTAACGTTACTTTATCTCATAACAATAAATAATCAATTTTTTGCAGTTGTAAAAATAATGTATATTACTATTTGTGGTTTATAGGTTATTTATTATTATAGACCAACACAGTAAAAACTATACAGGATAAAGCTAATTATTATTTTTAATTATCTAAGCCAGAAACCTCTAAAGTACGGCCAGCAGGCACCTCCGATCGGGCCCACAAAAGTTTCTTTGATTAAATGGTAAAATTTTACAAAATATTTAAAAAATATGAAATTAGTCAAACCACTCAAACACAAAGTTAATACAATTAACATATCAGTTTTTTGTTCCCCCCACCCACATTAGAGTAACCCTGTAATGGGTGCATATATTTCTACGCGTACCATCTTGCGATATAACGCGTATTGAGATACATAGTTAGTTTAAGTAACATAGTATTGATATATTACAATTCTTTGAATAATTAGAAAATAAAATAAATAAATGTATATAAAAAAATATAGTAATCTAAGTAAATAATTAAATATAACGTACAATAACTGAAATGATAAACATTAGAGATTAGATAGTGAAAAGTAGAATATTTACAGCAGAAATGTGATATGGTAGGATAACAATTTAGGGTTTAAGGCTATGTTTACAGAGTATGTACAATTTGGTAAAACAATTGATGTAGGAAATGTTGAGGGGTGATTAGGCAACCATTTGATCATTAAGCTCAGAGAAATCAATTCGTTCCACAAATGCATCAAATTCTGAAAAATATTTTTCAATTAGATTCTTCTTTGAAGACAGCCATTGGTCTCCGTTCACCATGACAGCAGAGACCAATTTGTATCTGTATTTATCCAGTGTAGTGCAGTCATACAGAAGGTGGTCGTATGTTTGCTCACTGTTGCCGTCGCATTTGCAAATTTTGTTGTCAGTTAACTTGAATCTGAATAGATAGCTTTTGGCTGCTCCGTGTCCTGTCAAAAATTGTACTAGTTTATAAGGTATCAGGTGTTTCTCTTAGAAAGCTCATCTTAGAACTGAAGTCATGTATAGAACAAGCTTTTGTTTTTCCATTATAAACCATGGTCCACAGAACCCTTGATCTAAGCTGATAAAATTGGTTGGAAACTACATTGAATCTTTAACAATTAGCATACTAAATGATTCTTCTAAATTAATTATAATTCAATCAATAAAAAATATTTATTTTATTTGAATGGAAGAGTCAATTTAATCATTATTTGTTCTAACAGTTGATATTTCAGTTTTCAAAATCAAAATGATGAAGGTTTAGTACTGAAGAATTAATATAATCATTATATTGTGTTTTTCATAGCTGCTGAGTTCTACTTGCTTTGAACATAATAAAACATCTGAAGGAATTCTATTCAGAGATAAAATAACATCTATTATTCAAATAACATACACATAATACTTAATCATTTTATGAAAGCAATCTTAATACAAATTCTCCAAAACAATGTTTGTGAACATGAAAGGATTCCAGCTTTAACTGTTTTAACTTTTCATTTCTTTGTTCAAATCGATCTTTATTATTTCAATTGCATAACTAAAATGTTTGTATGTGCAATTTGATCGTGTGATCTTGGCCCTTTAGCAGTCAAGACACTACTATAGGTATAGCTAGCCATACCAAAGTCTACTTATTTATAAATGGATAACACTTCAATTTTATCATCATCCCAGACAATTAACATGAGTACACAATTTAAATGACATCAACCAAAGCAAACCAAAATGAATATCCTTATCAGGGTCTTAACAAACTACATATGCATTTAATACTTTTCTAGAATACAAATAAATGTCATTTATACAGAAATAAAAAACTTGGTAAACATCTGACATTGATGTTAAAACAATATCTCAAATAAGATAAGGAGATAGTTCTACAATACTTACTATGAAATCATATCATAAAAATTATAATGCATAATAAAACTTATTAAAGTGTTCATCTCAACTTAATAACACAGTATAAGTTAAATAGATAATCTGATTAACAATAAAGCCTATCAAGATAACATTGTGAACAATATTCAAACATCATTTATGCTGCAAAATTTCTAACAAATAATAGGAAGGAAGTAACTCCTACGGCACATAAAATTCTTTACAACTACATCAAGATATGGTGTAAGATATTGTAAGTAAATTATAATTGTCCATTTAGAATACCAAAGTTAAAAGTTGAGGACAACTAACTAAAATGATAACTGATTCATGCACATATCCAAGTAAGAATTACAATTTTATTCTGTTTTCAAACTAGACTCATTGATAACAAATCACAATCAACTAGAATCATCGAGTTCGTATTGGTTGTTTTTGAAAATGAGGAAACTAAATAGCTGATCAGAACAATATTTTTATTGATAAGTGATGATAACGAATAAACTATGATTTTTAATACTCGCATTAAGTTTGTCAACCTCTGTTTGGGTGTAAAATCATAGTAAATATAAAGAGGATAGTGAGATTATGACTATCACATGAAAATTCTGAATACTTACGCCATTCATCACCATATCTCATTTTGACTGGGAGTCGACAACCTTCAACAAGAGAAGTCTGAAACATTTATAAAAATATTTACTAAAACATTTAAAACACTTGTAAATCCACTTCAAAATACCATCCCTTGTTTGTTTACAGGGAGGTTACATGGGTGCATGGGCACAAATAACTTTTTAATAACATTTCATACAGTTATATATTAAAAGTTGCAGGTTTATAAGATGTGGAATAAACGACAAAGAACTTGAAATGTATTTAGATAGAATTCATTGGGAAAATAAATGTACCAAACTGATTAAAGTAGTTGTATAGGTTATGTTGTCTTATACATTTAAAAAAAAAAAATAGTTTTATATTAAATATATAATTTGAAATGGAGAAAAGGGATCAAGTAGTCTCATATTCATTTTATTTACCGTACAATCTGAAAGAGTTTCGTTCCCATCCATGTCTTCTATAGTCTTCATTTTTATACTAGTCAGCTGAATAGTTCAAATTTGCGGTCCAAATTATCAAGAGCACATATATAGAACGATTCGCAGACTACGAATAATTTAATCACATTTGAGTAGTTTTATAAAAAGGAGAAGACGTGTCAAGACTTTTAATAATTAAAATGAAAAGTAACTCAAATAATTCTATATCATGCTGTAAATTCTGTAATAACAAAATAATCGAACGAGTCGAAGCGTCATCTATCAGCGATTTGACAAACTTATGTTTTGTTTTCAAGTGTTGTCAAGTTTGTATTGCCCGAAATGGTTGGGGTGACAGATATGTATGTAAAATGTTAAAGCAAAGTGGGAAGATAATGGACAAAATCTATCTAGTCAAAAGGTGACTGCAGTATGAGTGAATCACCTCAACTACATACAATCGTATGTGAAGAAGTCTTTGATGAAAATAGTGTACCATCAGAAGAAGGTAAAATAGTCATGAAAATTTAATTTAAAAAAAAAATGTGTATTGTTTATAGAGTTGTGGATAATTACGTCTCTGTGCACCTTTTATTTGTTTTAGAAGTACTAGAATATGCTGCTAAAATTGGTATAGACACAAAAACCGAACATCATCTCTTGCCTATTGCTTTAAATGGTCTTATGCACCCACTTCCACCAGAATGGAAACCTTGGTAAGGAAAATTATGAAATTTGTTGTAAATCTGATGTTCACCAGCCTTGTGATTTTTAAGTAAATATCCAGTGATTATAGTTGACATTCATTTTGCTAAATGTGAATCCCTATTGTTTTTAATGTCATTTATGCACAGTATAACTTTAAATATTCGAAAGGTTTCTTTTATAGATCAGATCAGTGTAATTAGAGCTCGGCATTTAAGCGTATTGTTATTTCTTCTTACTGGTAGAGGGATTCCCACACAGCCTAAACAGAATTCCCAGAAAGGCTTAAGTCACAGCAAATTGTCAAGTGAGCCTCAAGCTAACGACATTTTTATTTTGAATCAGCACTGCTATCACAGTTATCAGATATCTTTGCCCGGTATCCCTCCACTGCTACACTTTTACAGTTATGCTTATAAACCTTAAGCAAAGCTTCTAAGCTTGAGCACCATATTTTATTTTTATTAATGAGAACCAAACTGTTTAAACAATTTTTTTTGCATTTTTATTCATTATTCTTAATTGATTCTTTGAATTAAATTAGTACATTCCAACTCTACTGGTCTATAATAACCTATCTGATTCTCATATATATTTTTTTTTAATTTTGCAGCTTCGATCAAGAACTGAAGAAATGGTACTATTACAACGCAGAAACCAAAAAAAGCCAGTGGGAGCACCCACTTGATCCTTTATACAGACAAATTGTCAGAAGAGGTCGTTCTGAAGGATATAGTTCTGCCGGTGAGCCTATCATTGATCCTTTATCAGTTTAATCTCTTATCTGAAGTTATCAAAGTATGAGTTAGTTTTTGTACCCATACGGACGTATTAGTTCTTAGGTCTTTACTTAGTCATTATTATTTTTTATAAATAATTTTATATCAAGCTCTCTATAGCAATGTTTGTTTAGGTAAATTGTAACTTATTTTATTATTTTTAATATTTTAAAATAACCTTTGATATGTGATTGTTTTTAATGAATCCACTTAAAAATACCTATTTAATAATTGTATTTATAAGCAATCTTAAAAATTTTATTATCATGTCATATTTTAATAACCTAATAATAAAGTCAAATATTTGTTAACAAATTATAAAATAAGTCTTTTCATAAGATTTATTATAATTAATCACATGAACAAACAAAAATCAATAATTTACATATGAATTTCCATCTTACAGGCTTTTTATTAAATAAATAATTATAGCTAAATATTACTACTGTTTTGTTTTAACTTTATTTGAATGAAATATCGTAGTGTTTTCTTATTATCTATGATATTCATAGTTTATTCAAACACTCTAAATTTCTTTCTTTCGACTTATAAATACATAATTTAGTTTCTTGCAATATTTTAACCAGAAAAGGCTGATAGGTAAAGTAATTGTTTTATTTTTATGACCCTCTATACCACTTAGTACTTATTTAAATGTTATCATGCTATAAAATATTTTTATAGATTTACATTAGCTACTAGGATCTATATTAAAAATCTTTATTATCTCTACGTGATTTATTACCTAATTATTATGCGAAACAGCTGTTGAAATCCTTAAAAGCTAATTTTAATTTATTATTTTTTATTATTTAGAAACAGATGATTTTTAAGAAATCCTTGCTGTCATATGAAATGTAATATTTGGTGTCAATATTATTAATAAAAGAGTGTATTTTATTACACATTACTTATCTGTAATTGAAGTATAAGTTTAATTTTAATGTTTAGAGATGGACAAATGATCTATGATTGTGGAAAAACTTCAGTACTTTAAAGGTGCAATTGGACATTTCACGAACTATGGGAAACACAATTATCTAACTTAACAACGACATTATTACAAAACCAAACTATTTATTTTATTTGTCTTGGAAAATATCAAAAACAAGAAACAGAAATGCTAGCTTAGTGAAATAACCATTTATATATTTGTTTGTCCCATAGAGTCCGAAATGTCCAAATGAACTTTCAGATTCAATCGCAAATCAGCTGATAATTACTACATTTCAAAACTGTAATTATTTTTTTAAATTAAGCTGAGTGTGATAGAAAATGTATTAATTTTCAATTTTTTAGCATTTATTAAAGGATTTTTATAAAAGCTAAGAAGCATATCTTAATTAATTAAAAACATTATTTTACATCTATTAGTAATTTACATAACATTAGTAATATGGATGAAACAAAATTGTCAGGATTTATTGTCAAGAATTTATATTAGGTTAGCCGAGTTTTCGATCCAAACATGTGGGTCATCCTCAGGACTATAAATTACAATACATCAAATAACATCAGTATAAAGATAAATATAAAATAGTCCTTGGTACAGACCCCATTTTATCAAATTATTAACATCCGGCTGAAACTTTGTAAATAATTTCATCTCATCGTAACCTACAAATATTTTATTTACAAAAATTCTCGGAACTGGGGCATTTTCAATATGAAGGTCAGCAAATTTTGTCTATTTAATTAGGTACTAAAAACTCCTAAATAATACTCATTTGCTTTCTGCTTGAATCATAAGATAACTTGAGCACAAAATCAAGAAAAAATGTATTCTTCAAATATAGTGAGCCGTTTGGCCTATATAACCTCATTATTTTGACAATTGGGAGGTGTAGATGACGCGAAACGGCTCAATATTTTTTAACGCCACCTTTTTTCCCAACTTTGTGCTCAAGTTATGTTACGATTCAATTGGAAAGCAAATGGGTATTTAAGAACTTTTAGTACCTAATTAAGTAGACAAAGTTTGTGGATCTTCATATTGAAAAACGTCCCAATTTCTAGAATTTTCGTAAATAAAATAGTTGTAGGTTACGATGAAATGAAGCTATTTACAAAGTTTCAGTCAGATGTTAATAGTTTGATAAAATGTGCTCTGTACCACGGACTAAAAGTGTAAGGGTGTAATAAGAGTACAGAATTATAGTAATAAAATTAAAGAATAAAATCAGCAAAATGCTAAATCTAAAAGTATACAATGGTAAGAACGTTGAAATATGATAAGAAATAGACATTGTTTACACTAATCATTTGTTTTTTAATTCCTACTTTTGATATACAACACTTACATTTTACATTCATTTACATAAAAAAAATCATTTTCTTACCATATTTCAATGTTTTTACTATTGCATATTTTTACATTTATCATTTTGCTGATTTAATACTTCACTTTTATTACTATTACCTTATTTAGTGTTTCAACTGCCTCCCACAGTGCTACATCCTACGCCCTGATGAAGACCTGCAAAGTGGGTCGAAACGTCGGCAAAAAAATTAAATAATACTATTTCTATAATTTAGTATTTATTTGACCATACCTCCCCTCCCCCGATCAACTCCTTCTCTTACTTATTTAATATTATTACCATCATCTTGTTATTGTTATTCTGTACTTTTATTACCCTTACACTTTCTTATTTATCTTTTTATTGATGTTATTTTATATTTGGTAATTTTTAGCCCTGAGGATGACTCACATGTTTGGGTCGAAACATTGGCTAAGTTAATAAAAATTCTTAACAATGGGTATGAGAAATTATTAATATTGAAAATAAAATAATAATATGTAGGCGGACGTTGTTTGAAATGGGACAAATTCTGGTACTCATAATTCGTTTATGACCCTCTAGGGTAGTGGTGAATACAAATAAAAATAATTGATTTAATAACTTTAAATGATTTTTTTTTTTTAATTATTTCTTTGTTTTAAAAGTAAACATTTTTATTTTTTTAACAGCTAAAGTAGTTCTTATCTGTAATTGTGAATTTTGATCCCTGTTTTATCATTCAAGTAATAAATTTGTCATTATGGGTAAATACAATTCATAATGCACACTGTTGTAAATTTATTGTTTGATTGGATTATTATCACTTTTAACTGATGATAATTCTAAGTGCAATTAGATTATGAATCAGTATCTTATTTTAAAAGAGATCATTATCTCATTTGTAAAGCTAGAATGATTTAAAATATTTTAATATTAGTCATACACTGTTTATATTTCCTAAGAATTCCTAAGTAGCTTAAACTTTCTAGACTTTATGCGACTGTATATCTTCCATTTTACAGATAACTGGGTATGTCACATAAGATCTTATGATGTTTTTATTCATTGATAAAATAGAAACTTATTTAAAAAAAGTTAATTTAACTGATAAAGCAGTATAATAGATGTTACAGTAATTTTGCTTTTTTTTTTTTTTAAATAATAAATTAAACATAACAACAGTTACAGAATGAAACCCAAAAAATACTTGGTACAAATAAAATAAAAGTGTATCCTATATATGTAAGTAAGAAATTTGGATATTATGACATCAATATTTGTCGGTTGTTAGCATTATCTGCTATGAGAACACCACTGAGAGGCTCAACTTAATTCCTAATTCCTATTTAATTCTGAGTACTTTCATCTTTACTTACGTAACGATAGTAGATTATTGTTAGTTGTAGATCATTTTTATTTATCTTATATTCGGTTTCTATAAAAGCCCTTGTACATTAACACAACCCTTTATTCCAACTCTCGTAATTAATCCTATAAGAATGTTGCTACTATTTATGTCAATGTTTACTTTGACTAATGTTTTAATTGCTTGTGACTTGATTTGGCTTTATTGGGTCATTTACATTTTTAAAATGCTCCTAGATCAAACTCCCTCCTGGAAACCACATATTTCCCAAATTTCCCGCTATACTATTTCCACCCTGAAACAGTTTAACCATCTATGTTATCTTCTTCCATTCAAAACCTGTCAACTTCTGGTTTCATCTCTTGCTTTCCCTCACTTCGACTATGGATGTATGGTATATGGTGGACTCTCGGGAGAACTTGAAGCTAAACTTAAACGTCTAATGAATCGCTCAATACGCTTTATATTCGGGATCTCAAGGGATACACATATTAACCAGTTTTACAACGAGTTGAAGTGGCTTTATCAGTCCTACCGCCGTCAATATTTCCTTGCTACCTTCTTATATCAGGCTATTGGAACTTGGTGATCCTACAATTCAAATGCTCCTTTCAATCCCGTCCCACCAGATCCCATACGTCTGACTCCTATCCTCCTCCTCACTGAACTGCTGTGTTTGACAAATCCTTTTTAATTCAAGCTGTCTCCTTCTGGAATTCTATCCCCTTTGATATACGACACGCAAAGTCAATATCCTCTTTCAAGTCTCTGCTCTTCAAACACCTACTCCATTCCAAGTTGTTGTTCATCTAGGACAACTCGTAACCTAACCTAACCTACTCCATTCCCAATTCGGTTGATCATGAAATGCACTTAAAACTTTGTCATAAGAATCTCAAAGTACCCAAAGTACTTTGATTATTTTGTGATTTATTGATATTTTTTTGATTTATTTTACTTTCTCTGTTTATTTTATTTTTATGTACGTTTTTATATCTTTTTATTATCTGTACTTTTATTTTATTATTAATCATCCTGTAAATATTTAATTGTATTCTATGGACACACCAGAATGTTAATATATCTGTATTTGTAATTTGTTCTAAAGGGACCCTAGTCCCAGAATAATAAATTTATTTTCATTCATTCATGCAATATCAGAAGAAAAAATGATAGTTCGCAGTCTTTTGAGACATTACTGGAAAAATATTCTAAACACAAAGGCAGCTGCCCAAGAAATTTGTGCCATAAAAGAAGTTATCCATCAAAATACTGTCGCACTTTGGTTCAGGCGTTTCAACAATGGGAATATGAGCCTTGCAGATGAACTCAATCAGGTTGTCCATCGGTAATTGATGATGTTCTTCTTGACTGTGTGAAGCAGAACCCACATGCAACTATTCCCACTTTATGCTCCATGCTTCTAATGCCACAATCACTCGTCATCTTAAAAACATGGGCATTAGGAATTTTTTAAAACAAGGTCCGACCCTCATGACTTGACAGACGCCCAACTCCAGCAGCGAGTTGATATTTGCAAAATTGAAAATATGACACCTTCTGGAAAAAATGTTCGAGAAATAGATATTTAAAAAAAAAAAAACCTAGCAAACATAAGCTGTGGATATGCCCAGATGAAGCTGCACAACAAGAGGTGCGCCAAGATAGGTTTGAGAAAGAAGTGATGCTTTATGTTTAGTAGATTATGTACTGCAAAGAGCTAGACAGAGTTTATGTAGTTTTGAGTGCAAAGTACCCCAGTACGACAATGCCCTTACACATGGTTGTCATTTGACCAAGGAAAAGCAGTAAACGCTTTGCCTCATCCTTTGTATAGTCCAGATATTATACCGTCAGATTATGGTTTCTTTGTAACAATCTAGTAATTGATATATTCAATAATATTTTTTTAGAAATTGCTTTTTCATGATAAATGTGACAGAAAGATAAGTGAAAACTTCTTTAGGCATGTTTTGCACTTTTTTTGTGGAGAGTGGAGTAGACTGAGCCGTCAGATTCCGATGTTTAACGCTCGGGTTATGTCGGCTGGAGTCGACTAATTGAAGTGTTCTTGCATATAGATTAATATATCTAAAAATCAGACCTACATACTGTCAGTGAGGGAAATGTTCATCCATCATTTAATCCTCTTTTTAAAGTAATATTATTCAAAATCTTATCTTAACGTGACATCCTGTTTGAGAAGCGATATAGGAAAAAATAGTGTCGAAAACGAAATGATATTAATAAAGATATGATGTTGTAAGCGAGGGAATTGTTCATCATTTCATCCTCTCTGTAATGGGCTGTTATTCAAAATTGTATCTTAAGGCGGCGCCATGTTAGAGAAGCGGAAAGGAAAAAATAGTGTCGAAAACCTAATGATTACAATTTTTATGGAGGATATGGATTAAAATATCTCAGAAACTAAAAATCTGCATACTTTAAGCGAGGAAAATGTTCAGCATTTCATCCTATTTATAACTTATATTTCATATTATTAATCTCGCCTAATTGATGTTTTCATTTTTATCGTGTGGTCTAAAGCACACACCTTAGTTTTTTTTTTAATAAATAACCCTATCTAGTTCCATAACTAGTAATATGATATAACCCTTATGATCTGAAGTTATTTTACTTAATTCTTTTTTTCTTTTGTTCTACTAGAGTGATTAAATTAAACATTGTTTTTGTTCAAAAATGGACCGTGAAGTTTATGTATTTCCAACAGGAACCTCATACAAGTTTCAATGTTTTTTTAATTAATCTTGAAATAGTCAGAGGCATTCATAAATATGAACTATAAATAAAGAATTTCTTAATTGATTATTTTAAAAATATTTCTTTTGATATATTACAATCGGAAGTGAAAATACAGATTTTTGCATTTCCTGAAAAACTATTAGTGATGGTTAGGGTTCACTTTGGAAATAAATAATTTAATTCTTCATATTATAATTTGTCGCAGATTAGAATTAGTATTATAATATAATATAATCATAGATGATATATAGTCAGGATCCAGCCAATTTTAAGATTTTTATTGGTGCCAACGCTTCAATCCAAGCATGTGGGTCATCATCAAGACTGAAAATTGTTTAATTTGGTCAGAGATATAATATTATAAGACAGATAATGGTTAATAATGAAAAAGTAGTGATGAATGATACATGAAACAGAAAAATTAAACATGTAATACAAATTTAAAAATCTGGTGCGCGCAACACACAACTTTCAATTACCGCTCAACTTTGAATAGAAATTATTTTCTGGCCATTTTGGGCTGTTATAAAATTTTTCAATTGCATTTTTAACTGAGCTAAAGCTAAAAAATCATTAATACCATTAAAATAACAAAAGAATAAATAATAAATAGAAATTTATTATATCACAGGTTGATTATGGATTGTACGACTATTTGTTATTTAACTGTTCTTTTTCATTGCAAAGTTTACTAAAACGGAATTAAGAGATTTGTATTGTCTGTCATAGACAGGTCAAAAGTTGTCACAGTAATTGTAAATGGATACTGTTGGAATATCACAAAAGGAAATTTCATCAAACTATTCATTAATTTAATTTTCTAAAAGGTTACATGGTGATTTTTCAGAATAAACAGACGATGGATACCTAAATATTTAAATATAATATCAGATCTAGAATTATTAAACTACACTAAATGTATTTAAGGTTATAAACGTATGCTTTATACATCCATGAAATGATTTTATTTTTTACTTCTTCCTTCACACAAATGCAATGAAATAGTTTTTTAACCAATGTCATTGCCTTGATTAGGTGGATTTTAAATACTTTTTCAAACTTAAAAATATTTTAAAAGTTTACATTTAGTTAATAAATTTCAATTAATTTCCTTGAAAACATGTGATTTATGTTAAATATTATTAGTTTTCAAAAATTATTTATAATTTTTTTTGCCACTCTCCGTTATCTTCTACAACTTTCTATATTAAATATTTTTTTTCTGAAATTTTCCTCTTTCCAACGATATATTATATGAATACCTTCTGACTAGTATTTCTGGAGATTCATTTTCGACCTGGATTAGCATTTTTATTTTTGTTCTCCTTTATTCAATTATCAAATTCTTTCAAAAGTTATATTTAGCATTTTTTCGTAACTCTTAATAATGAGATATAGTTAATTATTTAAAATAAACTATATTAAAGGTACTTCAGAGGAAGACGCATATGAACATTTGGCATTTAAGCCCTGTAAAGTGACATCTATGGGGATAAGATCTAAATGATATTAAAGACCACTTAATTATACAATGATATACCGAGTTTAATCAAAATCGTTAGAGCAGTTTTTGAGAAAATTGTAAAAATGTGTTTCAGCATTGATATTGAGCTATGGGGCTCCACAAAACCATCGAATTCCTCTCGCATCCAATCCTTACAATCCAAAATCCTTCGTAAAATCCTCAATGCTCCTTACTTTGTCACTTATAAAATTATGCATAAAGATCTTAATGTTCCTTATGTTTCAGATCTGGCCCAATCCAGATACCTATCCTTCCATAATAAACTTCAGAATCATCCCAACCTTCTCGTTTCTAACCTTGCTTCCTCTTCAATTCCTGATAACCCTCCGAGGCGTCTGAAAAGAAGATGGCCCCGTGATCTCTTAATGTAGTCATATCATTAGAGTGCTACCATTGGGTAGTTACTCAGCAAGTGTATTCATGTCATTATATCAATTATGTCCAAATTTACTTGATGTATTTATATAATACAGTTGTAAATGTCATAAAGAAATAAAAAAAAAATAAAATAAAAAAAAGAGCATTGATATAAAGTGGAACTTCCGATTAGCTGATTTTAAGGGAAAAGTTGCAAGGACATCTAAGGCATATACCTATCTTAAATATGTAATATCAATTTTGTACGACTTTTCGTTTTCAAGCTAGTGTTCATAGACACACAGACCATTTTTATGGACTTGGTTATTTGGACTCAGGGTACCACAAAACTTGTATTTCCGTTGAAAACTCAGATTCTAAAATTTTCACGATTGCAATACTTACCCTTACTATATATTACATATATATACGTAAGTGAAAGTAAAAATAATGTATTTAATCAATTTATAAGAAATGTAATATTTACTCTTATTAACCATGTTTCGAGCAATGTTCAAATTCAAATTCAAAGCAAGAGGTGTTCAAATTCTGGCACTTAGGTAGGTAAGTAAGAGCGTCTTTGGAAACATTATCTGTCTTATAATATTATATCTCTGATTGTATTAAACAATTTTCAGCCCTGATGATGTCCCAAATGCTTGGGTTGAAACGTCGGCACCAATAAAAACCTTAAAAACGACTGCGTCTTGACTCTTTGTCACCTATGATACGTAGAACAGTCGAATACCTTCCTTCAATGTAATGTAATGTGTATAATTTAATTTCAGGTGATGACGATTCGAAAACTACGGCCAAAGAAGACTTAAAAAGTTTTGAAGAAGCTTCCGACATACTGTCATCAAGAAGTGTCGACATTAAACCCGAAGCTGGGATCGATAAGAAAGATATCACAGCCGTACGTATTCTCTACAGCAAAGATTTCTAGTCTCGTAGCATTTTTCTAAAGCTATTTCATAAGTTCATAAGCCTAATTGGTGTTTATTTTATTTATTTTTCTTTTTTTAATCTTTCATCTTCTTACTAAAATATGAGAAATTCCTATTTAATTGGCTTAGGTTTTTTTTTTTTTGTTTTATGAACATGTAACTAAATAAAATTACCAAAATGTATAAAAAAGTGATTTATCCTTTCAAAATTCCATATCTCATACTTGAATAAATATTTATTCTTTATTATAATATTTGAATAAAATTCGAAAGTACCTATTATTCAAAAGTGAGTATTTTTAAAAATGCATTTGTCTTTGTCTTTTGGTGAAAAATGCAGTTTTTGTTGTCTCTATGTGTTTAAGAACTTTTGTTATCACTACCATTTTACCAGTAAGTACTGAGCAAGCCTCCGGGAGTTTAAATAGGTTTCGAATGTGGGAATTTAGGAGAGAGAATATTTTTTAAATTTTCTTTATCAATAATTTACAATTTTTTTCATTATTTTAAATTACAATAATTATCGTTGACCTTATGGTTTACATTAATGCAATACACCTTTTCACTTCAAAATATAATTAAAATAAATTCACAGGCACTAAAATACTAAAATACGTGATTATGTTCATGGTAGATTTTATTCATTGAACCTATAAACCTAGGATTGTAATCTTGAATAGCATCTTCAATATTGCATTTTCATTTGTATATATAAATAAATAAATATTAATTTACAAATATACATTTTGTTTATTTCATTAAATTAATCAAAATATGTAATTATATATATTTATCTTCAAATATGCAATTATAGGCATTTATCCTCAAATATGCAAAATAAAATTTGGCTAATTGCATCACGTTATACTAATTCTTATAGATATTTGATCAGCAGTTTTAAAAAATGACGCAAACAAAATATGCATAAAAATCTGGGCCTTGATGATGACTATTGACTCAAAAATATTGTTTAAAAACTATGAAATCAATAATGACAATTAAAAGAAAACATGAACATATTTATAATTATTACTTCTTATATATTTATATTTACATTTATTGAATTTCAGATGGGCGAAAGAGGACCTCTGCTCAAAGGAAGTCAGCCGCTGCTCTTGAGAAGAAAGCAGCTTCAGAGTGGCCAGGATCCTCTTCACGTAGCCAAGCTCATTAATTCCACTCTCAGACGTAAGTTGAAGAATATTATGAGGAGTATTTTTAACATAAGAAATTATTTTTAAATTTATTCTTCACTATCTTCCTCCTTGTGTCATATCTAGCGTAAAGGAGCCTCGATCCAACGTTGCCAAGCCTCGTAGTCCCTTCAGATTTACTTCATTTTTCCGAGGCCCTTTATGGTTCTTTGAATCAGTTTTACATCTTTATAGGCGATTAGCCCAGTAAATAAGGCCCCATTACCTCGAAACAACTGAGGCTATTATATACCCAATAGCCAATGGGTCTTCCCAGGGGAGGAGACCCTAGGATGTTAACTGTATGTGTTCTTGTGTCAGAGTCAATGTAAAGTGTACTTTTTTTTTTTTTTTGGTAATACCCTTCCTCACTTTTAAGACTATACGGGTTTTTCCCTGATGAGGGGTGAGGACGGTGGATCAATGCCAGAGTTAAAAGGCTATGGGCATCGGGACACGGAAAAAAAAAGATCCAGGTTGCCAGGCAATGCACGTTGCTGTGTACATGTGCATTAACCCGTTCGGGCACCCCAGGATTGGTAGGGTTGACCGTGTTACCACGGCCTATGCCTGTGTTGATATATTCCATCTAAGTCAAGGGGAGTGCTAAACTTCTCTCCTTTTTTACTACACAGTGTAAATGTACTGTTCTGGGGGTGTTGGTGTACAGTGTACTGAATTCAGGAAACTGAGGAAGCATTAATCTGTGCTCATCAGCTAGCTCCTGTGGTAAACAATTTATTATTAAATGTATTTTTTTAAGTAAATAGAAAAAAAAATGGATAGATAGAATTAACAAAGATTAATCAAAATCAACTGTTCCCCTTTTAGTCATTTTTTATGTCAGGTAGATGCTATTCCAAGATTATTGCGACCATAGACGGGTAAACAATTAAATATATTAGATGAAAATTAATTATCACCCAATTTATGACAATCCTCCTCTCCTGCTTGTTTCAGTTGAGGACTGGAAATAAATATAAAACTATTATGTAAACTTATAGTTTCGAGGATTATAAATATCTCACATCTTGTAATTTTTACTCATTTATTTCTATTTATTAATTAGTGGATAACCTACTATTTTGTATACTATTTGTATATTTTTATCTATTTTTGCTAATAAGTGTATGTATAGTTTATTTATTAGTAGATAGTGTGCTATTTTGGATACTATTTCTATTTAATTATTTTCTTGCTTCGTTTTCTTTCTCTTTCTTGTAATCTGGCCTTTTCTTATCCCTGATGAAGTGCTAAAACGTCTGCATAAAGAAATTTAAAAAAAAAAATTGTTTGTGTACTTCACTGACCTCAACTCCCAACCAAATTATACTAAAAGTTCCTACAGTCAATCGTTCATCTATATTAAAAACCATTGTATGGTATACTGTGTTTACAGTCTCTAAATTCATTATTATTTATTTTAAAATAAGAAATGTACTTATAATATTTTAGAAAGCTTGCCAAAAGACGATGAGCCACCGATTCAGAGGAGATCCCTATCCGATTTGCCCTCACCAGCTCCTGCGCTCCGAAGATCTCATACTTCAGACCTCATTACGACGCACCCGCAGCCGATCAAGGGCATCTTAAGGGAGTCTTCTTTCTCTGGCTCTATGAATTCATCCAATAAAGTTTCTTCAGTGAAATACGGTTAGATTTTTATTTTTTCTTCTTTTGTTATCAATATTTTTTATTAAAAGAAATCAGTTAGCATTCTGTAGTCTCTTTATGAATTTTCCTTACTTTTATTTTTTTAGGTGTCTGTTATCAATGTTAACTGATTTAGAGATAATTTGCTCAATGATTTGGGTCGGTCATCCATCTTTTAAAGCAGATATTGTTTTGCAGTTAAATAATTCTTTTATATTTTTCTTTTTTCTTATGAATGTTTGATTCATTATCTTTGAAAATTAAGTCTTATCTTAGATAAATGATGAATTATATGAAGAAATAATATTAAAGTTATTTTATTTACAAAAATCAAGTAATATTTATATAATATGATCATTTTACTAAAAAAATTAAGTAAACCACCAAAAATTTAATGATAAATATCGATACCCGCACTGCAAAAGCCTGTAAGAACAAAAATTTATCTTTTTTGATCGTATTTCTGCCAAATAATATTTTAGAGCCATAATTTCTAACTGATAGCTTTTTAGTTTCTTTGAAAAACAGGTATTAGTTTGGTAAACAATAATAATAATAATAAATTTATTTATTGAGCAATTTTAGATATGCCTTTTGGCTTATTTTGTAAATGTGATGTTCGTTAGCGAACCTCCTCTTCGGGATTAGCGTGATTGGAGAAACCTCCCACTGAAGGCACTCCTAACGTGACTCTTAATGCAGCAGATCCCTACTCAAGAGGCGTTTGAGTCTCCTTGGTGGATTCTGTGGTAGTGTGTCCATTAGTAATGTTTGTACAAGTGGATTAGGATGTCCAGCTAGAGATTCATGAAAATTTTTGTAATATTTTTTAATTACATCAGTCACTTGTGGTGTTTGTAGGTCTCTATGAAGTGATTTATTGGTTATGTAGGAGGGACAATGAGTGATATAACGCAGAAATTTTGATTGGAAAATTTGAATAGTCTGTAAGTGTGTTTTTTTTTGCATGAACCCCACACCTGAGAAGTTTGGTAAAAGCGATCAAATTTACTGTATTAACACCCATAATTTTGTTAATAATGATCAAAACATGACAGGAACAAAGTCAGTTTCTAAAATGTAGAGAAACAATATTTCAAATGAAAATTTGTAAAACATTTGACTGGTAAGCAAGTATTTGATGATCACACGGGTTATTCAATTTTTTTTTCTCCCACTGTAGGGGCGGTCAAATGGAGTATACGCTCCCCATTTTGGAATAGTCTATGAAAGTTTAATTTTTAACGTACTCAACTTCATAAGGACATGGCTTGGATTCACAAATTCTTGATAAGTTCTAGGTAACCTGCTGATGTGTAGATCACTTCGTTTCTGAGCTTCTTGCATTTTCGAAGATTCATTGATTTGAACTGATTAAAATTAAAAAGGTAAATTTTCCAATTAATGAAATCAATTCTCTGTCTCTCACTGTCTGGAATTTGGTGGCATTGTAGATTTTTTCGATTCAAGCTCATTTTGCAGTTTCCAATAGGTTTCGATTGTTTGGAACGTCGTTCAATATTATATTGCCGCTTACTATTCTCTTCTTTGCTTCGTCTAGTTCCATGGTAAGCAGTGCCGACGGGCTCAGAGCGCAAAACATTCTATATTTACATGGCCACCTTTCATTAAATTTTTTCAGTAATGTCACAATCTCTATAACCTTCACTGTAACTTGCAATTTTTCACATCACAATTTTAAGTTACAAGTTTTTTACAAAAGGCCATACAGAAGAAATGAAGCATCGTTGATTTCATTTTGTGGGATCAGAATATAAGGTAGAACAAGATTGACCAGAAAAGCACAAAACATCATTTTCTAAAGAAATTGCCCTTACAAGCTTTTGTAGTGTGTCTGTCCATATGCTTTTTAAAGATAATAAATCAAGCATTCTTATGAAAAATGAAAATTAGAAAAGAATAACAAATAAAGAGGAAAAAAAAAACAAATTAATAGTTGAGAAGTAATATGAAGGAATTTCATTAATTCTTCCTACACCATTTTACATTTTTATATTAAGACTGTTTCATAAAATATTACTTATTTTTGTTTGTTCCTTTATGTGGAGTTTAATACAATATCCTTATTATCTCATCCAAACATCATTCGGGAAATGACGATTTTGGTGCCAAATCTAAAAAATGGTCCAGTAATGATTGAAAATTTTTTTATTTTTTTTAAAGGTTTTTATTTTAACTTAATTATAAATATTTAAATTTGTTGTTATTTAATTTTGTGCATATAATGAAGTGAAAAATAATACTTGGTTCTCAGGTGATGCAGGTTCTCTGCACCCAGACACTGATGACGAGAAGAAGAGGTCAGTGAGATTCGCAGACTTTGAAAGGAAGTCATTAGATATAAGATTTCAGTTATCGGATTCAGAAGAGATGTATTCTGTAAGTAGCTAATTTTAATTATTTTTCCATTTGTCTCTTAAGTATCATTATTTGCCTGCAATCAGAGTTGGGCAAAAATTAGATGTTACCGACAGTTAAAATCTGCACTTAACTTAGTTGTAGTTCTGTTGAACACACAATTTAATGGTTAGTTGTTATTCATCAGTGGACAGCTAATTTTTTTTTGTTTTTGCTATGAAAAATTAGTTTCACTGGCAACTAAAACTAAATAATTGTATTCATAGTTGTCGAATAACAACTTACAACTAATATTTTTTTTTGTTAAAATCTTAGAGCTACCATCATTCCTTCTCTCATCACAGATGATTAGAAAATATTATTGCTTATCGATTTATTTCCTTTTTTTGGATTTCAATGATCATAACAATTTTCTGGCAGTTTATAGGTAGGTTATTAAAAAACAAAATTGGTGTAAAATTTTATTGCTTTTCCTCTTTGTCTCGTTAAAGGGTGATTGGTTTTTCACCATTCAAGAAATTGTCTGGTTGTTTGGAAATAGGATGGATTCTTTGAAGGGCTAGTTCAATGGTAGGGCGCTGAGTTCCCAAGTTCAAATCCCGTCTCATGGTAGAAAAATTATTTATTCTGTCTCATCGGTGTCGGGAGACCCTTCAGGGATACACCCCAGCCTCCCCATAAAGTGGGTATCATTAATTAATTAAGGGGGAAAGACTTAGCAGTTAAACGTGATCTTGGTCAAATCACCTGTTTTCACAACCGATGACCAAGAAACAGTACTTTTCCTAAATTGTACTGAACCCAAGACCCTTCATAGGTTGTAGTAGTACAAGTTTTTGGAGATAGGCTAGAAGGGTAATTAGTATGAAAATTTCTATCTTTTCATTTTCTTTTCCTCTGATTTCTCGTGAATAAGTGAAGGGATTTTTGTTTTTCATACTATATTTTAATTGTTTACAGATAGTCTAAAAGAAAAATGTCTGAAAATTCTATTCTGGTTTTAGTTCAGTTTATGAAAAGTTAGATAAATTTTTCAGGAAAATTGACTTAAATTTTAGTTATGATTTGTCTCAGAGTTTATTATGCTCATAATTTCTTGGTCTTTGCTTGTGCCATTTCGATTGAAGGTGGAATTAGCAAATGGACAGTTGGAAAATTTTCACATTTGTTTTCCACATTGTCTATCTCAAATATTCAGAAAATTGTTTGAACCAAAAAATTTCATTCTTTTATAGTTTATTGTGTTCATTACTCTTACAAGCTGGCTTTGATTCAAGATAGTCATAATTTTAAATCTATCTATGATTTAATAATTCCTACGACTATAGTAATTCCGAATTCAGTTTAGATGGATCACGTCAGAGTTACTGAATCTCATGATTAAATAAATTATTATGGTAATATATATTTAAGACATCCATACAAAATATTTGAAATTTTCCATTCTACAGTTTTATTATTATTACTTAACAATTAATAAGTTGTAAATTTTTGTTAAATTAAATTATTTCTAAAAATTTGTTTGCAGGATGTTGAAGATGATGAAGAAGATGAACCGTCTTCTGGGTCACCTGAAGCTGAAAAAGGTAATAATCAAATTTCAAAGAAACGAAGATGAATTTTTTTGTTATTTAAAATAATATTTGGTTTGAGAAGGAATTAGTCGAGGGTGCGATCAAAAAAATTAAAATATATAAATAATTTTAATTTTTGCCGACGTTTCGACCCACTTTGCAGGTCGTCTTCAGGGCTACAACCAAAAGTATGTGTGTGTGTGTGTGTTTGATTTGGTCACTGGCGAGGTATTGATTTACTCGTAAACCAAAATTATGTATAATTTGGTCACTGGCGAGGTATTGATTTACTCGTAAACCAAAAGTATGTATGATTTGGTCACTGGCGAGGCTATAAACGCCCGTAAACCACTGAACCCTCTCGATGTATCTTCACCTTGACGTGGTGAGAGGGCTTAATGCTGTAAGCTGAACTAAGAAAGATGCACATAACTACCTAAATGTACATGGACAGTTCTTCGTAATATTATATTTCTTATACAAATAAAACCACTTTTTAAAATGAAAATACTCCTTCTCATTATCCGCTTTAAGTTTAATAAATAATATGCTAATTTAATTATTATAAATAATATAAAGTTCAGTAAATAATATGAAGTATTCGCTACTGGTTAGTTTACAGATTATATAATTACGATAAACATATAATGTTGAAAGGCTACAATTTTTAAACAATTTAAAAAAAAAATGAAACGATGTTTAAAGGCTAGAATATTTGAACGATTTAAATTCAAAGAAACAGTGTTTAAAGGCTAAAATTACTGAACGATTTTGGGCGCTGCCATCTTGCAGGGAGGACCTGTGCCAGGATTGGTATATTCTATCTACTAAAATAAAATTTCAACATTTTAAAAAAGTCTCGATCATAAACCTCTATTTAATCTTCTCACTTCCATTTATACTTTCTTTTACTTTTCCTTTTATATATATATATATATATATATATATATATATATATATATATATATATATGTGTGTGTGTGTATGTGTGTTTGTATATGTATATATGTGTATGTATGTATGCGTTTATTTTTACTAGAACTTTTTTTTTTGACACTGCTAACTAGAGTTTTTGACACTGCCAGTGTTTCAACCGCCTCCCGCAGTGCCACATCCAACGGTATGTTTTGACTTTTATTGAGATTCCTTTCTTAACACACCTATCCTTCAACTATACACCTTATTATTATCTTCATATCTTATATATTATTATTATCTTCATCAGCCTACCATTCCATTACCGCTTTCAAAAAAAAAAACTAAATGTCAATTGTCATCTATATATAGTACAACCTGTTTTTTCTTTCTTTATCATCATAACCTTGTTTTTTACATTTATTCTTACATTTTAAAGTATTCTTTTAAAATTATTGTTTTCTTATAGAGTTATTTATACTTAATAATCTATCCCAACAATATTACACTAATGTTACCCTATTAATCTTTCAATTTCTTCACTTCTTAACCTTTGGTCCCGTTATCTGTTTATTTACAATTAAAGGTAACCTCCACTTGCTTGTTATCCACTGATATCTTATTATTATGTTATCTTATCCATATTTTAACTTTACTGTAACAATAGTTATTCAATTTTCAATCAATTTATTCGTTAACATTCATTTATTCGTTAACATTCATGTATTTATTTTCTTTTATCTATTTTCTTATCATGTATTTATTTTCTTTATCTTTTATTTCTGTATCTGACAACTTCTTCGTAATTTATATATACTTATATTTATTTTTTATTTTATTTTTATATTTTCAACATGTTTGTATCTTTTGTAGCCCTGAAGACGACCTGCAAAGTGGGTCGAAACGTCGGCAAAAATTAAAATTATTTATATATTTTAATTTTTTTATTTTTTTGACCGCACCCTCGACTAATTCCTTCTCATATCATATCAACGGTCAACCAACTCTACATCATTAATATTTGGTTTATAGAAATATGGAATATAAATTAGAAAAATGTATTTCTTTATCTTTATAATTACATCGTAGAAACTTAGTATATTTATATAATATATGATAAGAGAATAAAAGAGGTTTTTAGTTCTAGAAAGCATAGAAAATTAGTTTCAGTACGGTTTATTTTATTATTTTGTCAGATTTTTTTTTTCCCCCTTTCGTCGCCCAAAGACTCCCACTGAAGCCCTATACTTCCCCTATTGTTATATTAAAATAGAATGGAGATATGGATATACATTATTATTATTTATTTATTTTTAAAATCTATTTTGGATTCTTCAATAAATTTGCACAAAGACTTAATGGTATCCTGGTATCCCTATCTAGATCTGCCAGCCCTTGGGGGAAAGCGCTATTGTTTTGGATGAGGGGATATTTAGTCCGGTATTTATCATATCTACTGCGTTTAGAATAACGTACAATGGGTCCTCAATGGAGTTGCATGTCGAACATTTATCATTTTTTTCAACTTTTGTGTCAAGCCGCAATTTGTATGACCTTGGTTAATTCCTAATCTTGTAAGTAAGATTTATTTTCTGTTTAACTTAACACAAGTGTTTGAGAACCATGGGCGTAGAGAGACGTTAGGTTGGATAGTGAAATGATCTTTACCTTTCAAACTTGACTCCCAGTCATACCTAGCTTGCCATTCACTAATATAGTGTTTTTCTCCCAGCTAAAAATTTCCTTTAAAGGCAGTTTTGCATTTACTGCCCTTCCAGAACACTGTTTTGCTATCATATCAGCTCGTTCGTTCCCATACAAACCCACATGACCTGGAACCTATTGAACCTTAAATTTGTTATTTGTTGAAAGATGAACTTATTCTATTTTATTAGTTACGATGAAATGATTTTTAGATGTATGTTTTTGAGTGAATTACATACGGAAGCGGAATAAATCAGAATTACGACTTTTATAATTTCTGTTTCTTTTATTTATATCCAAAGAACAATTGGCCGTGAGGTGACCCTGGGTAGTAGACCCTCCTAGGGTAAAAACCTGGCGGTTGAGCTTGGTCTCGGTCAAATTACCTCCTTGCACAACCGTAGACTAAGAAACAGTGCTTTTCCTAGATAGTACTGGACCTAAGACCCTTCATGAGTTGTAGTGGTACAGGTTTTTTATATTTTCTGTTGGCTATTTGGAAAACTTCAACGACACCGCATAATTCAGTACTGTATATGCTAAACTATGTTGGGAGGTTTATGGATTTATCCTGGTTATATTGGATATCATATATCCCGACTGAAACTTTGTTTTTATCATTAGATGCATATGTATACATTTTTTGATAATTTTTATATTTTTCAGACAATATTACTAGTGTTTTCTGTTGTAGAACTGATGGTGGATAGTGTATTTTGGTCAAATCTGATTGGAATAGTTTGGGATTGGTTTTTATGATAATTGATGTGTCGGTTTGTTTTCAATGTTAAGCAAACAGAAAAATTTTATTGGAGTCAGTGGCAAATCTTTTTTCTTTTACGAGTAACTTTTTCTTTCTATTTTGCTCTGACAACCCACATATGTATAGTTTTAATTAAGTGTATTTAATATTAATCTTTACTGTTGATAATTTGTATGTTTCAGATATCAAAGAAGCGGAAAATGAATTAAAACCAAAGATCCTCTCGCCTTTAAAGAAAAACGATAACCCATTCAATTTTGTTTTACAAAAGAAGGAAGGTACTGATCAGCCCAGGGCACTGAGAAAATTTACCGTGACACCAGTGACCTTGAAGGATCCGCCTTTTGGCTATCCCGTTTCGGAATTGAAAGGTTTATTTAGAAGGGAATCTGTGGGACCTCTTGATTCCGACTCTGACTTGTCGTCTGGAATGAAGGGTGCAGATTCCTTAATGACCGGAATAAGTCGCCTCAACGAAATGGAGAGTAATGACGATTTGAAGAAGACCCAAACCGAACTAGATCTGTCGAACTCTCCCGTTAACGGTTCTCCAAAGAGTCCGGTCAGGCTGACGAGGCCAGGAGAAGGTGATGCAAGAAGCCTCAAGTCTTCTCCAACGTTGACCAACATACACGAATTGGGTGTGAATTTATCCTCTACTGTCTTGGATGTAAGGAAAGTACCGACTGAAAGTACTACCGATCTCACGGAGTATGCGAGCGCCGTCAGTGTACAAGGGATAAACTCTGTCGAGGTTTTTTGCAAAAATAGGAATGAAGAATTGTCTATTCTGGAGGACAAGCTTAATAAAGAGCTGGAAGAGAAGACCAAGCAGCTCCACCACTTGCAAGTGCGTCCTGTTTTCATTTGGCCGAGATTTAGTTACATTATTTTTATTAATAATTTAAACAATTTCTTTGTTATTTTGTAGGAAAGTAAACTAACTCAGCTAAAGGAGGATATGATGAAAAGTGAAGATATTGCAATAAAAAAACTAAAGGAAGAATTAGAAGAAAATCTGGAAAAACTGAAAGAAAATCTCAGAGCAGAATATAAACTGAAAGAAAATGATTTGAGGTAATTTGTGGCATGGTAGATGTACCAGTAATAGACATCTTTCATCTCATTAACAGATAATAAGTTTTATACGTCCAAAAGAGTGTGCGAATACAAGTAGATTTGAAATTAGAACACTTGAGAGGGTGATGCCCGAACCTCAGGCAGTATCGTGCCAAAATAGTCAGTGGATTGGTAGTTGATTTTTCAAAAAGCATACAAAATGGAGCAAGGCTGGTTCTTTGTTTAAGGGATGTTTTCTTATCACTTTTCTCTAGAAGAAAGGGTTGAAATTTTGATTCATTTATCTGTAGTTTGCCTAAATTTCTAATCTGTAGGTTGCTATAAAAATTTGTATTTGAGGCATTGTCAAGATGCGAAATACAAATCTCATCTTTTTCACTCCTTAAAAAAATATTTGAAACCACTTTGCTCCTTCGGCCAGTACAAATTGATTCATTATAATAGAGATTATTCTTATCAATTTCGATGATCTTTTTTTTTTTTAATTTGTAGGAAGTTAAGGAAGCTTTCAAATAAGCAAGCATTAATTGTGTATTTTTTGAGTTATTCACAAATATAGTTCTGAATTCATCATAACTTTTATTTCATACTCTTTTCGGTGAAACATGTTTTATATATAAATTGAAAGAGAATTAAGAAGACTTTAGCCAAGCTTTCTTAAAATCGCTCCAGCCATTTAGGCTACAGTCTATAGTGACACAAACGCGGGGCGGGGTAGTCGAATGGGCTAACCTAGAAACCTGATAACTGAAGTTAGATTGTAAAATATTATGAGTTAAAATCCTGGTACCCGGTGGAAATTTCAACTCGGCATTATTCCCCTGCCCTCTTCCCCAGGCTGGTAAAAACCCCGTGTAGCCTAGAAAGCAAGGAAGGGGAGAAAAAAAAAATGTCTATAGCGACACACGTTTTTTGGAAACCTTTACGAAATGAAAGTCCAGATAGTAATGATACGTATTGTAAGGTACGTTCTCTTCGAAAAGTAAACGAAACATTTTCTGAATCAAATAATATTTATTTTAAGCAATAATTAATTCTCAGGTTGGGTTGAGAGAACAAACACACATCCTCAATTATATAATATAAAAGCATACATTAATTGTACATAACATTTATGAATTTCCATTCACTTGTCGTAGTCTAATCTTGGTGCGCTCTCGAACTGCCTATTTATATGTCACTCGCCCTGTTCTGCAGTGACCTCTCCTCTGTATTGTTGCATTCAACTTCCACAATCTTCTACTGACACTAACTACTTGTTCTCCTCGACCCTCTTTACTAGCCGGCTGATTACCTTCTGCCTTCATCTGGCTCTTCTTCCCCTTCCATCAGTCATCGTCCTTTTTTTGACAGTAGCCTGTGACGTCACTGCCTTCGCACCATTATTTAAATCACTATGTAATATTTACATTACATTCTCCTCCGTTCCAGTTAATAAAAAAAATAAAATGGAAATTCATAATTTGGTGAAATATTTACATTTTTTTATTTATTTTTTTAATATAAAATAATGAACTTAACATTTGACATTCACACTAATTACAATGACATTCACACTATTTACAATGGATTTTCCAACCTTGTTAGCAAATAATTACAATTTAATGTACAAAATTATTGAATTCTTAAAACTATATTATATTAATCTTCATACATTAAAACAGAGAATTTTAATTCTTCATTTGTTTAACAATAATAATTCCAGAGCAATAATTTATAACAAAACATAAAAATTTTTACAGTATTTTTTTTTCTTTTTTAATTTTACAGCACAAAATTAAATAATCCTATTTAAATAATAAAATTAATCAAGTTTATTTATATATATATATTTTTTTTTTTTTTCTTTTTTTCCTTACCCTCCAAAATGTTTATTGAAACAATTACATATATAGTATACAATAATACAATATATACATGTAATAAATTCCTTCCATTGCCCTAGGGCATTTTAAGAGGATTGGGGATAGCTAAGGGTTACATATGTGGCAGAAGGCCTTTTATTTTGTCGAGTGGCAATTTAAACTTTTTCTTTGCAGTCTTCACCGAAGGAAAAACTTGTTGCATTAAGCCCTTTTATCAGTGACTGTTATATTGCTTTCTAAATGTTATAGTTTATTTATAATACAATAAGGCATGTTTTATAATATGGCATAAGATAATTTTCATTGGAAGGAGAAAAGAGAACTTTCATGAAGCCAGCCTGAGGAATCCTTAATAATGGTGCCAATAACTTATCTATATCATCCGGATCTACGTTTATCCCTCCTGGATCAAAACTGAAAAATAAATCCCAGAATTTTAATGGACTGACTGCAAATATTGCTTGCTTCAGTGTTATACTTATGGTTGTGTTATAAGTTGCGTTAAGAGTAGCTTCAATTTGGAGCATTTTACTAACTCATTTTTTTCATTAATTATTTTTTTCCGTAATTGACATATTTCCTCTGGCTGCTTTCGTGCAATATTTTCAAGTTTGTCGTTTATTTACCATTTTCTGCTTGACATACATTTATTTGATTTATTATTGTCTTTTCTTTTTTATCTAATTTTGCAGATAAATTATTTTCCAGGCATGCTATCTCTTTATTAAGATTTTGTTCTAAATCATTTATGTCAGTATCATATTTTTGGATATTATATTTCATGAAGAAGTGACGAATCATAGTCACATTTCTTAGAAATTTCAGGAATAAATGTTATGGAGGAAATTAAACTTTCTTTGCGAATGACTCAATAGGTATGCATTTTTTGTTGATTGCATCCATGATTATTTGTAAGATTACTAAATTCCTTACAAAACAAAAAAATATCATCGAAATCTAATCGATTGATCTATCGATTTAGCAATAATAAAGCCTATAACAATTCATGCATATTTGGTTATTATTATGAATGAACTAATGTGATTCAATTTAGGAAAAGGAAATTATTTCCTTTTTACAATTTATCACATAATAAATTGCATGAACTTATTTCTATATTACATTGTCAATTGTTCATTGAACAATATATTATGCAAATTATTCCCACAGACCAACTAGTTATAATATAATTAGCCATAATATTACATTAATTGTATCATAAATATCTTACAACTATTTTATTATTCATAATTATCTACTATTTGGTATTTATTATTTCTGACTATAGATCCTTTTTCTGACCCTCTGGAGGTATAGATTTTGATAAAAACAAAGTGCCAGAAGAAAAAGAATTATATTGAACTTATGAATCCCAATTTCAATCTATAAATCCGTGCTACAACTTCAGTGAAATCCATCCTTGTTCATAAAAATCCATCGCTCCTGAGAGCCAGAAAAGAATATAATACTATATTATATACCATGTTATATAGTTTCAGATTATTATAAACAGATTGTGACTGTGATAAGACATACAAGGCTATAAAATAGTAGATAGTGCAGCATCTCGTGCCATTTAGTTGTCCTTACAATGGATAAACTAGAAACCATATTATTTATTTGAAGTTAACTTTAAAATGTGATATCACCTATTGGTTTTTAAATTAGTGTCACTAAATTTTCCAGAAATAATTAAACTAAAATAGTTCAACTTCATGAATTAGATTTGCTTATTTCTCATTTTAGGGAACTCCATAAATTAGAGCTGAATAATTTATCAAAGCAGCTAGAACTCGAAAGAGAAAGAGAAATTGGAAAATTGAGAGACGAGAATGAAGAAATAATAAGAAAATGGAAAAAAGATGAAGGGGAGGTGTTGAATGAAGAAAGAATCCGCATCGACAATGAGATGTTTGAACAGGTCAAAAAGGGAAAAGCTGAGTGAGTATGCGTTTTGTTAATGTTAAATCTAAAACTAATTGGTTTTTTTTTTCTTTTGTTTTGTTTTTCATCTACCTTTTTTTTTTTATTTTTATTTTAATGGAATTTACAACTGTATTATATAGAGAATACAATAAGTAAATGTGAAATTGGTAACATGGCATGTACAACATGAAGAGAAACTACCCATTGGTAGAACTCAATCATCCACTTTTGAAATAGATTTTAATTTCTCAAATTCGAAGGCAATTATGTATCATTTCAAGTAATGATTATTTTAATCGAAAAATGTCCACTTCAATTTTAAGGGATTTAGCTATTGATATATTGTTAAATATTTTTCTAATGTATTGAAGTAATCATTCATTATATTTAAAAATAATATCGATATATCAGGCTTTGATATTTTTAATCTTTAATTACTCAAATTGGAAGGCTATTATGTATCATATCAAGTAATGATTATTTTAATCGAAAAATGTTCACTTCACTTTTAAGGGATTTAACTATTGATATATTGTTGAATATTTTTCTAATGTATTGAAGTAATCATTCATTATATGTAAAAATAATATCGATATATCAGGCTTTGATATTTTAAGGATATATTGAAGGAAGTTAGTCGGCTGTTCTACATATCAACTTTAATATCGATATATTTATAACAACCCTACTTCAGTTGAGTAATGTTTTTCATTTTTTTTATTTCATTAATCGATGAATGTCTTACTTAAGGTTGAAAAAAAAAAATTATTCCTAGTCACAACATTATTACTATTTATTTTATATTAGTTAATTTAAAGTTATGTTTTCCTTGCTTCAGGCTTGTTAAAAAATTAGATGAAATCAAGTCTCAAGAAGAAGTACAAATCGCCGAACTGAGAGAAGCTAATGAGAAAAAAATAGAAGAAATGAAACTGAAATATGAAGAAATGGTTAGAGAATTGAATATCAGACATCAAACTGTGAGAATTATTTTTTTTTTTTTATTAAAATTAAATCATTAAAATCTAGTAATAGTATAAACTTATAAAGAGCCTATATAAAATTTTGATGGCACTGCTTAAATAACAGTTTTTTCATTGGCTGCCTAACCTCTCTCAGCTCCTTTTTTATTTTATTTATTTACAAAATCTAATAAAATAGATTTTAAAAGAGATGTCTTTCTGAATATCATTTTTTATTTTTTATTTGCTACCAGTTTCGGCCTTTTGTCAGACCTCATCAGGCTAGATAATTAACATAAATTAATAAAATTAAAGGCAACCATAAAATACCAAAAATTTACAAAACTATCTATAAAAATAATACAAAACTTAACAATTAAATACCCAATTTATTACATTATATAAATATAATATCCATCCAGTCCCCATAAAATTGTAAATAGATACCACTGTAAATATGTATATAAATTATTAGATCGTTCTTCATTATTTTTACTTTATTTTCAATTTTTTTATTTTTGACTTATTTAAGTTAGAAAGTAACTTATAATTTTTTATTATGACTATTTAATCACTCAGCATTTTTTTTATGTATCTCTGAGGCTCCTTAGCCCACATTTCTGTTCTTCTGTATTATTCTAAAGGGACTCGTCCCAGAATAAATAAAGTATTATTATTATATATTAAATAAAAAAAACTGTTAATCACCTAACTTATGATGGTCCAGATGGGCTACCCCCACCCCTACGTCTTGCTAACGTTAGCTATAACTAATTTAATTAGGGCGGAACCCTGTGACATCAAGGCTTAATTCAAGAATACATTATAAACTCAATATTTTTACTTTGAGACAAGAAGGTGAAGAAAAACCTTGAAGTTATATTTGTTTTTTTATCCTTGCCTCGGCACCGAGACATGAACTCATAATTATTTTATCATGTTATCTTCAGTTGATCAGGTTGCTGGGCAATGCATGTTTTGCACATGTGTTAATCTGCTTGACCACCCAAAAGTGAAGATATTTCTTGGATGGAAGTTCTTAAGCTGGAAACATTACTCTAAGCTATTAGGTATTAGATATCAAACGCTATGAGCTAGGCACTGTCAGCCCCTTACATAGCTGATCAAACATAGCTATCCGCCAGTTGCAAAGATGCATAAAAAAAAATTCGGGACTTATTGTGATAATTGTTTGCTTATTAACATAATTAGGGCTGTTATTTCTTTCACCATGTATTTATTCATTCCACAAGTTCTTATAGCAATGCTTTTGATTTTTTTTTTTTTTTTTTTTTTTTTTTTTGTAAACTAAAGGTCATTAATGAATAGAAATTGAAAATTTACACATTTATCTAATTTTAAAAAAACTTCATGTAAATCGGTCCAGGAGTTTTTGCAGTTATCAGTCACAAATGAAAAAAGGTTATATTTTTTTTTATAATAATATATTTTGTCGTTATGTTGCAAAAACTTCACCAAGTATATATTTGATGGAGCTAATTTTTTTTTTTCTTGTTGGCACAATACACCGCAACCACAAGAGTCTATTGTGCGCCATGTTCTAAGCTGTTTTATTTTAAAACATTAGTTTTGTCGCTTCCATGTATCTTATATAGGATTGTCAGTTTGATAAACTTATGGGATCTGTCTCTCCGTTCATTCGAAGCAGCTCAAGTCTAAGCCTTGCAAACGTATCTCACTGAAAAACAATGTGAAAGGCTGTTTCGTTCTCATCATGACAGAATCTACATAGTGTATTACTTGTCAGTCAGTAGAGATTGTGCAAATGATAACTCACAGTATCCAGTGAGCTGAACTTCTAAGAAAGTTTTTGTTAGTTTCGACCTTATTTATCGTTAAAAATAAAAACACAGTAAATGTACTAAATTGACACACAAACCCTTTTTATTTATCTAGCGTAATTAAAAGAAGTCAACAATTTCCTGATTTCACTAAGGCAAAATTCATCAATGTTTTTAATGATTCGAGGCAATGAAATGTCATTTAATGATTTTTTGCAATAAATGAGTGATATATACACTGACAGGCAAAAAATTCCACCCACTTGACTTTTCCATGTTTTCATCTAAAAATATTTCTTTAAAGTTGTATTTGTATATAATACATGGTATTTGTAGATAATACTTAGTATTTATGGAATTTTATAATATTTTTTACCTTTAATAATCAAAATGTGATTGGGTAAGAAAGATTAGAGAAAAAAAAATTGAAAAACGAATCATTATTATTCTAAAAGAAATTAATTACATCATCGTTTAGTAGCGCGTGTTTCCTCCTCTTGCCTTCACTACTTCTTGAAGACCCCTTGGCATACTTACCACCAGTCGGGAAATGTCCCTTTGCTGGAGGATAGTTCATTCCTCCCGAAGAGCCCTTTCAAGTTCCTGCAGTGTATCAGGAAATGTTGCACGCGCTCTTATTCGTCTTCTGAGGTTATCCCATAAATGCTCAATGGGGTTCAAATCTGGAGAACGTGCTGGCCAGGCTAAAACCTCAATATTGTTCTGTTGAAGGAACGTCTGCACTATGCGGGCGACATATGGGCGTGCATTAGAATAGAACGATCGCTGATTTTGTTGAGGATAGGCAACACATGAGGTTCCAAAATCTCACCTACATAGTGAATGGCCGTCAAAGACCCTCCACTAACAACAACCAATTCTGTGCTGCGCTCCATTGAAATCCCAGCCCACACCATTAAGGAACCACATTGGAAAGGTTGGCTCTGGGAAAAATTACAGGCTGCATATATTTCGTTTCTTCTTCTCCACACCCTTTCACGGCCGTCTGGAAATTGAAGAGCGAATTTTGACTCATCTGTAAAAAGTACAGTACTCCATTCGTCCATAGTCCAATGGCTGTGTTCTCGAGCAAAAGCCAGCCGTGTTACTCTGTGAGTTCTGGTCAATTCTAGTCCTCTTACTGGACGAAAAACCATTAATCCATACTCATTTAATCTTCTCCGAGCGGTACGTTCAGAAATTTGCACACCTCGAACTTCTTCGAGCTGATGAATCGCTTGAACAACAGTAAGGTGCCGCTTTCGTAAAATTCTCAAAGTCAAAAACCAGTCATCCTGTGGTTTTGTTACCCTAGGCCATCTAGAAACGGGCCTTCTATTGTAAGAACCAGTTTCCCGAAAACGCCTGACGGTGTCTCGCAAAGTTTCATATCGAACTCAGATGGCATTAGCTGCATGTTTAATGGAACGTCCATCATCAATAAGTGCCAAACCACGCGAAACATCCTTAGCACTAAGAGGCATTTTTAAACTTAATATTGAAAAAATTAAAAGGCGGAGACTAAGAAATGTGTTGCAAGAAACGGCACTGAACTAATGATACTGAATAAACATTTTGATTCCATAGAAAGTAAACATTGGAATCTAGAATCATTTCATTGAATTAAGGATTAAGGGTTATTGTCCTCTATATTAAAATTCCTAATTGAAAACAAACAAAAAGATTACCTATTTATTCATTAAAAACAATAGACCAATCCAAAGCAGAAATATTTTTAGATGAAAACATGAAGAAATCAAGTAGGTGGAATTTTTTGCCTGTCAGTGTATGTATATTATGTGTGTTTGTATGTATACATATTTGTAAGAGATGTAAATAACATATTGTTAGTTTACGTTTCCTTTGAAAAGTAAACAAAACAGTTTCTGAATTAAATCATATTTATTTTACACAATAATAAATACAACCTCGAAGTACACCCAGATACTCTGATTATTTTGTAATTCATCGATATTTCACCTAATTACTTTCTCTGTATATTTTATTTTTACACGTATTTATATCTTTTTATCATTTATAACTTTATTGTACTCCGAATCAACCTGTAAATATTAAATTGTATTTCATGGACACACCAAAATATTAATATATATTCTGTATTTGTGACTTGTTCTAAAGGGACACTAGTCCCAGAATAATAAAGTTATTTTCATTCATTCATTCATTCAATAATTATTTCTCAGGTTGGGTTGAGACAACAAACACACATTCCTCAATTATAAATATAAAATCATACATTAATTGTACATAACATTTATGAATTTCCATTCATTTGTCAGGGTTTATTCTTGGTGCGGTTTCCAACTGTCACTATTTATATTTCACTCACCCTGTTTGCAGTGGATCCTCCTCGGTATTGTAGTATTAAACTTTTACAACCTTCTTTCAATCTTCTATTCTCCCTTATTGACACTCACTACTTGTTAGTCACTTTTTCTTCTCCTGATCCTCTTTACTAGCCGCCTGACTACCTTCTGCCTTTACGTATGGCACTTGCTTCCTCTTCCATCTGTCTTTCTCCACCTCTTTGTCCATTTATCACAGTAGATGTCACTGCTTTTGCGCCACTATTCAAAATCACTATGTAATATTTACATTATAATATATATGCTAATACATTTATATGTATAAGTATAAAATTTCCTCTGAAGGTATGTCTGCAAATACTGAACATATGAAGCTACCTATACAAGAAGAGATATCTTCAATCAGAAATATAATCATCTCTGGTCACAGGAAAATCCCCATGCAATTCGTGAACATCATTTTCAGCACCAGATTCAGTGCAATGTGTGGTTGGGGATAATAGACAATATTTTAATTGGTCCATATTTCTTGCCGCCTCAACTCGATGTGGGCACATTTCTGGAATTTCTTAATAATGATTACAAAGATTTAGCTGAACATATTCCACTACAACTGAGAAGGGGCATGTGGCTTCAATTAGATGGTTGTCCTGAACACTACGGAAGAGGTCTCCGACAATAGCTAAATGTTAAATATCACAATTAATGGATTGGCCGTGCAGAACCAGTGGCTTGGCGCTCTCCAGACCTGGCACCACTGGATTTTTTTGTTTGGGGTGGCATTAAACAAAAAGCCTATACAAGTCCGGTCAATGACCTTAATTCCTTACGAAGAAGGATAATTGAATCTTGTGAAACAATAATACATATTTGATATGAATTTAATGTTTACGTTTAATTAATAAAGTAGTTTGAACAATTAAATAAGTTTTATTTACTTAATATAACATAAATAATTCATAACAATGAAAATCTTTAGGTGTGAATATCTCCTAAACAAAACATTCCTAGGAATACCTTTTCTTGTTTTGAGGTCGTAATTAAAATTTTCAGTTTGGCCATTTAACCCTGAAACACCACACCCTGTATAAAGATACAACTTTATTTTATATATTATTTGTTAATCAAACCTTTTTATAAAATTAACTACTATTTACTAATCATTAATGATTTAATGTATTGATGAAGAAATATATATTTTTTTTTTCAATCCAATTATGACCCATGATACTTTCAGGAAATAAAAGAAATCGAAGAAAGCCACAAGCTGAGAATCAACGTTCTGACGAAAGATAAGGAGACGGAATTGAAAAGGTGCGAGGGCGAGTGGGAAGACAGGTTGACGGCAATGACCCTCAGCCAGAAGGCGAGGATGGACTCGATCGGGAAGGAGTATGAGACCAGGCTGGCGCGCCTCAAGGCCGACTGGGAGAGGGAAGAGGCTGAGATGAGGAGGCGAAGGGTTCCGTTTGACCAGCAGGCCCTCCCAGTGTAAGCTTATATTTATTTATTTTACATTGCTTTAGTGTCGAGTCGTTACTGTTTATATGGATTAATTTCAACTATTTGTTTTTAATTTTTTTTTTTATCAGTATACTATTAATGCAAATAGTTGTATGTAAAAATTGACTTTTTTTTTACAGAAGATTCTTAAAAATGGATTATTTCTTATAACTGATTAGTATGATTCTTATTTTATTTCCTTCTGCTATTTTCCATAGCAAACTACTTATTGGAGTTTCATGCTGCAAAATGTCACCTTTAGCACAAATAAGCATGTAAAATTCTTACATACGCCACCTTTTGCACTAACAGTAGTGATATCCTATTTAGACTATAATTAGTATTTTTAAATACTTTCTTTGATTGCTTGAAGTCACTAAACAATTCATTACTCTCTTTCTTCAGTCTTTTTCGCAGTGTCAGGTTATTTTTCTTTGTTTAACCTAGTGTAATGTATGTCGAAATTGCTAAATGTGCACATGTAAACAATCGGTGAACAAAGAAGAAAGGAATGAACGAAAGAGCTCTGAACAGTGTACAGCAGGTGACAGGAGTGAAAAGGTACTATTTCGCTGGTACTGCCCACGGCAGCATTCGCCAACCCAATGTTTATCTACCGTTGTGGCTTAATCCTCTCGATTTAGCTTCCTAGTTTGAAATAATATAAAATAAAAATGTTAGCCTTAAATTTAATGGTTTTAATTTGTATTCGAAGGACAGAGAAAAAAAAAAAAAAAAAATATATATATATATATATATATATATATATGTATATATATATATATATATATATATTATATATATATATATATATATATATATATATATATATATATATATATATATGATGGCGGAGTTTCGATTTTATTTAATTAATACATACCATTTTTTTCTGGTAGTTGAATAACAATGTTGAAGTTGAATAACAAGGTTAATTTATGTAGACTATAAAAAGCTAACAATTATCTGCATATTAATGCCCATCTATAAAATGATGGATTTCTTGCAATATTTTTAATATAAAATATAAGCCTCATAATAGAAAGAAGTGACAACATATTATTTTAAGAATTGGGTATATATCTCTGATTTTAAATTTATTATTTATTATTAGTTTGATTAGTAATAAATATCATATATTTGTAACACAATTATAGTAGGTAATGCTTTAATTTTATAATACAAATTGATTTTTTAATGTCATTTGGATTTATATATATTTGAATTTTCCTGTAAAATACTTAAAGGGGAATAAATAAATAAACAATCGTGTTACTTCAACCTTTGAAAAATGATTATTTTAGCATTTTTTAAATTTTAAACAATATTTCATTTAATTTTGTCAGACTAAAAAATGGAAATGAAATACATCAAGGTGCTACCTTCCCTACTAGTACTATTGTCAAGAATAGAAGAGGAAGATCAAGCTATCATACTACTGATATGTTAAAGGACTTTTAATTATACAGTATCTGATTACGTTTGTTAGAATAAATTATTTGTCATAGGTGATGAATAGTCAGGACGCAGTCAGTTTTAAGATTTTTATTGTTGCTGACATTTCGACTCGAACATGCGGGCACATGGGTCAACATGAGGAATGTTACCAGCGCTGAATGTGTTGAAGTACTGCAGTACTAAATCAGTTGAGTCGGCCATGAGCAAATGTTTTCCTTTAATTTAGTTTTTCTTCCATCCCTCAAACATCTTTTATCTACACAACCAAAGATTGATAGAACCAAATGAGTCCAATTCATTTAAAATGAATTTACCCATTCTAAAATTACATGAATTGAGTACATAAACAACCTCAGTGCTCAAACCACGTCCTGAAGATGACCCACATGTTTGGGTTGAAATGTTGGCAAAAATATAAAAAAAAATTTAAAAAAAGACTGCGTCCTGAATATTTATCACCCATTCTAAAATTTCATGTTCACTTGTTATTCTTACCAAAAAATGTCATTTAAGAATAGTGGGATATTGGAGAATATCCCATAGGCAGTAGACACCCTCAAAAACAAAGTTTCATCCAGAGCCTAGGGTTTGGTTTTCAAATTAAATTTCACTTATGAGTGTAAATAAGCAAGATCCTGTTCAAAGGAAAGGTTGTTTACTCTATAATGTTTTCATTTATGAAAAGGTAAGTGCGCTATTGAGGACATTGGAATACTTGTGATACATAAGCTCACACTGCTGTAAGATATTAGCCATAGTAGCTGTATTTATTGACCTCGATAAGTTCTCATATGAAGATTGGCTTTAATTGAAACAACGTACTCTTTTATATATCGGTGACATTTTACTTGAAATAATTTAATTCTGGTGATAGCATGTAGTTGTAGAACTTGTTAACTCAATGAAAAAGTTTATAAAATTTTTTTTTTATCATGGATGATAAATATTCAGGACGCAGTCTTTATAAATTTTTTATTGGTGCCGACATTTCAACCCAAACATGTGGGTCATCATCAGGGCTGAAAATATTTTTAATAAAATCAGAGATATAATATTATACGACAAGTAATGGTTTGTAATAAAAAAAATAGTCATTGATAATAAATGAAATATTTAAAAATTCATACAAACTAAAAATAATGTATAATAATAATAATAAGGCTTAGCGAACCCGAAGGTTCGATGCCGACACCACCAATCGCTTAACCTTTTAGGAATTCTCTCGTTACTAAGTCCAACAACTTTACAAGCCCATTTGATTCGCCGCGATGAAATTACCTCAATTATATTACCCGGATACATCTCACGCAATTCGGCATTGTGTAACCGTCTGAACTCTCCGGTTAACTCATCCTTTTTCGGTCCGAATATTCTACGCAATACTTTATTTTCAAAAACCTTAAGACGCTGCTCATCCCTTAATGTAAGCGGCCAAGTTTCGCATCCATAAAGAACTGTAGGTAAGATAATTGTTTTATAGATTCTAATTTTTAAGTTTCGGGACAAGAGGCGCGAACTAAGTAGTTTTGTCACAGAAAAATAACAAGCATTCCCCGCCTTCAGTCTAACCTTAATCTCTTCTTCAATTTCGTTTTTTCTAGTTATCGTAGAACCTAGATACCTAAATTTATTTACCTGTTCAAACATATTACCATCTATATCGATATCACCAGTAGTATCGCCATTTTTGCAACTAACCATATATTTTGTTTTATCCACGTTTATTTCGAGTCCTAATTCTTTACCGGAAAAATAATGTATATGATCAATTTATAAATAAGGTAATATTTTCTCTTACTGACCGTGTTTCGAACACTGAAGGTATTCAAGTAGTGACACTTTGGTAGCTAAGTAAAAGGGTTCAGTTAACAAAAGATAGGCAAACATAGAGGGAGGCGGGGGGTTAACATTTCTGTCTGTAGAATGCTCCATTTTACCATTGAAATGGAATCAAATAATTTCATCCCATTTCTTGATGTCCACATTTCCAGAAATAATAATACCTTATCCACCAATTGCTTCACCAAACCTACCTACTCCGGCCATCTCCTAAACTATTATTCCCAACATCCTTACCACCGAAAAATCAGTGTAGCTGAAAACCTGATACACCACAGTCTAACATTAACCGACCCGCAATTCCATAACAATATCCTAACTAAACTTCACAAGATTCTGAAACCCAACGCCTTTCCTGATCACATAATAAAAAATCAATCCATATCTCATCTTCACCTGTCTCCCAATAACTGCTCTCAATCTCCCACCACGATTCGCTAATACAGATCCATTCCATACATCCCGGTCCTATCTCAAAAAATCAAAAAACCTATAACTTCCAAATTCTCCCATCTATAGATAGTTTTCAAAAATAGCAGTAAATTAAGAAATCTATACACCAAACTCAAAGATCCTGTTCCGCTCCTACAACAATTAAATATAGTATACCATATCACATGCTCTAGCCCAAACTGTAATTTTTCTTATATAGGAGAAACAAAAAATTATCTCAAAAATCGAATATATCAACACAAATACAGCATCTCCACACGAAACCCGCTCGCCTCAAAACTAGCCGGACACACTATAACCCTTAACCATATAATTGATTTTAAAAACCCAACCATACTTGCCACAGTTCCCAATCATCAAAAACGACTACCTTCAGAAGCTATATCCACCAATTTGGAAAAAAATAATCCAGTAAACCACAAAGTAGACAAAGAAAAGATCTGTAAATCATATTCGAACATTTTCTGCGTCCTAAAACAGTAGACTATAATAATTAAAAATAGTTTTCATTTTCCCCATCAACGTACAGGAAGTATTTACTCCTGTGTTTATTATATATATATATATCGTCTATTCTCAATATAAATATATACTATAAACAAGCACAGATATGTTTATACTTATACTATTAGAACTATGTAATCCCTAATATAATAAATTTTTTTTTTTTATCAATATTGTTATGCTTAAAATATTGTATAATATATTGTATTACTTAACATTTCAATCAATCCATTACAATTGTCTGTATTATAAACATTTGGCTAACTATTGTATACCTTAATCAAACTATGTTATGTTTATATTGATTGGCACCTCTTACTTATGTTCATTTCATTACTAGCCAATAGTTCCAATTTTGTTAAATATTAGAAACCATGCAAATCTTGAATAATTTAGTCAGCAAATTATGTACATTCTACTAACAGAAATGTTACCCACCTCCTCCCCTCTGACTATGTTTACCTACCTTTTGTTATCTGAAAAAGGGCAAATGGGAAATCCTCAACCGTCCCTTTTGCTTACCTACCAAAGTGTCAGTATTTAAATACCTTCAGTGCTCGAAACACGGTTTGTAAGAGAAAATATTACATTTTTTATAACTTGATCATATACATTATTTTTAGTTTGTATAACTTTTTACATATTTCATTTATTATCCATCACTATTTTTTTTATTATTAACCATTATCAGTCATATAATATTATATCTCTGATTATATTAAAAAAAATTTCAGCCCTGATGATGACCCACATGTTTGAGTTGAAACGTCGGCACCAATAAAAACTTAATAATGACTGTGTTCTGAATATTTATCACTCATGATATGTACAACAGTCGACTAACTTCCTTCAATAATTTATTATTTTTATCCTTTCAACATTTGTTTAATCCAGTTACGGTAAGATCATAATATTGCTGTAAAGTTACTAATTTTTTATTTATCTTTTTTTCAATTTACAGTGACTATGAAAAACTGAGGTGTGAAAAGAGACTCCTTGAAGATAAGTATAGAACTCTGAAAGAAAAATACTGTCAATTAAAAACTGATATGAAAATTGCCGTCGAGAAGAAACTTCAAGCAAGAGCAAAGAGGAAAAAGGAAGAGTAAGGTTTTTAATTGATTTACAAGTTATTATCTAGATTGATTTTACTCTTAATTTATAAACCAGTGAATAACACAATGGAAAAGGATTTTTACCATTATATTCGTTGAATATAGTTATTTTACTGTTATTTTATACTGTTTTACTCTCTCTTTACCATCTTTAAAAAACAAACGTTATACATTTAAAAATATTAAATATTTTCCAGTTTTGATCTTAATAAATGATAATCAACACACGAAGCGTATTTTATTACTTTTTTAATTGGCCTGTCAGCAAAAAATAGTGAAAAGGTAATTTAAATAAGATAATAGACTAATTTAATTTAATAATTAAATTATCATATAATTAAATATTTATATTTTAATAAAATATTAAATATTACTTAAAACAATCTTATAAATATTAAAATATTTAAAAGATCTTTCAGTGTTATGACAAGAGAAGCATATCATTATAACAAATAAGTTCCAACTAGAACCAGGATCCGGTTCTCAGGAAAAAAAAGAGCTTTACTGTAATTTTTAAATTTGAAAATATCTTTTAAATTTTTAAGAATTTAGTCATAATTTGCGGGAAATTCTCTCTTTATATATATTCTGATTTTTATAAAAATGAATTGAATTAAAAATACTGAATTATTATTTGTTATTATAAATTTAATGGACGCTGAGGGCTTAATTGGTTCATGGACTGTGAATTCTAAGGACAAAATAAACAACATCGATACACTTAATATTATATTTAATAAATATACATTTATGAAAAAAATAAAATTGAATTTATGTTGATATAATCTATTATTATAAAAAAATGTATAAGGTTCTGCTTAATTGGACTGTCTTAATGGTAGATCCAAATGTAGACTGCTCCATCAACTGAAGTTGGTGTTCATCCGGTACATGGCTGTAGTGATCTTAACTCTCCGGGACTGATAGACGACTTTGCATCCATCCTGGCCGAAGGCCAGAAAAAGACTGGGGCGAAGCTAGGGAGTGGGGGTTGCATCCTTTCCTCCACAATTCTAACTAACATATTTTTTTAATGTGATAACTTGATAATTAAAAATCATTACATTTGATACAATATTGAATGTGTGTGTGTGTGTGTGTGTGTATATATATATATATATATATATATATATATATATATATATATATATATATATATATATATATATATATATATATATATATATATATAAAATCATTGCATTTGATACAATATTGAATGTGTATATATATATATATATATATATATATATATATATATATATATAATTTAGGAGTGGAATTGATACCCTGAATGGAAAGTTTCTAATTCATGAAAAAAAAATTATTTTTTTTTTTATTTTTTATTTCTTAATGACATTTACAACTGTATTAAATAAATTCATCTAGTAAATTTGAACATAATGGATATAATGAAATGAAAACACTTGTTGAGTAACTACCCAATGTTAGCACTCTAATGATATGTCTACATTAGAAGATCACGGGGCCATTTACTTTTCAGACGCCTCGGAGGGTTATCAGGAATTGAAGAGGAAGCAAGGTTAGAAACGAGAGGGTTGGGATGATTCTGAAGTTTATTATGGAAGAATATGTATCTGGATTGGGCCAGATCTGAAACATTAAGGTCATTATGGATGGTTTTATTTGTAACAAAGTAGGGAGCATTGAGGATTTTACGAAGGATTTTGGATTGTAAGGATTGGATACGAGAGGAATTCAATGGTTTATTGGAGCTCCATAGTTCAACTCCGTAAGTCCAAATAGGCCTTATTATAGTCAAGTATATGAGTCTTTTGTAATTAATTGGAAGTTTAGAGCATTCGTCTAGTAAGTGCTGAAGTAATCGGAAATGTTGAGCAGTTTCTTGTCGTTTCAGTCTGGTATGAAGATTCCAAGTTAGTCGTTTGTCCAGGTGGAGTCCTAGGTATCGGATTTGCTCAACAGGGATAAGTGGAGTATTGTTAAAGGAAGCTGTAGGACAGGAAGTCGTTGGTTTACGATGAATGCTTGAAAATTAAAACTAAATCTAGTTAATCCTGCTAAGAATAACATTTAATATATTAATAAATTCTTTCTAGGTTAGAAAGAGTATCTAGCCAACCAGAGAGACCGAAAAATTTGAATACCGAGCTTGTACCAGCTTCTTTGAACACGCCCAGGATAACAGTTGGGGAGGCTTCTCCTAGAGATGTTACAGATCCCTCTTCTGATGATCAATACACTCTTTCATCCACTGTTCCTGAAAAATGTAAATAACACTTTTGTTTCTGACCTGTACAAAAAAAGTAACCTTCAACATAAAATCTTTTTTTAACTTATGAGTTTCAACTTGATGTAACAGATTACTTTTTATATTATGTTGGTTTTTCTAGATGGAAGCCATCGGAGGTCCAGGAGCCAGCGGCATGACCACACTCCAACAGGAAGCCACGAGGCAAGGAGTCATCTGGAAGACTTGGATGAAAAATCGACAGATGTTTACTTGCACCATCCTCTAAATTCACTTGGTAAGTAACCTTTCACCAAAACAAAAGTATTTTGTTTAATTTCTTTTTTGTAGTTTTAGACAAAATATCTTACCACAATTAGAGGTGGAAAGTTAAAGTGAGGAAGTTATTATGGGCTCAAATTTCTAAATATGTTTCATAGCCTAAGTCCAATAAACGCATTTTCGCCAATGCTCTATTTTTCCAGCTATTTATGTATCTGCCAGATTGTATACCAGTTGGAAAATTAGTGTGGTATACAAAAATTAGGTATTAATCAGGAATCGACAGTACCTACTTGTGTGCTTTTTCTTTTTTTTTTTTTTTTTTTTTTTTTTAAGTGGCAAAATGCATCTTGGCTATATTATATCAGGCCTGAGTATACCTGGTTTGGATTTCCCATGTGCCAATAGCTCAGCCATTCGGAAGATGTAGGAAAAATTTATTTATTTTTTCATAAGTCCTAAGATGTTTTTAATGAAATATATGAAAATCTAAACAGTTTTTGATATAAGTAATTTTTTTTTTTTTAAATCATCCCAAGACTTAAAATAAAATAATATGCTAATTTTTATAACCATTGTATTTTTTATAATTGCAGCATTTTTAATTTTTAATATTACTTTATTACTGTAAAGTTATAAAAATGTTGGTGATTGGCAAATCTAATAATAATAATAATCTATCAATTATAAAATATTTTTAAAAAAATGAACAGTCAAAGAAATTATAACAGTTATTGCTTTACAAAGGACAGCTAACCATCTAGTTGTAGTTAAATTTACAAAACAAATTATTTAATTTAATTAAATAAGAAATTAACTATATAAATATCATTTTTGGACGTTTGTCTGGTATTGGTTGAGTGAAACGTTCAAATTTCTGTTTAGGCCTCAGCCGAAGCTCAGAAATAGATTATTACCGCCAGAGGCTGATCGCCGAGGAAGAACAGGCTAGGGCTATGAGGGAGAGCATCGATGAGGCCAGACGAAGCATGGAGGCGAGAGGCACAACGGAAAACAATAACGCCCCTCTCGGCCTACATCAAGTAATTGTAATCGATTGTTTTCTTTTTTATTGTCAATTAGAAATTATTTAAACTCGACTTTTATCATTATAAATATTTTAATATCGATAATTTAATCTGAACTAAACATGACCCATAGATCTTTAAATAATTGATTTTTCAGCTAATATTCAGGTGTGAATATATATTTATTTTAAGATTTGCCGACGTTTTGACCTAAAGTTCAGGCCTTCATCAGGGCTCATTCAAAAGCTGACTGCAATAGAGTGGACTTCTGACTCAATTGCAGTCAGCTTTTGGAAGAGCCCTGATGAAGGCCTGAACTTTAGGTCAAAACGTCTGCAAATCTTAAAATAAATATTATTATTTATTTTGCCTTCTTATTTCTGACTGATCACCCCCAACCATCCTTCTCTTTGTTATTAGATATAGTGTTATTAGCTATACTTTTACTGTAAACAAAGTTTGTGGGTTCTTAATTGATCTACCAACGTTTTGATTTAGTATTAAAATGCCAAAACTTAGTGAAAAGACTAAATTGCTGAATTATTTGGTTAAAAATGATTTATTTGAAAGCATGAATGAGGATTCAGATGGAAAAGAACTTGGAGGTGAATACATAAATGAAATCCTAGCTGTCTTTACATTCCATTTATTTGGATATTGTACACTAACAAAGAACAAAGAATTAAATATATCAAAACCTTATAATAATTGTCTCCGTGCGTTTGCGAAATAAGCAACACTTTACAGGACCCTAGGCTGCATTAAAATCGAGGGCGCTAGTGGCCATATTTAACACACATTTCATAATTAATTTTCTCGACTTTACATAGGTTTACAATACTTAGCACTGGTTGCATGAATATCCTTAATTAAACACATCATTAATGAATAAAATTAATAATTCATATATGTTACATAATTTCTATTTGTCATGCTACTATTATAATATAAAACTGTATCTATTATAAATACAGCTTATTGTAATGTTGATTTGAAACATGAATGGTTTTTAATTAATTTTCTTTTCCTTGGTCAATTACAATTATCGAGTAAAAGAAAAAAGATTCCTCCATCTTATGATATCATTACATTAGCTTATTTCCTTATTATTTAATTTTTTACTAATATACTATGCTAATTATTTACTCGTAACTAACTATAATAGTTTAGAGCAGGGGTTCCCAACCTTTTCTCAGCAGCAGGCACATTTAAAGGTTATGTCTTGAGTGGCGGGATTCGTGTTTTTGTTCGTTGTAAATTCCAGGTAGGTTACTGTTTATAAATTTAAAAAGAAAATGTAAAGGGTATCAATAAAAAAAATATTATGTAAGTATAGTAGCAGACATCTTTATCATTTATATAACTAATAAAAATATTTCTACAGAAAAGGCAAAAATACCAAGTGCAATGTTTGCATTAATTTCATATAGTTTTCTTACATTAAATTTACACATTGTCAAATTCAAATTGAAAAATAATTGAGATCGACATGGACTATAACTAATTATAAAATTAGTTAAATACAATGTTACTCACAGTTTCATTCATTTTTTTTTTATTATACTACTAAAGAAAGAGATTAATCAAAACAAGGGTAATGATATTACATTGATAAATAGAAGTGGGGTAGCTTTGTGATAAGGCACTAAGCTTCCAATGCCTCAAGGTCTCAGGTTCGAATCTCAGATCATGGCAGAAAAATTATTTTTTCTGTTTCATTGGCCATGGGGCGACTCTAGGGTAGGAAGACCCTCCTGGTGGCATATCCAGCCTCTACAAAATTGGTACCCTTAATTAAATAATTGGTTAAGAGGGAAAACCTGGTGGTTGAGCGTGATCCTGGCCCAATCTTCTCCTTGCACAACCGTTGGCCTTGTAACAGTACTTTCTCTAAATAGTATTGAACCCAAGACCCTTCATGGGTTGTTAGTGGTACAGATTTTTTTTTTTATTATATCGATAAATAACTTATTATTTTTAAATAATAATTATTAGTTATATAATAATAATTATTATTATTGATTTTTTTGTCTGTAAACTCTCCTTAGATTTTTAAATATTCATATATTTAATAAAGGAATTGTGAAATATTTAAATTGAAAACTCGTCTAACTGCAGCATGCCACGTAAACGTATGCAGCATTCATACTTATTAATTATTAGATATTTATTAAAATAAATATTCATCATTTAATAGAAAACTTTTCGATCTGTAGTAAGCAACAGTAAAACTGTAGTCAAAGCAATGGCTGCTAAATGTTATGTTTTGACAAAAGTGGGCACATTCATTGGCACAAGTGACGTCAAGTATGCTCTAGGCTGGAAACTCTCGGTGTAGAGTAAATTAAACATAACACTTTTCTTTATTTTGAATAAATATTTAAAAAAGTGTTCTATTTATTTATATTTAAAAATATAATATCAAAGAGTGTATTTACATAATTTTTTAATATTATACGTATTAATATTATATGCATAAAAGTAAAATCAATATTTTCAATTTACCTGTTATTTTTATTAAAGCTTTTTTTTTTTATAATGGTAAGTGATTAGATTTTAGATTATTGATGAGTTTTAGATGTTATCAAGTTTTCTTTTGTTTTAGGAACGAGATCTGAATGAGCTTGAGGTTTCTCTTCACCGAACGAAGCAGTTCTTTGGCGAGAAGATGATTCGTTTGCGCCTCCTCGGTCAGACTCTTTCGAGGTTGGCTGACGATACCACCTCACCTCCTTACAATGCCGGTAATGGGTTTATCATTTCATTTTGTTTTTTCATTCCAACATTAATGCACTGCTTTCTCATATATATACTGTTGGAATTGATTAATATAAAGAGCTTCAGATTGATAATGCAGTCACATCCAAAATGGAAATACTGTATTGTTTCTGGAAAATAACATCTGCATATTATGTGATTGGCAGTTACATTCCAAATTAAAGAGGTTTTTATGACCCACGTAGTGTGCTGTCACACACCTTAAAATGCTCCTTTTCATGAGTAGAAGAATCACATTTCCCTATTACTAATAATAATGTGAAATAGTTAATTATTATAAATAAACATAATCAATAGGTAAATAAAGAGGAATAAATGACCCACGTAGTGTGCTGTCACACACCTTAAAATGCTCCTTTTCATGAGTAGAAGTGTCACATTTCCCTATTACTAATAATTATGTGAAATAGTTAATTATTTTAAATAAACATATTCAATAGGTAAATAAAGAGGAATAAATGACCCACGTAGTGTGCTGTCACACACCTTAAAATGCTCCTTTTCATGAGTAGAAGTGTCACATTTCCCTATTACTAATAATAATGTAAAATAGTTAATTATTTTAAATAAACATAATCAATAGGTAAATAAAGAGGAATAAATGACCCACGTAGTGTGCTGTCACACATCTTAAAATGCTCCTTTTCATGAGTAGAAGAATCACATTTCCCTATTACTAATAATTATGTGAAATAGTTAATTATTTTAAATAAACATAATCAATAGGTAAATAAAGAGGAATAAATGACCCACGTAGTGTGCTGTCACACACCTTAAAATGCTCCTTTTCATGAGTAGAAGTGTCACATTTCCCTATTACTAATAATAATGTAAAATAGTTAATTATTTTAAATAAACATAATCAATAGGTAAATAAAGAGGAATAAATGACCCACGTAGTGTGCTGTCACACACCTTAAAATGCTCCTTTTCATGAGTAGAAGTGTCACATTTCCCTATTACTAATAATAATGTGAAATAGTTAATTATTTTAAATAAACATAATCAATAGGTAAATAAAGAGGAATAAATGACCCACGTAGTGTGCTGTCACACACCTTAAAATGCTCCTTTTCATGAGTAGAAGTGTCACATTTTCCTATTTCTAATAATAATGTTAAATAGTTAATTATTTTAAATAAACATAATCAATAGGTAAATAAATAATAATAATTTTTTTATTTCTCTCTAATTAACTGCCATGCCCCAACAGAGGTGTCACCTGAGCAGGATAAGGAAACATTTTATGAAGAACTTGGACGCGTGACAGAAAGCTGCCCCAAAAATGATGTTAAAATCATTCTTGGTGACTTTAACGCCCAAGTTGGTAAGGAGGTGGCACTCATGCCGGCCATAGGAACCCACAGCTTGCATAAGACCAGTAATGATAATGGGCTACGGATGGTGAACTTTGCTACATTGCACGGACTGGTTGTTGGAACAACTCTTTTTCCTCGAAAGAATATCCACAAAGCAACATGGATCTCTCCAAATGGGCAAACAACATCACAGATAGACCATGTACTCATTAGTGCCCGTCACAAGTCCAACATGATAAATGCAAGATCTTATAGAGGTGCAAATATGGACACGGATCACTATTTGAGCATTGCCGAGGTCAGATCATGAATTTCGCTGATTAAAAACCACCACCAACGACAAAAGAAGAAGATTGATGTAGCTAAACTTAAGGACTCAGACCACCAATATTCGTATCAACAAGCTGTGGAGATGAAACTTAATGAAGATGTAATTAATGACAGCTCTATGGTCGATGAACAGTGGAAGAGATGCAGCAACGCAATGAAACAGGCAGCAGAAGAATCTCTTGGCTACGAGACTAAATCTAGAAGGCCTCCATGGTTTGATGCTGAGTGCCTTCAAGCTGTAAAAGTGAAAAATGAAGCCTACAGAAAGAAGGTTCAGCGCCCCACAAGGCTCTCCCAAGAAACATATCGAAGAAAAAGATGCGAAGAGAAGAGATTATTCCGCGGAAAGAGAAGAGCTTGGGAAAACAAGAACATGGATGATATAGAGGCATTGCGCGGCCAAAATGAAAGTCGGCTGTTCTTTCAGAGAATAAACGAGGGTAGGGCAGCTTTCAGGCCCAGAGTGATGGCATGCAAAGACACGAATGGATTTCTTTTAAGCCACAAAGATGACGTACTAAGGAGATTGGTACAACATTTCAAAGACGCATTAAACAGAGGAACGGTGCCTGGAGAAGTAGGAGTAATGAAGGAAGACTCCCTGAATTCTATTGAACCCCCGGATGAGGAGGAAATGGAAAATTGAAAGGCGCCAGGCCCGGACGGAATTCAGTCAGAGCTGTTGAAATGTGGAGGTGAAGAACTTAAGAAAGCTCTGCATGATTTAATGCTGACCATCTGGGAGAGGGAAGCTATGCCTACGGAATGGGCAACAGCCATTATCTGCCCAATACATAAGAAAGGAGATCAAACAGAATGTGCTAACTATCGAGGAATCTCACTCCTTTCGTGTGCTTATAAGCTGCTCTCTAACATTCTTTTTGAGAGGATTCTCCCGTATTCTGAAAAGGAACTGGGGAAATATCAGGCTGGATTTCGAAGAGGACGCTCAACCACTGATCAACTGTTCTCTCTGAGGATGATCCTAGAAAAGACTATGGAGCATAAGGTAGTCACCCACCATTTATTCCTAGACTTTAAAGCAGCATACGACAGCGTTGATAGAACGCAACTATACTGTGCCTTGGAGGAGCTAAGCATCCCTCAGAAGCTCGTACGCCTAATCAAGATGACCATGGACAGCTCGAGATGTAGAATACGTGTCGGTTCTGACGACTCCGAAGAGTTTAAAGTGAGCAGTGGGATTAGGCAAGGGGATGCCCTCGCCTGTCTATTGTTCAACTTGGCAGAGGAGAAAGCTGTAAGAGACTCCGGTATTCAGACCAACGATATAATCTTCAATCGCCTGACACAGCTTCTTGGTTTTGCTGATGATATTGACATAATAGGTAGGTCTGAACGGGCTCTCAGAGAAGCGTTTATAGGCCTTGAAGCAGCTGCAAGACCACTTGGTCTAGAAGTCAACGAGAGGAAAACTAAGTATATGAGAGTTGGTGGTGAGGTGGATCTGAACTCTCCATTTGAGGTAGGTTCTTTTAAGTTTGAGAGAGTGAAAAGTTTTATATACCTTGGGTCTGAAATTAATAGCAAAAATTACATGGCTCAAGAAATACAAAGAAGGATCACGGCTGCCAATAGATGTGTCTTTGGACTTGGTCGACACTTAAGAAGTAGGTACCTCTCAAAGAAGACCAAGCTGATCATATACAAGACCCTTGTTCGGCCTGTTTTGACATATGGCTCAGAGGCTTGGACGATGAGATGAAGCTGAGTGTGTTTGAGCGAGGAGTCCTCAGAAGGATTTATGGTCCAGTAAAGGAGGGTGATGTCTGGAGGAAAAGAAAAAATAGGGAGCTCAGTTCTCTCTATACAGACATCGACGTAGTCACCTATATTAAACTGGCCAGACTAAGGTGGGCAGGGCATGTGGCCAGAATGAGCACCGTTGAAATACCAAAGAAAATAATGATGGAGGAGCTGCATCTCGTAAGACGGGTAGGAAGGCCGAGGACGAGATGGTTGGACAACGTGGCCTATGATGCGAGAACCCTGCTTGGTGTACGGAACTGGAGAGCTGCAGCAGAAGACAGAGCCAACTGGCGGAGGCTCTTGGAGGAGGCCCAGTCTCGGTAACGGGATGTCGTGCCACACATGATGATGATGAATAGGTAAATAAAGAGGAATAAACGACCCACGTAGTGTGCTGTCACACACCTTAAAATGCTCCTTTTCATGAGTAGAAGTGTCACATTTTCCTATTTCTAATAATAATGTTAAATAGTTAATTATTTTAAATAAACATAATCAATAGGTAAATAAAGAGGAATAAATCATAAGAATTGTGCATTTAAGTCCAATCGAAATGTTTCTATGAGGGTAATACCTGTCTGATATCAAAGATCACTTGAAAAATCAAGATAAAAATCTTGATATAATGAGTTTAGTCAAAATCATAAGCCATCATTTCAATTATATAAAGTTCCATCTCTCAATCAATCTTCATAAAAAAAGTTGCTATAACATCCCAGGCATACACCTACTTTAAATAAATAATTTGTGAAACATAGGAAAATATTCTTTAATTTTAGCCTCAAGTATATTTTATTATTACAAAGAGCTTTCAGCGCCATATTCATCTATTGACCAGTTGCATTTCATTTGTCTCTCAAAATTGTTTTTTTTTCTTTTCAATCATTCATTGATTGTCGTATTATTTATTATAAATATATTGTTAGAGAAGAGAAGACTTTTTCCATTCTTACCGGGTCATACTAGGCTATTATAAGGTGGAATGGGTCCTCTCTCCTACAACAATATATTTATAATAAAATAAACATTACGACAACGAATGAGTGATTGAAAAGAGAAAACAATTTTGAAAGAATGACATCCAAGTGGATGGATACAGATAAGAATAGATGAACATATTTTAGTGCACTGAAAGCTCTGTGTAATGGTAAATATACTTGAGACTGAATTAAAGAGTATTTTTCTATATTTTAAGAATAATATACAGTTTTCCTATTATGCATACATAATTTGTTTGTACTACATACACGCACTATATTGGGAAACTTGATTTTTTGCACTCAAGGACCTCAAAACTTGTATTCCATCAATTTTTTTTTATGATCGAAATACTTTTCCTGACCATATATTTTCATATTTAAGTAAGTGAATCAAATTTTGGGATTAGTTAGAAATTATAATTACCATCATTGTTAGACACCATTTTTATTAATTGTACTTTCAATGTTAGCCTATTTGATAGTAATTTCATAAAATTTACATTTAAAATTACATTAAAGTTCCTTTTCCCGTTTTACACACTATTTGTGCCTAACTATTTTTCCTGAATATGATCGAGTTATTGATGTGGGTCATTTGTTTTCTTTGTTGCAGGGGAAAGCTCTGTTGCAACCAGTAACGTTCTGCAAAATTTAGATAACATTAATGCGGAAATACGTGAAATCTGGAATCAGCTGAACAAAAATCAACCATCGGGTAATTTAATTAATATTTTTTATGAACAATGGGTGTAGTCATTGATTTTTATTCAGAAGAAGAGGAAATATCAAAGAAAAGTGAAAAGTATTGTTTGTATTAATTTTGTAGCTTGGAGCTAAAAATGATGATATCGAAAACTTAAGAAATATGAGAGAACTTCAAGATTAAACACATGTTTATACACAAAACATGTTTTTAATAAATTCCAGTTAAAACTCTAGTTTAGTTCATTTTAAAAAAAAGAAAATCTTTTGACAGAAATGTCGCATTCTTTTTCCAATATATTTTTTTCTATTATCTATTCTATTAGATTTTTACTTTCAGTTTTTAATACTCTTCTCATTCAAAACCACCTCTAATCTATTTATTCACATATTATAGAACGTTTCTCTTCTGCCAAATTCTTTCCAAATCAGAGTAAGATATAAATTAACCCTTAATCAGGCAGTGGCTTTATTCATACCAATTACCTAGAAGTGGGTACTTCCTATTAAAAATAGTGTGGTTACATTCCTGTAGATGTCAGAAGGCACAGAAAAATATATTTAAAGGTTAAGATTGGTTTGTCAGCGAGCTCTAGTCAAATTTTGATTTCGGTAGCACATAGCCATCTATGTGTCTGGCCATCCAGTGCCCATTGAATTGAGGTACAGGTAATAGTGGCCATCGTACTATGTAGATGATAATTCTTATCAGTTTATCTATTTATTGTAAGATTTTTCCCATAAAAAAAAAAAAAAAATGTTCTCTTTAAGTTTAATAAATGAGATACAGTGAGTCTAATTTTTATTTCAGGTTATATACTCTCATAAGATAATATCACTAATAATGTGAACAAATTTGTTTACCACAAAAAAAATTATTTGTAGTATGGCATAACCTGGCGGTTGAGCGTGATCTTGGTCTGATCACCTCCTTGCACAACTGTTGACCTTGATGCATTACTTATGAACCCAAAACCCTTCATGGGTTGTAGTGGTACAGTTTTTTTTTAAATAAATTAATATCAGAAAGTGTTAAATATAGAAAAGTATATCAGAAAGTAAAATTTTAATTGATAATAATTAAATAAGTTTGAAATCTAGTAAAAAAAGTAAATGAACATTATTATCTTGTTTAGGAGCAAACAATGGTGGAGGTCTAAGCGAAGTTCGTTATAAAAGCGATGAAAAACCGAGAACAAAGTCATCACACCACCATCAATCGCACCGGTCATCAAAGAGGTCGGAAATTCAAGCTCGGTTGCAAGGATTACAAGACTGGCTTCAGGCACCGCCGACTGCCGACTGGGCCCAGCTCACCCTATGAACCAATGAGTAGTGTCGAAATCTTTTCACGTAGTACACTCTTTTCAGCGATCCAAAAAGCAGTATTTAGAGGTGTTTGTTGTAGTGATTATCAATTGTTAATAAATAAGAACTTTGCTGGATCATTGAGGCGTGTCGCTAGTCGTTTAACTTTAGAAGGAACCAACATTCAGAATGGTATATTAACTCTATCTGTTGAATGTTATAATTTTTTTATGAAGTTCTTACGAGAATCAAAACAAAAAAATTAATGGTATGAAATAAAATTATTTATAATAATAAAGTATTAAAATATATTTATGGTTCAGAAGTGATAACTCTTTACTGCCAAAAAGCATATTTCATGTTTTGACTTAATCAGTGTCACAATGTTAAACACTATCGGCTAATGAGAACTCATATTTGCGCCGATATATGTTTAATAAAGAATATTGTGACATCTATTATTTGAAGAGTAATAAACTTTCCTCGTGATATATGTTATCATTGCTAACAGAGAATAGACAAAAAAATATTTTTAAAATTAGAACAATTTTAAAATTTTAAATTGTGTGTTAACATATTTTCTTTATCCATATTTTTATTTTATTACTTTTTTTTTTTGCAGATGCAAGGAATCACTTCTTAACCATTGATATAATAATTGTTTGTAATCTAGTCAACCGGTGAATATTTGTACGTCCGTTTTAGCCACTTCGTACAAATGCATCAATTGTTAAAATTAAGAAAATACTTGATTGTCATAAAGATATAGATATTAGAAAATTAAGATTAAATTTAAACTATGAAGACTTTTCAATCAAAAAATCATAAAAGGTGTCTTCTAGTATTATATCTAGATAACTTCCGAAATGTTTATGAATGTAGTTTTGAATAATGAGTTTTACATAAATAGGTTATTTATCTGCGAATCTACCTAGTAATAAAAAATTTGGCTCTACTGCTCAATAACTGCAGTCTAAAGGAAAAGTTTTTGTTTTTATTTTTGAGTGGCTTCGTATCAAAGACATCTGTCATTTTCAGAAAGTGCAGAAAAAGTCTGTTTTTGTTTTACAGGTTCAACTTAAACTGTTTCTGATAATTTTATTTAATAATGTTTAAGTTGAATCTTGCAGAAGCGGGGCGGGGTAGTGCTCAGTGGGTGAGCACTGACTTCCAGATATCAGGGTCCCAGGTTCGAATCAGACTGATGAGTAGTAATTTTTCATCAACCGTAGGTCGACCATAGTACCTGGAGACCCTCCTGTGGCGAACCCAGCCTCTATAAAGTGGGTACAATTAATTTAATAATTAATTAAGGAAGAAAACATAGCGGTTGAGCATGATATCGGCCCGTCACCTCCCTGCACAACCGTTGGCCTTGTAACGGTACTTCCTCACATTGTTCTGAACCGGAGACCCTTCGTGGATTGTTAGTGCTACAGGCTTTTTTTTTTTTAAGTTGAATCATGTAAAACAATCTTCAGAATTGGGAAAAATTGAAGCTACATTACAATGCTCAAAACGGAAAAAAAAAACTTTTGTTTCTAAAAAGTTTCGGTATCATCGGAATTGTATCAGTTTTTTTAGAACTAGAACTTTCCCTTGCAACTTTAATTTTTAGAAAACTTTTATTTTAAAGTTCTTTCAATTTGATTAAAAAGCCAATCTTTTTTGAATCTCTATGAATTTTATTCATAGAGTGATAAATAGTCAGAATGCAGTCATTTTAAAGGTTTTTATTGGTGCCAACGTTTCACTCAAACTGTTTTTTTCTGTGTATTGACTGCCATCTGTTATTTATTCTTATTTCATTACAAGTTAATAGCCGTAATATTTTTAACTATAAGAAACAACGTAGCTATTGTACCCATGTTTCCTTAAATATTTTATTTATCAAATTGATTTGCATTCCGCTAAGAAAAATGTTACCCTCACACTCTGACTTTGTTTACCTTTGCTATCTAAAAAGCAAATCTGGAAAATCCTCCAGTGACCCTTTACTTATCTACCTAAGGACCAGTACTTGAATAACTCCAGTGCTCGAAACATGGTTAATGAAAGTAAATATTACATTTCTTATAAATTGATTATATACATTATATATTTTTTGTTTGTATGACTTTTTAAATATTTTATTTGTTTAGTTCATTTAGTATCAACCACTATTTTTTTTTTATTACTAAAAAAAATTCTGATTGTATTAAACAATTTTCAGCCCTGATGATGACCCTGTTGCTTGAGTTGAAACGTCGGTACCAATACAAACCTCTAAAATAACTGCGTCCTGACTATTTTTCACCCATGATATGTAGAACAGTCGACTAACTTCCTTCAATGACTTTTATTCATAGCTACTCAAACAAATTACATATTAGAATCATGTGTGATTCATTTGAGACAAATTATAACTTTTATCTAAGCCTAATTACTGTTTAATTATTAGTACTTGCGAACAATCCGGTCGGGACGGACTGCTAACTGCCAATGTTTATAACCTGGACATTGATAATTCTGATAAGGCGCTGATAATCTTTATCTTCGTATTGATATTTATGGAAATTGAAATAGGCAAAAACAAATGTCATATTTATGTAATTTTTTTTTTTTCTTAATTATATTTACAGCTGTATGAAAGAAATATATTTAATAAATTTGAACATATGGATATAATGACGTGAAAACACTTGCTGAGTAACTACCCAATGGTAGCACTCTAATGATATGTCTACATTAGAAGATCACGGGGCCATCTTCTTTTCAGACACCTCGGAGGGTTATCAGGAATTGAAGAGGAAGCAAGGTTAGAAACGAGAGGGTTGGGATGAATCTGAAGTTTATTATTGAAGGATAGGTATCTGAAGTGGGCTAGATCTGAAAGATAAGGAACATTAAGGTCATTATGGATGGTTTTATTTGTTACAAAGTTGGGAGCATTGAGGATCTTACGAAGGATTTTGGATTGTAAGGATTGGATATGACATGGTTTAGTGGAGCCCCATAGCTGAACTCAAAATAGGCCTTATTATAGTCATGTATATGAGTATTTTGTAATTAATTGGAAGTTTATGTTTAATATTTGCTGAATTAATCGGAAACGTCGAACGGTTTCTAGTCGTTTCAGTCTGGTATGAGGATTCCAAGTTAGACGTTGTCCAGGTGGAGTTTTATGGAAATTAAAAATACGAAAACAAATGTAATAATAACAAAACACTTTTATTTTACAACATACATATGAAATAGACAAAAACGAATGTCATATTAACAAAACACTTTGATTTGAAATTGAAATATACAAATTGAATGTGATATAAATAAATAAAATAAAGATGAAATGTGTTGAGTATGGACACCACTTGATGGATCAATAAAGTTATACCACTGATCCACCAGGAAATGATTATAGTTTGCTTCATTCAGTTGTTGGGTGTTGGGTGTTCAGTTGAAAAGGTAATCTTCGACCCCTCTAACCACATTCCTTTTCTTATAGATACGTTTTTATTACAACTGCTACGAAAGCAGCTCCATTTCACCTTCCTGTCAAACTTCATTTCAAGACCTTCACAGAATTTCACCTTTGGAATTATCCCGGCCTTTTGAAAATGATTGATAGCTTCTTCTTCTTCTGTAGATGGCAATTCCCACAATGTAATAATATCCATTTGAACTATAAACAATGGAACAAAAATAAACAACGGAATAACTCACACCTAACAGAAGGATAACAACAGCTTACAGGAGATCAAAACGGAGGTTATGTTACGAAAGATAAGATAAGAAGGGAGGTTTCGTCCCTACTGGGTTTTTAACAATTACCTCATTTTCATTTAATAGAACTGTATTTAAAAACTTGAACTTTTACCATGAAACTGCATTACAAAAAAGTTCCTTAGAGCTGTTTTCCTAAAAAAAAATTACAGAAACTGTTAAAATGAAACTTTTTAAAGAAGTTGTATAAACGTTTCAACCCCTAGGTTGCTATGTTGAATTTTTCTCAACTTTTTTAGAAAGGCAGATACCAGGCCCCTTAGTATAGTTATAAAAAATAATGTTTTATTATCTTTTTATATGTTTTCTTAGCGATTTGTCTAGACCAGTGAATTTCCAACCTTTATTCTGCACTAGGTTCCAAGCATTATTTTGTTAGAACTTATTGATAGAGAACTATTTTATTGTTTACTTTTTCTGAGGTTTGACTGTTGGAATGGACTTTTAAGCATCTTAATTTACAAATATTTCTTTATTTTAAGATATTGTTTAGGAGTGGGTTCAGTAGACACATAACTATATATTTTAGTAGCATTTAACTGAATTGCCAACGTTTCGACCTATGTTCATCAGGTCATCAGGACATTTGATCTAGCACTGCTGGAAGAAGTTTGGAAATTGATCATAGATCAGTTTACAAAAATTTCTTTTCATGGGTTATAAATAGTCAGGACACAGTCAGTTATTTTACAATTTTTATTGTTGCCAACATTTCAAACGAAGCTTGTGGGTCATCGTCAGGAGGTTACCAACACTGAAGGTACTTGAACACCTTCATTGTTGGTAACATATCCTGACGATGACCCGCAAGCTTCGGTTGAAATGTTAGCAACAATAAAAATCTTGAAATGACTGCATTATAAGTAGAACAGTCGACTAACTTCCTTCAATAAATATTTCTTTTGATGCTGTTTACGTTTTAGGGGTCAATACACTTCTACAGATTGGAAAGCAGTGATCTATTCTCCCATTTTTATTCTCTTATCTTGTTAAAAGATATCGGATACAAGATATTATTTTATTTATTTATCTTTATGTTCTTTATATACAAACTCCTTATTTTCTATTTCTTTTGGGCTGAAGTTCCTCTCTCCCCTCCAAAATGGTAAAATATAACCTTGTTTTATGAAAAAAAAATTTCTAAAAGTATTATTCTTCGTCTAATTATATTTAAAATAGGACTTAAAAAATCACTTAAACTCCATTTCATGTAGGTAATTAGTTTCTTTCTTTCTTCCAAAGTACCTAATTATAAATACAAAAAAAATATTTCGGGCTTAAGCCTCTCCCTCCCTCCCAAAATTAATTCCTAGATCCGTTAGTGCTTTGAACTACATTATAATAGAGTTGTGGTAATCCAAACTAGAAAAAACTGCATCCATAACTGTTTTAGCATAATATAATTTCATGTTTTGTGATACCTGATAACACAAATAAAATTACACCCTCACTTGACTCACATCTTTTCTTTAAATTATTTTTATACATACTACTTGCTAAATTAAATTTTTATTTCTTATCTTAGTTATTAATTTTCATTAAAAATGATTAATTGGATGTCTGGATACTTGGTATCCACATTATTGGAATCTAGAATAGATTGACAGAATAAAATTTTTTTGTTTACTTTTTTATTATTTGTTATCAGACATTAATAACTTTATTAATTTTATTTTTATCAGAATAATTAACTGACCTACTTTTAGAAAAATTCTTTAAGTTGAGAATTTAATTTTGTTTTTCGAAGAAAAAAAATTGACATTAATTGAAAAAAGATAATGAATGAAAAAGGCGTATTGTTGTTTTTAACAAAATATCCACGTTATCGTTGACCTATTTGGCTTTATAGAGTCTAAACAATAAATGTAATTTTTTTATTTATTAGTTTTGAAAAAAATTAATCAGCAAATGTCTTTCATGATTCTAGTCATACTTATATTAGAAGAAACAAATTATTATCCTGAATATCTTAATCGCTAAAGTTTTCACAGCTTTTGATATTTATTCATAAAAAGAGATTATTGATATTTTTTCATTTTACTAGTTCTGAAATATTGCTCCAAGATGGGGGGGGAGAGGGAGTTCAGAATCACATTGATCATTCTGTAGATGAAAAACCAAAGAATGTTGAAATTAGCTCAGTATTGACGGTTGTGTCTTCACTAATACAGAATGTTTAGGTTAGGTTACATTATTCTCTTTTTTAAGAGGGGATTATTATTGGTTAATAAAATTATTACTCCATCACTTTCAGATTTATCCTCGCTACAGAGATCGACAAACCGTCAACGGATCCTTTTTAGTTGAGATTAGGCTTATCAACCAAAAGATTTTGTAGTAGATGAATAACCTTAAAGCATTCGATGCTGAATTGAAAAGGATTTATATCCACTGATAAAAATCATTGCTAAGGTCTCCAATCTCAACTGAAACTCTTTTTAATAATTATAAATACAATTTTTATTGCTCAAAAATATCTGGATATCGGGTATCTTTATCTGCTTTCAGACACATTTTATTGATAGTAGAATTACTTCTACAGTGTGATCGATGTGATTTTGAACTCAACCACCACCCTGGGGCAGCATTTGGAACGAGTATCAGTTTTTATGTTAAATATTATTTTCCTTATTATCAAAACAACCCATTGTGATCAGGGTCATGTGGTTTTACATTATTGTACATATGTGGCTGGTAAATAAACCTGTATAGGTTACTGATGTTTGTCATTCCGATTTCTTATACACAGTTGTGCATTATATGCACTGCCACATAAACACCCTACCACAATTTGTTAAAATTCTATTGCTGAAAAATATTTAAATGAAAATCAATCTTTTTCATTTATGTAGTTTCATAAGAAATGTTTTAACTATGTGTATTGTAAATTATTTTATTCTTTATGAATTGGTTTAAATGAAAACAATTTTTAAAAAACTTATTGCCACTTTGAAGTGGATAGAATTTTCAGTACTTGTGACTTGACCGGTCGCCATGGAATCTACCTTCTTATCTCGTGTAACCTCTTCTTATCCCTTGTCTTTGCTAATTATTTGTGCGGTCTTCTCGTTATTCAATTGTTTTCAGATCTTTTTTTTTTTTTTTGTAGTTGTTAATTTTGTTATTTTCTATTTAAAATAGATATATAGATAACACTTTGGCAGAAAATCAACAACTAAAAAATTTGGAGTGCCTGTAAAAATAGTTATCGAGGAACTGCGATGTAACACCTGGTTTCATATTTGTGGAGGCGGGTCCACAGAGAAGAGGACCTGTTCCTCGTTATTTTGTCTCTCAAAATAAATAAAATGTAATATTAACGTGTTTTGTTTACTTATTATTACATTTGTTTTTGTCCATTTCAATTTCTATAAATAAAAATAAGAAGGTAGGTATTATCAGTATCAGAATTATCAATGTTGAGGTTATATACAATGGCATATAGCAGGCCGTGGCGACCGGCTAACTCTCAAGTATCCAATTTTCATGAAAATTTGTGATGATACAATTCTATTAAAAATGACAAACGAAAGATGTAAGTGATGTAAACCTTTACTTGAAACCAAATAAGAAATAGACTTGGTTCCTATTTGGTAAAGTAAAATTATGATTTAATCATTTCAAAGTTGAATAGTTGAAGCTTTAATTTGCTGTGCTATGATTTATTAATATTTTCAATGTTCCTTTATTTTGTGATAATTAATTATTATTCTTGTCATTGATTATATTTGTCTTTATAGAAGAATAAATGTTCATAATTTTTATTAAATTATATCTGCTTATAATTAAAATTTTCTTTTAATATAATTTATTTGCTTTAAGCATAAATTTTGATTTTCTGTTTATTTTCTTTTATAATGTTTATTTATTCTATATCTATTTATTTACATGTTTTTTAAAATTTATTTAATTATAATCATCTCAATTCCTGCCATTGATAGGGCCTATGTAGCAGCAGCTTTAATAGTTTTATCAAGTTACGTTTCATCCAATTAAAACGATACCTGTCGGGATGAACGTAACGAAATCTTTGTTATACCCCGTAAGTAGCTATTTTTACTGATGTGACATTGTAATATAAAATATTTATAATGGCTGTGCCGTAAAATATCATCATCAGAGTCTTAGATTAACCCCTTATTAAAATAAGGTTTGCGGATGACTCAGTTATTACTATTAGTCGGCAGCAGAAAAAAAGAAAAACATATTACTATTTATAAAACTCCTGCGTTAATTTGAGGTGTATCGATTAATATTACTGATCTGTTTTAGTTCGACTACTGAAGAATATAGCAATGCCTCTCGGGGACCAGCTGTGAGATTGCTACTGAGTCAATAATTTCCATTCTAGTAACAAGTAATTAGTTGAGTAGATTCTGCGATTCCTGAAAGATTTCAGAAGCTTATAAAAAGACTGGAATTCTCTATAGGAAATAAAAATTTTGATCGAAATGAAAAAAAAAGAAAAGTATCTATCTATAAACAAATATATAGATCGTTAAAATCAAAACTAATTAAGGTTATTTGATTTAGCTTTATCTGTTTGAAATACTTGACAGATTATTTAATTAGTTTAGGTGGTTATGCGCTCAGGTTTTTTGAAAACAAAACATTAGTTATTCTATACTTGGTTAACTATTTAAAATATAGTTAAATCTCTACATATTGAACTTAATATGTCATAAGGCCTGTATTACTCTACAGAGGTTTTTTAATATGTCTTTTTTGTAAACTAGGTCGGAGGATATGATAGTTAATAGTTCACTTTGACGAAAGAAAAGATGTCCTAAAGTGTTTAGATATTAACGCATTGCGTACTTTTCAACATTCTGGGTTCAATTCCAGCTCTGGCTGATGATTATTTATTCTGTTTCATAAGACCATGAATTGATCCCAGTGTTAAAAGATTCTCCTGGGGTAAAACCCAGCCTGTATAAAATAGGTGCTCTCAATGAATGATTAAAAGAAAAACCTGGTGGTTGAATATTATCTCGATTAAATCACAGTCCTGCAGAACTGTCAGCCTTCAAATAACACTTCCTTAAAAAGTACTAAACCCAAGGCCCTTCATAGGTTTTTTTGTTTTGTTTTTCTCCAGTATTCTTAGCAATTTCTTCTCTTCCAAAATAAAAGATATTTATTTTATTTTTATATTAACTTATATTTAGTTTCTCCTTTACATGCTTCAACATTTCCCATTTTGGGAAGTTCATGTATGACTTAATTCATAAATAGAAATATGCTTTATAAAAGATCTTCACAAAGAATTTTTATATTGTTATGCCAGCCTACAAAAAAATATTTGATTAGCTTAAAAAAAAAAATTTCATCAATGACTTTTACATAAAATGTTTTTGTAGCAAAATTTGTTAGGTGCTAGATAGCCAGGATGCAGTCATTTTAAGATTTTTATTGTTGCTGATGTTTCAACTCAAGCATGTGTTCAAGTATTCAACACCTTCAGTACTGCAAACATGTCCTGATGATGACCCACATGCTTGGGTTGAAATGTCGGCAACAAAAAATTTTGAAATGACTGTATATCATCCATGATATCTAGAAGTCGACTAACTTCCTTCAATAATAAAATTTGATTTATAGAGATTTAAAAATACTTTAAATTAATATAAAATACCGAGCCATGGTTTGTATATTAATTTTATAGTTTATCATTGTATTATCACCTGTCTTTTGTATATTGCATTTAATGATCACGATTTTAAATAACTGTCATTTTTACAATTTGAGTCTGATGCATTTTATTTATTATTTTTTTTTTTTTGTAATGTGCTGTTGGAATGAACTATCAGCCAATTTTAAATTTAATTTCGTTTTAGGGCTTTCTCTTTTAGTTCAGAAGTCGTGTAATGAGACAGTTTGTGAAGTGATACACATTAACATAATGGTTTTCTGAGGAACAAAGAAATGAATATATGTTAGAGGACAAATTGTTCTACAAATTTTGGTAGTATGGTAAAAAAGTAGAGAAAATCATAGTTTAACCATAAAATAGTTTGTGAAGTTTTCATATTGAAATTTTTATGATGTATATATATTTTTTTCTCTACCTTTTTACTGTTTTGTATATTAAAACGCTCTTGAAATCTCATATATATATATATATATATATATATATATATATTAAAATTTAAACTATCATCAAGTTTTCATTTTCTTTAATTAAAAGCTCCTAACCTGTTGTCACTTCGGTAATCTGCATCACATTCAAGACGACTTATTGTTATCTGCCTTATTATTATGTGGAATGATTTGTTGAGGATTAATGAAAGTTAATTATAGCTTGACAACAATTAGTTAGCATCCCTAAGGTGCACTCATGCAGCACTTAGTTGTGACTAACCATTTTGTTTTTACTTAATCCTCCAATATTACTCTCAGAATATTTACAAATATAGACATTAGGGTGCAGTAATTTATCTATTTAAGATACCAAGTCAACTGCAAACATAATATGCAAAAAGAAATAAAGTGATACATTTTTTCTGTGAATCACACATATTTTGTGCTCCAAAAGCATATAAACATATTGTCCAAAGCTCAGAATGTTGGACGATGACTAAAGCCCAACAACAAGCCTCTCTGAGATTCGAAAGAACAGTGCTCCACAGAATATATGGAGGTGTGTGTGAACAGAATTCCTGAAGAAAACGAACAAGTGCCGAATTAAACATGAACTATGAAGACATCAATGTCATGGGCTTTATCTAATTCGCTCAACTCCTTTGGGCTGGTCATGTTATTAGAATGAACTAGGGAAAGATCCCATTAAAAACTTTGTCGGAGCGAGTGTATGGGACAAGGCAAGCAGGACATCCTAAGCTTTGTTTGGCTGCGGCCAATAGAAAACTTCTATTAAGAAACTGGAAGGCAGTGGTGCGCCAAAGTGAGGACTGGCAATTCTTGTTGGAGCAGGCTATCAAATGGATTGCAATACCAGATAAAAAAAATAAATACATACATTAAAAGATTACATTATATTTAATATTATATTTTGTTATACATTATATTAATTGTTATGTTTTAATCTATCTATACTGGCTCTACAACCCGCTTGGCGAGTCATGGCCTACACCAGGTGTCCCTGCTTTGTGCTGCCACCATCCAGCCTCGAACTCCTAGCTTCCTTTCATCTTTGTCCACGCTGTCCCTCCATCTTAACTTTGGTCTTCCTACTCGTCACGCTCCATCCAGGATTTCAACCAACACTTTCTTTGGGATCATGTCTCTCCTTCTGGCCACATGACCTGCCTTTTTTAGACAGCCTGCTCTTATAAAATCGAAAATATTGGCCATATTAAAATTCTGGTAGATCTCCTGATTTTTCCTCCTTTTCCACCCTCCATTCACAAACACTGGACCATAAATTCTTCTTAGAATTTTTTGTTCAAATATTAGGAGGTCCTGCTCTACTCGACTGCCTTGGTTATCATCCAGGTCTCCGATGCATAACTTAAAACCAGTCTGATAAGAGTCTTGTAGAGGATTACTTTCCTACGCTCATTCACCAGGTTGCTTTTCATGTTATTGACTCATACCATAATAGCACAACAAAGTCCTCTTATTTATCTCTGTGTCCATCTGGTTATCACCAGTGATCTGCAAGCACGGTATGTGAATTCTGATACCTGTTCAAACCTGAAGCGTCCAAAACTCAACCTAGTGCCATGTCTTGGGGTTACCAAGTATTTCGTTTTTTCCTCATTGACAGTCAGGCCGAGTTTCCTCGCTGCAGCCTCCAGTTCCAGAAATGATTGTGTAATTGCTTACCGAAAAGGCCAATAATGTTTGTATCGTCGGCAAAAGCAAGAAGCTGAACAGATCTATTGAAGATGGTACCAGATGTTTCTATTTGGGACTCAGGGACTGCTTTTTCTAGGGCCAAGAGAAAAAGGAGGCGTGCCAGGGCATCACCCTGTCTTACACTCCTTCTTGTAGAAAATTCTTCCTTTGCCCATTATTTTAACAACACACACCACCTCGTCCATTGTTAACTTGGTCAGCCTGATAAGCTTAGAGGGGATGTTGAACTGATTTAATGCATCGTACAACCTTTGATCGTCGATGGTGTCATAGATTGATTTAAAATTGACGAAGAGGTGGTCAGTTTTGAGCTTATATTCCTGTCCCCATTTCAGGATGGTCCTCAAACAGAATATCTGGTTGATCGTTGACTTTCCTCATCTGAATTCGTACTGGTACTACCCAAGCTCTCGTTTCATAAATGGCAATAGTCTGTGGAACAGGATGTTTGATAAAATTTTATAAGCGCACGGGAGCAGAGCTTTACCATGATAGTTTGAGCATTTCAATAGGTTTCCCTTCTTGTGGATCGGGCATCTGACTGTCTTCTTTCAGTCTGTAGGCATTATTTCTTCATTCCATATGCTCACTAATAAGTTGTGGAGGAGCTTGAAGAGTTCATTACCTCTATGCTTAAGTAGTTCTGCAGGAAGTCTATCAATTCCTGGAGCCTTATTATTTTTTAGTTTGTTGAAGGCTTCACTAACCTTGTCTTCATCAGGTGGTTCCAGGTCATCCACTCCATCCTGACCGAAGGGCAGCTCCGTCTCTTGGCTATCTACGTTTTGACCATTCAAAAGCTCTTTGAAATATTTTCTTCATTCTGTTAGGCAGGCTTGTTCCTCGAATAGGAGAGCTCCCTGGTTATCCATACACATTGAAGGTATTTGTTTGAATGGTCTCCTAGTGCTATTAACTTTATGATAGAACTTCCTGCTGTCTCCAATGTTTCTTGATTCCTCCAGATCCTTCAACTCCTGGATAATTCCTTCTCTCTTCAGTTGTTTTATTATTATAATTAATCAAGTGGTTTTGATTAATAAGCAACATTTTATTTGATTATTGTCATTATTTTTATAGTTTTTTATAAAAATTGCTCTGGGATTTCAATCAGAGTGAAATAAGAAAAGAAATTTATTGTACAGCGTTTTGGCCTAAGTTTTAGGCCTATCTTTTATATGAAGAAAACATATTTTTTATTTCTGTTTTTTTCTTATCATAACATTATCTTGTCTTTGGAAGTGAGGTAGCTCAGTATTAGGGTGTTGACTTCCAATGCTTAAGGTCCCAGGTTCGAATTCGGCTAATGACAGATAAATTATTTGACTGTGGTCAGGAGACCCTCTTGGGGCACCGTCAGCCTCTATGGAGTGGGTACTCTTAATTAAGGGAAAACATTTGGCAGTTGAGGGTGATCTCGATCAAATCACCTCCTTCCACTGTTGACCAAGAAACAGTACTTCCTTATAAAGTAATGCACCCAGACCCTTCATAGGTTGTTGTGGTACAGGCTATTTTTTTTTTTTTTTTTTTTTTTCTTTGCTTAGCTATGGTGAAGATTTCAAACTTATGCTGAAAAGTCGGCACAAAGAAAATAATGGTTGTTTTTTGTGTATTACATTTTAACAGGAGCCCCTCTCCCCCCTCCCTAGCAACTTCTAAAAGTGTCTTCTGTCAACCATTAAAGTATTATTTTGAAATACAAACCTCACCGGAGGTCTCGTTTATACAATTGCTAATGTAATTGACACTTGAGAAAACTTCTTCATAAAAAATTCACTTACTAACTCAACTGTGATCATTAACCTAAATAATCGCTTATGGAAACTAGTCTTAACAATATTTCATGACAAGAACGCAATGAGATTAAGATAAGCAGGGTCTGCAGCTCTTAACCACGTAACAATCCATCTAGGAAACATCTACTCAACAATGAAACTTTGAGGCCTCAACACCCTTGTGATACTTTCAATGGCCTTTGACTCATTATTAGGTGAACCAAATAACAATTTTTGCGCTGGTAGGTCATTTTAGCTGGGAACAATCCGTCAGGAAATCTCTACTCAACAATTAATACCTTAATAATAGGTAACAGACCACGTGGAAGGCCAAAAATCAGACAAATGGAAATCGGCAGAGATGGAGAAGGCTTGTTAAGGCAGCGCTATTTTTGTAATATCGGAGGATTTGGGAAAAAACAAAATACCAGTTTTAAATTAATACCCCGAGTTCACTCTTAAACTTCCATTAACTAAACATAATCAAGCTATAGTTAAATCTTTTATTAATAGTTTAAAAATCAAATAATAAGGAGAGTTTTAGTGTTACGTGTGGAGTAAAATGTTGGGGAAACAGTCAAGTACTGTTTTCTATTTTAGAAATTTATCGTTAGAGATCGTATAGACTTTAAAATGCTAATCAGTTCTAGTGAAGATAGTCTCTAGTCAGCAAATGTGGATATTTATGAATTGTATGCAATAATTATAAATAGTTATTAAACTTATGTAAATACTTAATAAGTCCATGAAAGGTTTTTATAGATGAATTTTCCACTTACTATATAAATTTTCTTGTATTCATTTATTTCTTGCATGGTAGGGTAACATTTTAACATTACCAGAAAATATAAATTTTGCGTGATAAATGTTAAGATTAGTAAATAAATAATTTGTCCTAAAAGCCTGAATTTTTTTTTTTTTTTAATTTCTTTAAGTTATAATTATTAATAAATGGAGCACTTGGCTGAAATAAATGGCCTGAAGAAAAACATTAACATGATAAGGCTATACAAGTTTACTTTGTACTGATCGCTAAATCTTTAACAATTCCCTCAATTGTAGTTCAATATAAAAAAATAAAGAAAATTTTTTGTATATTTTTAGTTTAAGCAGGAGGATTAATTTTTGATCGGATCGCTTACAAATATGAGAAATTATCTTCTATAAATATTATTCCTTATAAACTCGCTATTTATTTATTGTTACCGTAACTTGTACCTATTTGTACCCAAAACCGAAAACATTAGCTAGAACGTGGTTTAATGGCTCAGGAAATAGGGATAGTGCTCCTACTTATTATAGAAATAAGTGAATTTGGTGAACGTTTAAATCATTTATTTATTTTTGGTCCAATTAGGCCCAATTTATAGTATTTATTTTTCATTCGCTATCACATGAATGAAATGTCAATTTTCTTTTGCCAGTAAACAAAGCTTTTATAGGATAGTTTTATTCAAGGTGAAGGTAAGCAGTGTATAGTTCTGCTAGGTATTTCTGCGAGTCCCGTGAAAAATGTTTTGCAATGTTAATTGCGGTTAATATTATTTAAAAATTAATAGTATTCATGAAATTCAATTTAAAAAATAAAATGTGTGGCCTTAAAATAATTATTTACGCTGGTTTATTTAATTAATATGTTAATTTTTTCTAAACTTTCAAGTGATGTTTCATTTAGTCTTTGTTATCGTTTCTTATCATTCTCAAAAACTCGTTTTAGTATTGCAATAAAATATTATATTTTCAGTTTAGGTTGAGTATTAAGAGCTCTGAACTGATGGAAAATTAGATTTAAGATATTAGAATATACTGTAAGAGTTGTATTGGTTATATTTCAGAAACAATAATGTGTTAAGAGATAAAATTTTTCTTTGAAAAATAAGGAATGCCCAATTCTCTGGCAGAAATGTTTTTGTTTCAAATGAAAATTTTATTTATTAACATATCTCTACTGTTAGTGCAAAATGTTGTATGCAACAATTTTACATGATTATTATATTTGTGCTAAAGGTGACATTTTTTCTGCATCTGCAATAACTGCAATAAATAGGCTGCGACTATGAAAAATAAAATATCGCTACTGTTGGTGCAAAAGGTCATATGTAAAAATTGACTTTTTTTATAGAACAGCATAAAAATCAATTATTTCTTAATAATTTATTGGTATGATTTCATATTTTATTTCACTCTGCTATTTTCCTATTTAGTAGACTACAAAATGTCACCTTAAGCGCAAAGAGAATAAACATGTGACATTGTAACATACGACCTTTTGCACTAACAGTGCCATCAGAAATAAACAATGAGATAAAAAAAGAAAGAAGCGATCAGTTTTTATGATGTTCTTCTGTAAAAAAACTCAATTTTTACATATGATCTTTTGCATTAACAGTAGTGATATTTATGCAAGCAATGTAAGAGTATTTTGAAAATATTTTTTAGGAACTGATATTATCCGAGATAAAATAGTCTGTTCTAATTTTTTATCAAATTCCATCAACAGAGCTTACTTACCGTATTCTGCCTATAATTTGTTTAATTTTGGAGTTACAGGGTTATATTTATTTATATCCAACTTGGCCTATTTAAAATCGCAAACAAGTGTATATGTGTATATATGTTTTAATAACTTTATCACCTCAAAATAATATTTGTACGTTTTATTTTTATTTCTTAAAAATTTACTTTCCACAAAATTATTGTATCCTCTTTTTTTTTTCAATGTCAGCTATAGTTTTTAGCTTTTATTTTCTTGTAATAAAATATATCTCGCCAGTTTGGATAGCTTATATATGATGCCCTATGCTTTTTTGTATTTGAATAAACGTTGGGGAATATTATTTTAAACTGAGTACATTCCACTTGTTTACAACATTTTCAAACTATAAAACCTTGTACTTTTAGAATTGTATACTGGCTGTGATATCCACAAGCATGTCATTGAAAAAATATAACGTAATTGTGCAATTATTAGATATGTGCTGATACACTTTGTTATTGTGATGGTTTGTATCTTACCTATCTATTCTTATAGTCTTTTTGTATATTTCTTGTATCTTTAACTTTGTTGTTATTCATAACTTTATTCCTCTAATAAAACATTAAATTTTTACAAAATGTTTCCTTTCTATAATTTTATTATAATTGTCTCCCCATTCCTTCAATAGATCTCCATTCATCCATTCATAAAGCAGGCAAACTAATGCTCATTTCAAGTCTTCGTAATCTGTAATAATTATTATGTTAACATTTTTGAATTTATGCTTTTAATGAAAGTATACCTTTTTAGTCCAGTTAATCAAGTGGAATGGTCTATGTGCAAATATAGTCTAGCTCCAAATCGATGTTTTACAAAACTGAAATTTGTGTATTTGAAGTAGATATGTATCTAGGATGTTACAGGAATTTTTTCTGGGAGAGGCGCTTTATTTGACTAAATTTGCACATTTTAAGAATTTTCTCGAACTGTTCTAACGATTTTAACTTAACCTGATATATCAATTGTTATTTAATATGAGGTAGGTGTTACGTTCACTCAAATAATCTGACAGGGCTTAAATCCGAAATTTCAGAATTTCTTCCTCTGAAGTAACTTTCAATTTTATTTGAGAAAATTAACCGTTTCATAATATATTGATAATATAAAATGGTTAAATATAAGGAATGAAAAAATTATAAATCAATATATAAAAAGGAGAATTGGGAACGGAATTCCTAATTCAAGGAAACAGCAGAGAGCACCTTGCCTTAGCCTATCCCCTCCATTTACAGGTTACCTTATACCTCTCAGTACCAGGCATTCAATTGTTACTTTGACTGTTATATTTCACTTACTTATGTTTTAAAAAGAGATTATTATTTGGAAAGTTGAGGATCACAATATGTATATCCATGACCCTGCTTCGTGTGATCAGGACATATAAAATGATTACTCAAGAGGCAGTGCAGGTCTTAGGAGCTAGGATTGATTGTCGATAGTATCTTCTACACGATATTCTAATTTAAAATTAAAACTATCATTTTCGGAAAGATCAAGGAATTATTGAGAAAAAAATTACACTGATCTTGTCTGTTGCATATAAAATGTAGTGGGTAGTAGAGGAAAATATCAATATTTCGATAATATGGCCATCTCCAAGTAGAGTTGAATAGCGCATGAACTCAGCACAATTTACTTGTTAGAATCTTCTCAAACTAAGGCAACAAATTGTCAAAGAAAGCAATGTAGGATGCAAATAAATTAGCATTTCGTCGAATTCGATCTTATGTGGACGAATGGAAATTTATGCAAATGGCTGAGGATGACAATGATGGACAGAAAGAAGAAAATTAATTTTACTAAGAAGAATTACTATTAATTAATTTAAGTGCTTGAGAATCAATATTTATATAGATATTGACATTTCAAAAATGTTCATATTAATGAAAATATTGACATTTCAAGTGTGATATTTCGATGGTATACTTATAGGCCGATATCCCATCCTTAGGAGCTATTCCTCTCTACTCCCTCCCTTCAGTACGAAGATCTCTTCTAGTACAACATTAAGAGGGATAGCTTGGCAGATTTACCAGCAAACATACAAAAGAGAATCAGTGAAGATGCCAGAAGATGGAAGACTATACATCAGAAAAATAGAACTGGCGATAGATGACAACTCCAAATGGGTCTATACTGAGGAAGTTCTTTCCCACCATCAGATTGAGCCTAGAAAAGACAGGCCTTGCTGGGTTTCACAGTGAATGGGGGTTCCAGAGCGATGCTAAGTAATGGTAAAAACATTTGACTCATAGCGAACCAGAAACTGCTGAGCACATGATTGTAGTCTACACTAACTATGAGGCACTCAGGGCCCTACATTTCGACAGAAAACAAGTTCCCTTAACTAATGTCTGAACTGAATGGTGGTCTAATTGAACAATGAATTAAAATATACTATGTGTACACTTAATCACAATGTAACAGATAAACTTGCAACAGTGATTAGTTACGCAGGCATATGTAACAAGTCACTGCTCCTAACTCCCTTACGGCAGGACAGGGAAGAAAGTAAAATAGAATGACAAAATATCTATATCTACTACTATAAACCTCTTTTTTTTTCAATACCTTTCGAGCTAGATGTTTCGGATAAAGCTCAGAATTTTTAATTTCATATTACATACTTAAAAATTTTATAAAATTTGGTCAAGCAATTATTAACATTCATATATTTCCTTTAATATTTTGAATGGTAATGAATTATTTTAATTGAATGTTATATTGTCAACAATTTTTACTTTCAAGCTCTTATGAAAGTAAGTAATTGTGTGAAAAATAAAAGTTGTGAGATGAGCATAATTTTTTAGACTAACACAGATTTTTAATTTTTAGCCCTAACTATATGCTTGGCTCCAAAAAACGGCTACCATAATGATCATTTTTAGAATGAAAATCATGACAAACCTATCATCTCATTAACTGTTTGTAAAGATGATTTTTTATTATTATGGTGTATTAAAATTGGAGATTTGATTAATATAATTGAATTAAATTAGCTTTTTGGACTAATCTCAACAGGTATTATCCTCAGTCATCTTATAAAGATACAATAAATAAATTCCTTAAATTAACACAACCAGCACTAGAGGTTGAAATAATTTTTTTTTTTCATTTTATCTTTTAACAATACTTAGAATTATATACTTATATCATTTTATCTCGCCTTAAACCGACCCTAATCAACTTTTTTTTAATAAAAAAAAAAAAAAAAAGGCATTGAAGTTAAATTCTTTTCAAAAGCAGCCCTATTTAAGATTCCATGTTTTTTCATTGATATAGAAATAATCAAATCAGATCTCCAGGATTAATCTGTTACGCAATCACTAAAACCATTTAATGGGGAAGTGGGAATCTGAAATGACACTAATATATATATTAAAACGTTTATTAAAACATTTTTGCTTATTATGCAATAACTTCTACAGGAGGAGCTGGGACGGGAAGCTCAGTTGTTCGGTGAGCTCCCGATCGCTCCTTCCTCTTGGGTCTGATCTGGGCTGCGATACGATCGATATCCCTCTGGCCCTGGGTGGTCAGCTTCCTTCCACCGTCAGGGGACTTCTCGATCAGTTTCAAGGCTTCGAGAGATTGGAGAGCCTTTCTCGCCACACTGCCAGAGCTGCGGCAGAAATGGGAGGGACAAACTCCATTACGCTTTCGGCCTGTAAAAGTGATACGATCATTAACTCTGGTTTTATTATAAAAACATTATTAATGTTCAAATATAAAATTGAAAATTGCAATTCAACTGTAAACTTTAATAAATCAGAAAATCTAAAAATTGCTGCAGCTGCCATCAGCTAAATATTTTAGCTAAATAGACACTTTTAAATTCATGAATGATTAATCAGCTTTTTACATACTGAGAAAGGTGATACCTGATTAACAGCTTTTTTCCTGCTCTAATGGCCGCTTGCCAGTTCATTTCTTGACAAAACAAGATATGGTGTTTGTCACATAGCGACTGCCTTATCACTTTTGTTTAGAAGGTAAGTTTGAAATTGTATGCGTAATTTGAAATAAGTTTAACTTATTAGATAATACTTTTCTATTTCTTAATTAAAAAACGATGTAGAATTTGTCATAATTTTAAATTATATAAAATAACCTATTGACCCCTAAATTTGGGTGTCCATTACTGGAACAGTATTTAAGCAATAAAACTAGTAAGACACCCATGTCTAATACTGAATCTTTTTATTAATTTTATTTTGTTAATTAAGTTATTTATCGTATATATATATAGACCACATGTTATTTCATTGATAGTAAATAATAAAAATAGTATACCTAGAAGTTTTATATTTAATTCTGATCGCAGGAACTAGTAATAATAATAATTTTTGAAATCTCATACCAACTGATTCATGGATAAAAATTATATATCATTCTGTAATGCTATTAAGTTTATGTAATTCACTTTTTGTTAATGTTTACAGGTAAGCCCCATGCAATCAGAAAAAATTGCATACAATTTTATAATAAATAAAGGTAAAAACTTTATACCAAGTCCATTCAAATAGTATTGTTCTGGTCGGAACCTCAAAATACTAATACAAAAAAAAAAAAAAAAATCAAGAGAGATGATACCAAGTGTCACATCAAATTGTGGCAAGAATAACATGAACGGTTGGAATAGCAGGAATACCATGAAAAGAGATTTGGAAGTTAGGACACGCTTTCGTACGAAACATGAGCTTAATATTATAACGACTCCGACAATATTATGTATATATACATATATATATGCATATATACATATGCAGCAGTTTTCATGGATGCTATATCTAGAGCACTAATTTCGATAAAAGAATAAATTTTCTTTCAATTAAATCTATTTGTGAAGATCCATCATCACAACTAAAGCCGTAGTTCACATTAATATTGAAGAATTCTCTTAAAGTATCTATTACTGGTATATTTATATTTATTTACAAGTATATATTGTTGTGATTTTTCCAATAACAATTAAAATAAGCTGCTAGTTATATTGTCAAAACACAAATACTTGATTAATTTAAATTAAATAAAATAGAAGAATATAATAACAAAAAAATAAATAAATTGATGTAAGATAATAGTTTTCTAATTAGCTAAATAAAAATAATCTTGGAATGAGACAAAACTTAAATCTAAATACTATGAAAGTGGAAGAAAATTAACAGAATTGTGAATTCTGGAATGGAAAAGGCAATATATGGAATAGTTTCACAGAATCGATAAATACTTTTTTGTAAATGAAACTAAAAATATTGATTATGAAACAGTGACTAAAGTGTAGGTGAATGATTTATTACAAAATCAAATCTCAAGATAAGAATACATCTTAATAAACAATGAAAAAGAAATAAATTTTGTAATAAAAGACATTCCAAATAATGATTTATTAGGAAATAAAATTTTAAGATATGAAGATACAACAAAAATAATTAATAAAGAAAAGGTAAATTTGTCGACTAACGATGTTCCAAATATTCAATTATTAAAAAATAAAATTTCAATTCATATAGATAGAATAAAAACTAATAAAGAAGAAATCATTGACTAATGATAATAGTTTCATATGATGAAATATCAAGATTGAAATTTCAATTTATGATAAAACAAAAATTATTTATTAGAACAGAAAATCTAAAGTAACGACTACAACAAATAATAAATAATCTGAAATAAATAAATTCATTGACTTAAGATGCTTGAATTAATGAAGAAAAAGGAAAATCCAAAATATAAATAAGAAGAGAGGTATTATAATTATCAGTGTTGACAATGGCCGATAGCAGTCTATGGCTAATTCACAAGTACCAAAAGTTCCAAATACGTTTTAACCTCTGGAATGAACTATTTTAATTGGAGTCGAACCAAGTAAAAGAAAATTATTTCTTTCCTCTCATAATACATTTAATTAACTTATTTCAAAATTATATTACCATTTGTACAATGACAAATACACTATGCAATTTATTCATACAAACCAACTAAATTATATGTTAATAAGCAGTACATTTACCTCATATGTAGACAAGTATGATGCTTAATAATGAAGTACTAATTTATATAACCTACTATTCATTCCTACACAGTCCTATAAATATTAGCCCCCCCCACTAATAATATTTTTTTTTTATTTTATTTGTTATTATAAAATTTTATTTTCCTAACCCCTTCTCCTCCCGAATAGTTAAAGCATTGCTGCCACTGCTTTTACCTCCCTACCCACCTCATCTATATATAATTCTTTGTCACTTTTGCTCACCCATTTAACTTAAGTGGTCCAGAAGGAACGTTGGATACGGTAATTATTGCAAAATTCTCATGTAATCAAACAAATATTATTTATTTTAAATACTTGTTTAATAATAATTGTACTTATCATTCACCTTTTTATTTATCTAGCGTTTTAATATCATTTATTTTAAATATTTTCATTTTAACCACGCCTTTCACCATTTATTACTACTATATCTCTGAAGAAGGCAGTTAAATACAGGCTGAAACAATTACAAAACTTTTAATTTAATAGTAGTTAATATAAAAATAATTCAATGAAAGTATCTGAAGAATTAGGCCTGTTTTCACATGTGTGTCAGGGAATGTAAAACTGTTTTGTCTACATTATGAATGAAATGAAAATATAATTTTATTCTGGGACTACAGTCCCCAAAGTATAATATAAGATACAAACTAATTAACTGCTGATTGTTATTGCAATTGTATTGTATTGTTATTATATTTCATTACATCATGGCGAATAAAAACATTGATTTGGTATAATTAATTTATACAACAATTGACCTCTTTCTATAATTATATATTTCTACACCACCATTTGACCCATATATTGAAATTTGAAAAAAAAAAAAAGTTATTGTCCTGTTTAATACTATATGAATGTTTCAGGAATACTTTGTTTCCCATCGCTTCTCGGTATTAATTGAAACATCTTTACTTTAGGGATTTGATTATCCAAAAAAAGTTTAGTACACCTGATTCATAGCTCTTACTTGTAGTACTCACCCCACAATATGTTTAAATCAAACAGCTAAAGGATTTAAATTATAAAAAATCTTATAACCATTGCAGACTCCACAATCCCTAGTTATCTGAATTTTGGTGAATTCATATATTTTATCATTATATGGATTATTCTTGGTATAGCTATAGTTATCACCATATGGTCTGGTCAGACATTATAGACATAATTGTTAATATTCTATAGATGAACTGTTCCAATAATTCAATATCTGTACAATTTAGTGGATCACTATAACTAGAAAAGTAATTTCTCTTTGTACCTAATTATTATAGTTAATACTATAATACTAATTACCAATATTAATTATTAGAGATAAAAATTCCATTGTGAATCATGGATTGAAATTCAAAAATTGAACTTACACCTGTGAAAATACCAAACAATTGCATTTTCTTATAAATATGATGTTTGCACTTAATACGCTATGCACAGATATAATAACTAGTGTGGAACTGAAGAATATTTTAAAAACTTAACTTCATTGTTCATTGTTAAAACAAAACTAATTAATAAAATGACAATTTACTAATACATTTTTAAGTGGACAATAAATTTATTTAACCTGTAAGCGAGTGTTAACTGAAAACACGTGACAGATTGCAAAAACCTAAACTATATGCTCGCATATAACCACACTAGGATTAAATGGATAAGAACTACATAAAACTTAAAGTGTCCAAAATATAGTAAAATTCCCTTGAAGAAAAATTTTGTCACGCCCATTTCAGTAGTAGTTCGTGTATGACTAAATATTTCGCAATTTAAGTTTACGAGTCTCATTCAACTTTTGAAATACTGCTAATTCAACAACACAAGTTCAGACCTAACCCACAGAATATAAGATCCAATTAATGTTTGCACTACTATTTACAAAAAAAACAAAATAATTCTACACGTAAATAAAAATGATATTTAGTATTAACCTATTAAAAAAAAAAAACTATGGTAAGATCACATTACTAAATAGTAATAATAGTTGGTCTATGTAAATAACTCAGTAATATATTGGTACTTGGTAAAATATAACTTTGACAGATCTCTAAACAACACTCACAGCAGATATTAATTTAGTTGCTTGCTCATAACCTCAAATAATTAAGTGCTTTCTCATAATGAAATAAAAAAAAAAAGTGCACTTACTATAACTATATATGATAAATAAAAGGCTTTGTATAATTTTCATAAGCTTATGGTGTTTTCGTATCAATAAATAAAATCAAAATTAAAAAAAACATACTTGGGAGTTACTTTACAACAAAAATGTACTGAGTAACTTATTCCAATTAACCGACGATATAATATTAATTCAAATAATAATAAAGTGAGTGACCAATTAACTGAGCATGTATTTGGAAAAGATTCTTAACAAGAAAAAATATTTTTAATATGAATTACACTTCAGAATTAAATGTTAACAATGAAGAAGTAATTAAATTATGACAGAATCCATGAAATATGTTCTAAATGATGTATGGTACAAACATTTTTAACTGTGTAGTGGACAAATTCATGAAATAATTCCTTAATAAGTGTTTTGCAAAAACAATTTAACTAAAAGTGAATGTGGTAGGAACAGGAGCTAACCAAACCTAACATTAACAATACAATAAGCAAAACATATTTCTCATCAAGATAAAGTAGATTGACAATCTACTAACTAAAATAAGTAAAGTATGAGGATTGATTATCGTACACACTCGGAAACATCTAATGTTCTCAATGTGACCTTAAACTGACCATCCTGGAGTAACAATTCAGAACTAGTACCATTAAATGTTAAAATATCAACCAATTTAAAAATACTACTACCGAAGGATCACGACATGCGATTGAATCTTAGGACAAATATACTTACTGCCAAAAATTTTAGTTACGGCACCAACTCCAATTGGAGAACGCAGGTAAATGTGTCTCACAAGAGCTGCGCATCGTGTGTAGTACCAATCCTGGTCATAAGGAGCAAGTTCATTAAATTTTCCATTTTTCACTAAATCGACCCAGTCAGGTACCTTTAGTTTGCCAGTCCTAGTTAATAAAAATTAAAAAAACATTTAGGGACTATAACCAACTTATTTATAACTCAATAATATATCCAATGCAAAATGGATGGATAATAATTATTATTCTTACTTCTTTAAAAATGCGGAGAATGCCTTGACAAATTTATGTTGATCAACATCTTTCAGCGTTACAGACGGCATCTGAAAAAGAAAATAAGGATTAATGTGTCATTGCAGACAAAATCAAACAATAACGGAACGTAACGAGGGCCACATGTGTAGTATGAGTAAGATTTATAATTCCAACGGATTACACGCAAACAAAGACAAAAATTGGCACATTATTTATTAACAAAATATAGTGGAAATAAATAAATAACATAATATGATAATATGAGAAAGAAAGACATGAAACACTTACTTTGGCAACACGTTGTTACAACAGAAAGAACAACGGCTACCTATTCCAAAACCTAACCAGCTTGAAAACAGTGTTGCCGTCTCGGTGCACGAATAAAATATGTACAATACTTTTAATAATATGCAACTATAATGTTAATTTTATAAAATACATTATTTTAATTATAATTTTTCATTTAATTAATTTTTTAATTAATTAATAACAAAACATTACGAACAGCAATGAAAAATCAATAAAAACTCAAAAACAAAAGCAATGCTATTAGTTAAATAATTTATAGTTCAAAAGTTTTAGAAAACGTTAAAATTTATTGGATTACAATTTTGTAAAATTAGTTTTTTTACTGAATCATCAGTAACCACTAGTGGACCCAAGATTTCATTTGGAGGGGGGGCTTCCCCGTCTGAAAGCTTTTTTTTTTAAATATAACAATAATTACTTTGGAAGAAAAACAAAAACGGTACTAGTTCAAATGATGAGTTCAACAGGGAATGTGTTATCTTAGACAGTTAAACAAAATAAATATTTTTTATTTGTTTTTACTAATTCTAATAAACCTTTATCTCATTTCTAATTAAATAAATCTGATCAGTAAGAAAATTAGTAGCTGATACAATTATATAAGGCATTGACTTTCTGATTGAAGTGATTATTTTAAAAATTGTTTGATCAATCACTTAGTAAATTGACTTCACAGCTTTATAACATAGTCAATAACAAATCTTAAAAAAAGTAATTTTTAAATCATAAGTTTTATTAGTAAAAATGCACTTATTTAAAAATAACAAGGACCATTTAATAATTTTACTAATCAGTCAAATAAATTTCATACATTTTAATTCAAGCTGATATTTTACAAGTACTTTGTTAATTAATAAATATGTTTTGCACTGTTAAGTTTATTGTACTACTGAAATTTTTTTAATTATTGGAAACAAATTAGAACCAAAAATATAAAATAAAAATTATTGATAATTTTTTTTTTTAATGTCTATTTAAAAAAGGAATGAAATCTAAAAGTTATTAAGGTGGGTTGGAAGAGCAGAAATCCAATGGTTGTATAAACATTGAATTTGGAGAAAATCCTGAAAAGTTATGATTGCTTTGTGAGAGTGTTAATAACTTTAAAAGCGGTAATTATAGCAAATTTCACATAAAATAAATCTAATATTATCAATTTTTAATAATTATGGCAGAATTATCATTTATATATTTTTTTTATATCATTTATATTATACACCATATTCATCAAAAACAATTTCTTTTAAAGAATATATACACATTTTACATATTAAATTTGTTAATTGTATGATTAATATTTTCAATTTTAATTATTCCTGTCATAATTTGTTACCCCTTTATTTCTAAAGAAGTCTGGCAATAAAGGGCGAAAATATGACAATAAAAATAATGGACAGGTTTTAAAAAAGAAAATTGAACTTAGCTAGCAATAAAGATGAAAATAATTTGAATTAAGGCAGGTTTATAGATGTGTTATCCGGTAACACAAAATAGTTTTGTCTAATACTGAACTGAAACATTTATTTTGTTTGATTAAGTAATTTTCTTGAATTCTTGTCATTGTGATCTATTAGTCTGTCTACAACTTATCCCATATGTCAAAATTTGAAAAGTGTTGTCCTTTTTAATACTACTTGAATATTTCATGGATACTATGTCCCCCTTCCTCTCTCAGTATTAATGGAAATATCTCTAGTTTTTATAATTTGATCATCCTCAATGATAATAAAATGACATTACACAAACTAACTAGAAACTAGAAATTATTAAGTTTAGAGTCTCATTTATTTTCTTTAAAACATTTAAAATGATGCTAATTCAATAATAAAAGGTTGTTATTAATCCTCAGAATATAAGATCACATCAATTATTTGGTAGCGCTATTTTTTTAACCTGTTAGTGATAATGAGCGGGAAGGTTGGAGCATCCTAGAGGGCGGAATACTCTTCATCGCCTCAACTAACAACTTCAACTCTACCCACAATATCCAGTCATAGAAAAATTACCTACTGCCTTATGGCAAGGTCGCAAGATAGTTTGAAAATAGAATTGATAACTGAGCACCCCATCGTGCTCAACGAAGAAGAATGAGCCCAACAGGCTCTCGACTCATATATGAGTCCATGACTGTTAAAGGGTTAAAAATACAGAAAAAAATAATACAGTTTTGTGGAAAATTTAGGAATCTTTAAAAAAATTAAAGAGTATTCCCAACCATGAATTGTATACTTATTGAGCTGTACAGAAATAAAGTTTCTTTTGAGATAGAGAAAGACTGCACCAGTAATAGACACTGAGATTTTGGGATCAATAGATATTTTATATAAATAAAATAACATCAAATAACTGCTGCAAAGTTTTATAATAAGCAATGTAAAACTGCAGATGAATGGATCAAAATTTCTAACTTATCTCTGGAAGAAAAGTGACAAGGAAACCTTGAAACAAACCAGCCTTGTTTCATTAAAAAATCAACTATCAATCTGTTATTCCTTAAGGCTGAGGCTTAAGTGTTTTAGCTGCAAATTTACTCATATTAGTACTCTTTTTTCGCCGTATTAATTTTATTGTCTGTTAATGAGTTGAATATTGTCGAATAGTGGTAAATAACCTTAACCAAAACCTAACCGGGTTGAAAACAGTGTTGCCGCCTCGTAGCACGAATAAAATATTTACAATAATATACAACTATAATGTTAATATAAATGTCTGAATAAATATATTTTTTTAATTATATTTTTCCATATTATTGATTTTTTAAAATATAAAACATTACGAATAATAATGAAAAATCAATAAAAAGTCAAAAACAAAAGCAATGCTATTAGTTATATAATTTATGAAGACTTCAAAAGTTTCAGAAAGTATTAAAGTTTATTGGATTAAAATTTCTTAAAATTAGTTTTCTATTGAATCATCAGTTACACATTCCCATTATTTATCGGGTTATGTCAGTTCAAATTGATTTTAAATTAAGACGATAAATTATTTTGAACTTGTACATTATTTGGTAATAATTTACATCATGCCCGCAGCCTTTTGGGGAGGAGTGGGGACGCTTATTCTAGAGGATTGTTTACATTTAGGTTACAGTTATGTTAGGCTATCTCAATCCCCCACCACTTTTTCCTCCATAGGCACCTCAAAACTGTTAATTTTTCATATTTTATTGGCAGTATTTTAGTTTAGAAGCTTAATTTTGTTGTTTAAGTGATATGTTTAGTTTATTAATAGGTAGTTTTTTATTGGATAGTTATACGTTTTAGTGTTTAAAGTGGTAGTTTTGGTTTAATGTTCAGTGATAGGTTTCATCTTCACAGACTCTTATTTTATTAGTGATATTTTGTTTAAAAGTTTAATTATGTTGTTTTAGTAATATATTTAGTTTACTAATAGGTACTTTTTATTTAATAGTTATACATATTAGTGTTTAAAGTGATAATTTTGGTTTCTTCTTCATAGACAAAATCGTGAGTATACTTTAATTCTTTACTTTATTTTATTAATTTTCCTTTTTAATTCAGTGGTAATGAAAGAAAAAGATGGAAATCAAGTTTGTAACTTTGTTATAAGAAGCTAGTGTCTATAGTTTGAGGCTACTAGCTAACACAATTTTTATCTTGAAGTCAGTAGTTTCTAGTATAAAATTGAAATTTGGTTTTCCTTTATAGTTATGATTACTTTCATCATTAAAATATGAGTATAGTTGATGATCCTTAGCTTTATTGAGATCTCTAGTAACTAAAAGTAGTTTTCTTTTATGCCAGAATAAATGATATGATTCTCATCATGACTGATTTTTAGAAATAGATTGTTGTACTGCAAAAGTTCTGAAATGAAATTATTATTTTTCTTGTTGAAATCCTAAAACTATTAATGTTTATTCAAGATGTTTTTTTATCATTTAAGGTCAAGATTATCATTTCAGGATCATCAACTACACTCATATTTTTAATATTGAAAGTAACAATAAGCAATAAGGAAAACCAAATTTCAATATTATACCTGAAATCACTGACTTCAAAATAAAAATTGTATTAGCTAATAGTCTCAACCTATAGAAATATCTTCTATAAACAAGTTTCAAACTTCATTTTAATCTTTTTCCTTCATAACTATTGAATTACAAAGGAAAATCAATAAAAGAAAGTAACAAATTAAAGGATTAAGTCATTTTGGAAACCTATATGAGCCCAAATCAACTCAGCAAGAGGTGATTTAAGAGGATTTTACATAAAGAAAAATGAGGGTAATTATTTACAAGTGGTACTCCTCCGGCCATCTTGTAAATAACCACTTGTAAATAATTACCAAAATGAATATTTAATAGTTGACCGTTGCATTATGAAGGAAGAATATGGTCCGGGGTTGCTGTCATAAATAGGCTAAATAGTGGTAAAACTATTTTATTGAAAGCCGACGTTTCGACCCGACTTTGCAGGTCTTCTTCAGGGCTACGGTTACTGACTAGTCCAACTACAGGAACTGAGTACTATAGAACTTTAGTTGGACTAGTCAGTAACCGTAGCCCTGAAGAAAACCTGCAAAGTCGGGTCGAAACGTCGGCTTTCAATAAAATAGTTTTACCACTATTTAGCCTATTTATGACCGCAACCCCGGACCATCTTCTTCCTTTCTTACCAAAATGGGTTCTGTTGATGAAGAACACATTATTAAAGATAGTATTCTTAAGGGGTTTATTGTATTTAGACTTAGGATAAATTCAATTGGTAAAAATAATTTCCCTCATATGTCTATTTTTAGCAGTAAATCTGTAAATGTATATGTGCAGCATTTATAAATTGAAATTCCTTTGTAAATAAATAAATATTCTCTGTTTTATCTATTGTTTTTTATATTCCTTTGTTGATTAAAAATGTTTTCTATTTCAAGTTAATTTGGATATTTTTTCAATCAATTGATAATTGATTGTATTTTATCCTTACAGTTTTATGTTTCACTACTAGTTATTTTTACTTGGTATATCTAGTGTGATAAAATTGAAAATATATTATAGCCAACAACCTCTAATTTCCCAAAAAAGTATTGAAAAATAAATAAAACTAGGGAAAGCTTATATTCTGGACTAATGGAAAATTCAGGTGTGACAAACATTATTACAATTTATCATATTATGATTATTAATCCATTTCAATGATAGCAGGTGTATTGATATTGGTAAATAGAAATTTTCAAATTATACAAAAACTAAGTTATACCACTCTGAAACAAATACTCTCCTACCACCAGGCTTAGAAGTAAAATGAACAACTTTTTCTATTTTAGATGCAATATGCAATATCTACATTACGGTAAGAGGTAAACCATTTCATAAAAAATATTTTATATCAATGATCAGAAATGAATCTGTTGATCGAGGATCAAATTTTGAACTATTTAAATTTGTAATAATAGTGGATTTATAATAGTTGGTGTTGTCCAAAATCAGTCTTGGTCATGCACTTTGCAAGATCAAGACCGGAAAAAAAAATCCCTTTTATGAAGAAAAATTAAGGTAAAATAGTTACTAAAACTTGAAAAATTGAGTTGCCATATGTAAAGAAGTGGTATAACCAATATCATTTGGAATTTAACTCTCAATTTTTCATTCAGGCTTAGTTAGGTTTTCCGTATCTAAAAAATTACAGTAATTTCAAACATCTCATTTCTCTATTCACTAGTTTCATTTTGCTGTGGAGCACAAAATATACTTCAGAGAATTCGTTGTTTACATTGAACAAACTTTGGATCATTATTCTTTCTATAATCTATTCTTACTCCACAGAAAGAACCTTAAAAGTAAATAATGATGTTGCTTTTACAACCCTCATTTCTTAGTCTGCCTGTGTCCCTTAACAGGGGTGCCCAGAAGGGAGTTTCATGCCACAAGTTGCGCCATCAAAATTTTTAAGGAGGCACATGTTGACTGGATTTTGAATTTTTGAGTGAAAAGTTTCAAAACAGAGAATTGGGAAGAAACATGGGACATACCACTCCAGGTATAATTGTATATGATCTTGGAATTGTCTAATCTTACTTTCGCTTGCATTGCTTTTAAGAAGGGGAGTGAAATACAATTTTTGGAGAGAGGGGGATGGTTCATGCGCCATCGACCTTGGAGGGAATGGGCACCCCTTAAATAGATGTACAGGGAAAGTTTGAACTAATTAATATATTTTACTAATTGAACTAGCGTAATGAATTAGAGAGTTGAGAAAAAATGTTACGGGAAAAAGATAAGGATAATTTTGGTTATTTTTCTAGAGGGGAGGGCATACAGAAAAAATTTCAATAGAACCTCATTCATCTTCAATAATCTGCATAGACTTTAGATAAAGATATTTTTCCAATCATGTATTTCAACTTTGAAATTATTTTCTTTTTTTATATCAAAAAATAATTATAGGCTAGGAAAATCTTAATCTTGGTATTATCCAATTCTCCAAACATGTTAGAACAAGTGAATACATTTTCAAGAATTTAGTTCAATAAATACTACTTTACTTAGAGAAGCAAAGATGCAAACATGCTAGTTCCAGCTCAAATTTTTTTCCAAAAAAGTTCGAATCTCGTAATTTCAAATATGAAACTGCTTATTATAAGTAGGTAAAATTTGACACTTTTTTCTTATGTGTGTATTCGCTTCCTAAATATAAAATTTTCATTAAAAACTGTACTGGGTATCCTGACCCACCCCTGTATAATATGGAAAGGAATGACCCATGGTATTTATTCCATTTAATAAAGTAGAATTTTTATTTATTAAGAAGTAAAGCACTAATTTTAAAAAATATTCTTTATAGTTTGTGTAGATTCAAGAGTTTTTCTAAATTTATGTGTTCTTGGTTAATTTTTGTAATATGGTAATTTCTAATTTCCATATTTCTTAATTCTATTAAGTTTTCTGTGAAGACTTTACACGTAAATTAAGAATACAACAATTTTTATTAATTGAAACTTTAACATAGAAGCACTGTTTGCAAAAGTGGTGTAAGTAATTTTTATAATAAATAATTAATTAAGTATTAAGTGCATTAACTGATTGGATATGCTAGAGACAGATTATTTTTAACAAATAAATTGAATTTATTTATTATTAATTTGTTGAATTAGTCCATAATATTTGATTAATTCAAAACTTCAGTTTTTTACTTACACCATTTTAGTATTCAATGGCTCATGTAGTGTACTAAAGAAAAGTCCTTGTATTTAAGTGAATTTTCCTGATAAGTTTTTAAAGAGATAAATTATGATTTGTTGAAGAATTTCTTTAAATGATTGTTATGCAACGATCAAAGATCAAGAATACCTCCGAGTGAGGTTGTCACCTACCTCAGCATTAAGATTTGAAAAAAGTTCGAAGTGATAGCTTATTTGGACTATTTGAAAAGTAGAGTGACCATAGCCTTTAACAGATTCAGTTGTATAGAGGGCACCTTTTGGGGTCTCAGATGCCTAGAAACTGTGAGCATTTATAAAGGTTTTATTTTGAGTAGCCCCTGCCTGGAGTCAAAATGGCTCTGCTTCAAGTCACCAGATTGTACAGGACGGTGTCCATAGTATCTCCAAGTGAAAATAGAAGAAGATCGTAGGAGTTGGAAAAGGATTATCTGGGAGGATACAGTAGAAGAGTGGAACTGGCGGTGGTTGACAACTCCAAAAGGAGCAACCCTGAGAAAGTATTTTCCCACCATCGCATCGCGACTAGAAGCAACTTGGGTCCTCCCGGACTACTACACCTCTCTCCCTTTCTGAATATCATTTTAAACTCTTCCCGATTAAATGTAAATTCCATTAATCACAATAGTTTTATAAATCTATAATCATAAGTTGAAGTCTATCTGGCATAAAAGCAATGAAGGCTTAAGTACACACTATCCTAATGATATGACATTCAGTCCTCCTGCAACACAATCCTCTATATCATTAATGTACCCACTGAAAAGAAATATACTAACATTAAATTGGTTATTTGTGAAATGACAAATGTACTATTTTTAAGATACAAATGTATGGATAAACAATTAATCTTTACATTAGTTATGTAATGTGTTTTCTGTTACTAAAAGATGCTTCTGCGAATAATGCACCCTGAACAGCTCTCAACTCAAAAGTGGTATAAATGTGTCATTTTTTAAAATAACCTATTCAATTATTCCCTAATAATAATATTTTATTATGTGATATACAATTTTAATGTTTACAATAATATACATTATTCCCATACCGTATCCCAAATAATATTTCAAGGAGTTCTGTCAATCCTTATTGACTTCACTGTTTAAGGTTTAAGCTCATTATTATTTTAACAATTTTGATTGATACTCCTGTGTTACAATTTGTAATATAATGCCTAGTAGTGAACTATATGTTTAGTTCTATAATAATTGCAGATAGCAAAATATATCAAACAAAGTATAACATGTGCCTTATTGTCTTTCTTCTGCAAATTTAAGATAATTATAATAAGTAAGATTTTAATAGAATAATATTTCCTAAATGCTGCCTATATTCTTTAACTAGTTATTGGATATTAATGAGTAAGCCAATAATCTAACTATTGGGTTTTCAAACTTGATGCCCATGTAATTCATTGTGTCATTCTTATCCTCTACTTTATGAACAGGGAATATGATGGATAAATAAAAGCTATTAGGTATTTCTCGCATTTCAAAGTCTTTATTAATAGAATTGTGTAGTTGTTTTAAGTAAAACATTGCTGTTTTTTTATTTTCAATATATTTTAACATTATTAAACTATTTATTATTTCATTTATATCTTTTAACAATGAAACTGAACAAAAGCATGAACAAAATCATTTCTGACTCCAGAAATGAAATAGCAACTAACAGTTGAAGATTAAATGCAAATGAAATTAATGACTGGAAAATGATGATGGTGGGAGAATGGTAGGATTTTCGAAAAAATATGTATGTAGAGGAACTAGGAACTGGATACTGTCAAAAATTAACTTGAAGTGCAGGATGGTGGGTAGTCGCGGGAATTTCAAAAAGTAGGGGAAAGGAGAAGAGTAGTGGGGGCAACAACTGCTAGGCGGGTAATCTAACCTAACCGGGAACTATCATTGAGGATAAGCGCCCCCACCCCAGCCCAAAAAGCTGCGGGCATCATGTAAACTATTACCCATTATTTAATTATTTGAAATAGATTAAGTTACAATTTGGAGTATTTAATGTTACAACGATTGTTTTTCTTAATTAAGAATGCGCAGACTTCAGGTGGAGTTATCTTATCAGTGTGATTTAATCCTCCCTCTTCTGATAACGGATTTGATTGGGGTATTTGAATTTTGTAACTATTTTCTAAAAAAAAAACTGAATATAAACTTAGTCTACACGTTTTTCCAGATATATAAATTTAAAACTTTTCAGGACCACCTATTCTGAACCAATAAAAGTTTTAATTGTTACCTATTGAGACATTTTATACTGGACAAAGACTTTTTATTTTAGCGTTCACAATTTAAAAACAAATTATTATTTATCAGTGTTATCTTATCACTGTTACTATTATCAGTTTTATTTGATATTGTTTTATAAATTGTTGCTGTTGGACTATTCTGGTGAGATAGCACAGACTATTAGTGTATTCATTCTTGATTTTGGTTACTAAATCATTAAGTTTATTTATAAGAGTGCTTTTTCTCTTTTTAGGAGACATGATTATTAGACAAGCAATTATTCTCCTAATTTTCATTAGTTTCTCTTCTCAGAGAAAAACCATTGATTTATTGTTGTCATACAATCTTGAAGATCCAACTAGATATCAATTAAAAACTTCTTATGGGTTTGATGATTCTCGTAAACAGCATGATTATTCGAAAACTGATTCGGATGAACCAAATACAGAAAATCACTTTGATGATGAGAATTCAACAGATGAATCTTCATTGAACGATGAAGAATTAGATTTATTACAACCTGAGAATCCAACTGAAGGAATAAGTGTGCTATATGCACAGCCAGAGCAAATCCATTTATCCATTGGAAGTATGTAACTAAATTAAATGTTCATTAACATAAGTCACTAACTTAGCTTATAAAGATACAAATGTATTTTTCGTAACATGAAACAAGTAGTTGTTAAAACTTCTATCACTGTTTAATGATGTGAATTATATATAATATTTACTTTTAAAAGTAACATAGGATTTTTGTGTTATTTTAGCCAATGTAAGTACCTTTGTAGTGACATGGCAAACAATGTCACCTACTCCTGTTCCAACTTGTAAGTATGGCCGAAATGGCATGATAAAGATAGCTACTGGTGATACAACATTATTCATTGATGGAGGAAAAGAAAAATTAAAAAGGTATATACACAAGGTCCAACTCGAAAATCTCATACCTCAACAGAAATATGGTAAATAAGGTGTAGTTTTTATTTTTATTTTTTTTTTTATAAGTTGTTAATATTTCTTCTTTATTGGGTTGTGTGAAACTATCCTGTTTTATTATTTTATTAAAATATTTAGTTTATCACTGTGGAAGTTCTCTTGGTTGGTCAGAAGAATTCTGGTTTAAAAGTTTGGATCCTTCAGAGAGTTGGGCTCCGACGCTGGCTGTCTATGGCGATCTAGGCAATATCAATGGAAGGTCATTACCTTATCTCCAAGAAGAAACTCAGCGTAGTCGCTTTGATGCAATTTTACATGTTGGCGATTTTGCTTATGATATGAGGGATGTAAGTAAAAAATAAGGCTGTTTAATTTTCATTTTTTCATCTCTATAATTTTATCCAGACTCTTTATCTCCCCATTATTTACACCCACTATTTTGATACCTTGCTCGCCCTCATGAATATGAAACCAGCACCACTACAACCTATGAAGAGTCTTGGGTTCAGTTCTTTGTAAGGAAGTACTGTTTCAAGGTTGCGCTGGAGGGTGATTGGGCTGGAATCACTCTCGAACATAAGGTTTTCTTATTAATTGTGTAATTAAGAGTACCAACTTTATGAAGACTTTATCGGCCCTGTGGTCGGACCGTAGTTGATGAAAAATTGCTTCTCAACAGCTGGATTCAAACCTGGGGCCTTGAGCTTAGGAACTCAGTGCTTACCATACTCATTGAACTACCCTGTGCTCCTCCCCCCCTCACAAGAATATGGCAAAGGAGAAATAGGAACAGTCCAGAAGTGGGGAAGAAACTCTTCTTCTTCCTCTTCCTCAGATTCGATGGACCTTGCAAGTATTTGTACTATATATGACATCTTTGTTTTTATTTGACAGTAAATGTCGAAATTTTTTGGAAATAAACAATAATTAATAAATAAATATCTATCTGTCTTCCACTATCACAACTCGTGGTGAGTCAGGTTCTAAATAAATAAATAGGATTTCACTTTATTTTACTTTACAAGTTTTGTTCCAATTTGATGGGTTAACGCAAGATCTCATGATTACACTAAAAAAACATAATCCTGAAAATGACTGAATGTAGAAAGGTGATTGAACCATCTGATAAGGCCCGGATCACATCTGAAGAGACCCGTTTGGGTTTGTTTATCTGTTTTGGCTGAATGCAAATGGAATTAAAACTAATTATGGTCTCGATTTTGATTGAAAAGGAGCGGGTGGAATTCATGAATGATGGTCTAAAAACAAAGGGAGGTTATAACCATAAACTGGTTGTCAATATTCAAATATTCTTCGAATTACATGTATAGTGTCCTTCCCTTCAAAGTGGAGCAAGCCATTATAAAATGGAACTCGTTCAACCTAACCTTCTCACTAAAGGTGCTTGATGAGGAGTATTGGACTAATAAACATAAATATTTGAATTTGATTTTATAGGATTTTTATTTTCATGGTGTTTACTAAAGCATCCATAATTCCTCAGGATTTTCTTCTAATTTAACGTTACTACAACTGTTGGAAAGCTGAATTAGTGTTGCTCCAAATCATGTAAATAACTTATAAATTTTTTTCCAAGTTTTTCTTGGACTTGCATCTAATATTTTTCGACCTAGTATCACCAAAAATTCATTGAAATTGGTGAACCCACTTCAGTTACCTCTCCTTGTTAGTGCCATTTGGATTTTCCTAAGATTTGCCATATTCTTGTGGTAGAGCTATATCATAATTTTTTATTACACATACAATAATATTTATGTACATACGAGGGTGATAACCCCTGGCCTAACAGCGGACCAAACCCCAGTTTACAAATTATACAACTGTTCATTTAATTGTACTATTCTTTGCTCAAATTTTAGAAATTTAATTTACGTGTATTTTGTAGTACAGATTGAATTATTTTTTATCAGCATAAAATAACCTGAACGAAACACAGTTTGGACATTTTTTAATTTCTTTAAAAACCTATAATATACATTATGCCTTTTTGCCAATTTGTAACCATATTATATATTCAACTTGTCCAGCTTCATATAAGCCTAACAATAATTTATTTCTAATATTTTCATTGTACTTGATATTGTGCTTTCATTTCTATTTCATAATAATTATAATTATATCACAATATAATAATTAATATATTTTATTAAACGGGAAATGTCAAGATTGAAAAATAACTGCTGTCACTAGATAAAATCAAACTACCAACTGCAGATGAAAATACCATTTCACGTACAAATTTTTAGTCTAAAATCTTTATTTTGTTTTAGGATCTTAGGAGGTAACAGGAGATCAATACATATGTAATTAAATGAACATCTGTATAATTTGTAAAATAATTGGCAAATAAGTTGAGCTCTTGTTATCTCCTACTCTCCTAATACTAAAATAAAATAAAATATGAAAGTCACTAATAGAGAAATAATAATATAATAGGTTTATACACATTTTTTGTATTGCTGTTGTCTATTCAAACAGGTTGCGCAGTAGCTCAATGAGTTGGGCACTGAGCTGCTAAGCTCAAGGTCCCATGTTCGAATCCGGTTAATGTCAAGGAATTTTTTATCAGCCGTGGATTGACACTGGGGTCGGGAAACCCTGTTGGCGCATATCCAGTCACTATAAAGTGGGTACTCTTGACTAAATAATTAATTAAGGAGAAAAACCTGGCGGTTTAGCGTGATCCTGGCCCGATCTCTTCCCTGCACAAATGTTAGCCTTGAAACAGTACTTTCCCTAAATAGTACTGAACTCAAAACTCTTCATGGGTTGTAGTGTACAGGTTATCTAATCAATGAAATCTTAATATATTATTTCTCAAAAAAAATTTTTTGTCGCTAAGACTATATCTTCATCAAATCTAAAGATTCAGCCCTCATTTTGAAGATCTTCAGGTTGGAAAAATAGTTACATCCCCAAAAATGTCAGAAAAAAAAATTATGAAGGAACAGAAACCTCATTTGTGAATAACATGAACAGTATACACTTTTTTGTTGATTGTACCCATGATAATTTCAAAATTACTAAATTCCCCATTAAAAAAAAAAAAAAAAAAGAATCATCGAATTCGGACCATTATTAGCTCAGATGCAGGTTATTGTAATTGGTCAATATTTTGGTTTAAAACATAAATGGTTTTATAATAATTTTCTTTTCCTTGGTCGATTACAATTTCCAAACGAATAGGAAACGATTCCTTCATCTTAAGATAAATGGAATTATTCAATTTTCTTCTAATTTTATCATTTGTTCACTGACCAATATTCTTTGCCGAATTATTTGGACAGACCTAACTAGTATTAAATAATACAAACCCTAGCATTTATGAAAATCTCATATTTGTATGTTTATATGTTATTGGAACCTGTATTATATTAAATAATATAATACTTATCCCCATAATACCCCATATTTCCTTTAATATTTATTTCATATTTAGATTAGTGAAAGTAAAATTTAGTTCTGTTCTTATTCTTTAGACTTTTTCCCCTCATTTTGTTAAAAACCATTTTCTGAAAATATATAAATTATTTTTCGCAATTTAGCAACTTATGTAAAAATTATAATTTCATTAAATTTTTTGGGGGCAAAATTTATGTCATCATAGGAAGATACATAAAAAACAAATAAACTTTGTCTTATTTTCATATTCTTTGATCTTCAGCAACAGTTTCATTAATCTTCACTAAAATAAACTCTTGTCCCTTACAGGATGTAGCTTAAGACTGCTCCACTAAATTATTAAGCCACCCTCTATTAGCATTTATTTTAATTGTATTATGTTTTCGAGAAAAAACATTGTCTATTTAACTTTTATTAAGTTTCTTGAATCCAATCAATCCTTTATTGATTAAATTTAATAAATGATTTATATAGAAAATTCTATCAATAAATCTAGTATCTTAGACCTATTTTAAAAACTTAATTAGATTGAGGAAAGTATTTAATATCTTTTTTTTTTTTAGGCGGAAGGCGAAGTTGGAGATCAGTTCATGCGTCAGATCGAGCCTATAGCTGCTTATGTTCCATATATGGTTTCTCCTGGTAACCACGAGGAAGCTTAGTATGTCTGGCGATAATTATTTAATTTTTATTTTTATAATGGTGAATATAGAAAATATGGTTGGGAATTTGGTTAGGAATTGCAGTCAGAGAGAACAAAAAAATTATGTATTTATTTTATTTTGTGCTTAAGTTTCTGCACAAAATAAGACTTTCATCTTCTTTTCTTGCAGACTTTCATCCTACAGCTAATGGGTGTTTCAATTGAGTCGAGTCAATTGAGTTGAATTTGAATTGAGTCAAACACCCATTAGGTGAGGAGCCCTGATGAAGGCCTACAACTTAAGCCGAAATATTGGCATGTACTAAAATAATTATAAATCTTTTATTTATAATAGATAGACTGTTATTTTATCTTTAAATGTGGAAGAGAACTCTTTCTTTGTACAGTCTCATTTATGTTTCATATGTTACATGGAGCTTTCAGTGCTCGGTACCATATTTATCTAAAAAATCAACATATATGTCTCGTAAGTAGAGAGAAATTTTTAAGAGGATGACATTAGACATCATGAGCTACAAAACAAATAAATAACTGCCCAATTTCCATCAGGAAAGTAGGAAATTTAAGATTTGTGTTTTTTTAAGTGAGTCACGTTTTTTATTGAATAGTAAGCAATAGCTTGAAAAATATTTGATTTAAGTAATTAAACATAGTAAAATAGACGAAATTTACTTTAAAACAAAGTAAAGTTTGTCATTATTAAAACTATTTAAAGAGGAATTTTGAGCAGCTAAACACAGCTAAGTTTCATTTTAAAAAAGTCATAAATTATTTGTGATTTAATTTCATCACCCTTTAACTGTACTACAATTACCCCACTTTTACAAAAATTTCCTCGTTTAATAAGCTTTAAGTACATATTAATTAAGTTGAGATTTATTAAGAAAAATTTTGAAATTCACATTAAGAAGAAATGGTGTGATTTCCTATTGTCACTTCAAAGTACCCATGTTTTCTTCAAAAATAACTACAGTAAACTGTTGCTAGGCTTTTATTTTTTGTTTTTCTGGAATATGGGATGTATTGTAATACACATAATTGCCTAAAAACACATCTTATTTATAAATATAAACAATTTTAAAATAATGACTTTTTAAATATTTTTCATGTAAAGTGGTTATGAAATTGTGTTTTTCTCCCAGATCTCCATCATAGAAATCGATATGTATTTATCAGTGACAAACTTAATCTTTCTTACTAAAATTTACGTTTAAATAAAGAAACCTACTGATTACTTCAATTATTTTCATGAAAATGTAGTTATTAGGGCTAGGAACATTAAGTTTGTCACTTATAAATACACATCAATTACTTTGACAGAAATCTGGTAAAAAAAACCACAATTTCGTAACCAAATAACATAAACATATGTAAATAATTAATGTTTTTAGGCAATCGTTTGTTAGAATACATCCCATATCCCAGAAAAACAAGAACTTAGAGCTTTGCAACAGTTTATGGTAGCCATTTTTGCAGAAAACACGGCTACTTTGAAGTAGATTGATATGAACACAACTTGATATGAATCTCAAAATGTTTTCCCGATAAACCTCAATTTAATTGATATGTACTTAAAGCTTATTAGATGAGGAAGTTTTTGTAAAAGTGGAGTAAATGTAGTACAGCTAAAGTGTGATTAAAAAAATCACAAATAATTTATGCCTCTTTTTTTAAAATGAAACTTAGCTGTGTTTAGCTCCTCAAAATTCCTCTTTAATAAGTTTTAACAATCACAAACACATAAACATAAACTTAACTATACTTTCTGGTAAAGTAAATTTTGTCTAATTTATTATCAAGCAACGTTTAGTTACTTAAATCGAATATTTTTTATGTTCTCACTTCCTATTCAACAAAAAATGAGACTTGCTTAAAAAAATACAAATCTTAAATGTCCTACTTTTCTGCTGGTAATTGAGCAATTGTTTACGTGAAATTTTTTGTAGATGTTGATGCCTGCAATCAACCATTTAAATATTCCCCTCTACTTATGGAACACCCTTTGTATACACATCCAGTAATATATCGTCATAATTCCTAATCGTCACACAGGAAATTCTACGTATCTCTTTCTAAGCTGACTTGATCCACTTTGAATGTCGTTCTTTTAAAAATTTAGTTTTTTTTTCAATCATTGCTAGATTGTTGTACTGTTAGTTAAAAAAACGTTTGCCTGTTTATTTAAAAGCAAAACAAATAAAAAATGGTGTAATTGAAATTGTTTTCAATGACTCAATGACTATTGTTAATCAATTGCCAATGATAATTGTTTGTAATACTGCTTACTATTGGTGGAGAGAGGACCTCATTTGCCCATATTGGGTCGTACTCTGGACTTCTTAACGTACAGATAACATTTTTTTAAACAAAAGTATGACAATCTAGAGATAATTGGGAAAAAAAACTAATTTTTGAAAAAACGACACCCGAAGTAGATGGAGTCAACTTAGAAAGAGGTATGTAGAATTTAAAGAATGCCTGTGAAAATTAGCAATTATTTATGATCTGTGATATATTATTGGATATTATATATATATATCATATATTTTACAAATAATAATAATAATATAACCTCAGAAGATCACTTCAATACTATCGGGATACTTCCAAAATAAATAAGAGGTATTTAAACAATAAAAAAAATTATAAGAGTGTCAATTTATTAAACTAAACTTTATAATTATTTTATCTCAGGTATGGGTTACTGACAATCAGATCAAGACACTCAGACAAACTAAAATTAACTATACTAAACACTGTTTGATTTTAAAATAACGTCAAATATCGATTAGCAAGCTAACCTTTTTTCTATAGATACTGTTTCTTCCTTTGTTGCACTAAATTCATTTGTCTTCAAATGCTTTCCAATCTTCTGCCGAACACAACTTCCAAAATGGTGACACTTTCTTCTACTCAACTCAAGCTCCCTGGGAGATCCTCTCTCTTGTAGTTTCAAACAACTAGTGACCTTACCAAATAACAACTTCCAAGATGGTAATACTATTACTAGGTTTTACCCACTGGAGCCCAGATCCCTTTTCCCATCATCTCTTTACTGCTGCCACATAACAACTGCTTGCCAAAACAAAATCCTTTGTCCTATTCCCTCTTTCGGATTTTCCTTTTTGGGGAAACTATAGAGCAGCTATTTTCTTTCCCCTGAACTAGTAGAACTAGATCAGCTTGCTTTTTAACAGTTACATTAATTTATTTAATCATTTTTAATATATATATGTTTATAGATGAATATGGTGTAGTGCACCGAAAGCTCCTTGGTACGTATTAAATATAAATAAATGAGACTGTACAAAGACTGTACTAATCTTTTATTTATTGTTTTTCTGATTGGAATCACCAACCAACTCCTCAACCATTTTTTTTTTTTTTTTATAATTGATAAGTTTTTCCTCTAATTTTGATGATTTTTTATTTTTAGGTTGTCTGTGCTATTTATTTTTGGTTTTAAATTCTAATTTTCTATAGTGATCTATCATTAATTCTTAAAATTATCTCTTAAAGCCGTTTTATGCTATCGAGTTTCTCGACCGAAGCTTTGTCCTAGAAATAATAACCATAAATATTTTGGTTTTGAACCACTAGTGGAGATCACCACAGACTTTATAGACCCTTTTAGACAGTTAAGGTTCTTGAAGAAAGTCAAATCCTCACTTTCTTTAAGAAAATTAATCCAATCCGGAATTAACATATATTTTTTTGTTTGGTGTGTCAGAAAATTCACCTTACCTTTGCAACTATACTTCAAGTTTTCAAGTCAATTTATTACTAGCCATATTTACACCAATTTAAAAAAAATTTGTTGTCATTCAATGACCACTCATCAAAATGACGACGTTTCGGCTCGTCGAGCCATTTTCAAGTCTAAAATACCCATCATGTACCTGTCAATTTCACTTATGCGAATTGCAAGCGTCATGTTTCTGAGTCACCCACATGTCATCCATCTCATTTCTATTCAGATGGATGACATGTGGGTGACTCAGAAACATGACGCTTGCAATTCGCATAAGTGAAATTGACAGGTACATGATGGGTATTTTAGACTTGAAAATGGCTCGACGAGCCGAAACGTCGTCATTTTGATGAGTGGTCATTGAATGACAACAAATTTTTTTTAAATTGGTGTAAATATGGCTAGTAATAAATTGACTTGAAAATAATAGTATGCACCGAAGAAGAATTGAGTAATATTGTGAATATACTTCAAGTGTTATATTCATTGTTGTTTGTTATTTGTGTTAAAAATACAAGAAGGATCTATTTACCATTTCCATTAATTTAATTCCAAGTATGGCGTGCCCCATATATTATGGAAAATATTTACAGAATTGATAGTAAACCTCAAGTGCAAGAAAAAAGTTTACATAAGCAATGTTATTTCGTACAGAGATGATCTGTTTCTGTTTCTTCAATCACTTCAATCAAATTTAAAACATGGTTTTGTGGCCAATCCAACATTTTTACTATTAAAAGAATAAAGCAAACTCCTTATTGAGTTTATTCAAGGAACTTGACCCTGTTAAAGGGTGTTACTATAAAGAATATTTTAATTATTATAAAATGAAAATCAATAAAATCATTTAGACCATATTTAGTATATGGGCCATACCAATATTTTGTAGTTCACAGTAGTCTCTCATTAACAAGAACTCAGTAGGGGACCAAATTTTCCTGTTTGTATTATAAGAGTTCATCTTATTCGGTTAGATGAAAGTTTTTCAATACACAGTAAAAGTTCTCTTTAATTTACATTTTAAAATTATTTATTTCATGATTAATAAAAGAGACAAATAAAAGATTCACATGCAAAAAATTCATAATTTATAACATTAAGCCAAAATAGATTTAAATTTTCTACACCATGCTTCCATCTAGTTCTTTTAAAATTTCTAATTTTTATAGATAAAAAATCTCAGGACAAATGTTTTTTTAGCCAATTACTCGTGCACAATATCACTATTCAAAATATCAATATTCAAATTTTAATATTCTACTTATTAAAAATTGTTGAAAATGAAATTTAATAAAACTTTTTAATTTTTATGGATATGGAGGTTTTGTGTGGAAAGTGCTGTTGAAATCAAACATAAAGGAAGAAAAGAGATTAAAACCATTATATGTCAACCATTAATAGGCGAGCGTCCACTGGAAATTGCTTATTGAAAATTTATATCTAGAATTGGTTCATGTTGCCTTTAAAATTTTACTCTACTATTGCCTGAAATTGTACAAGATTCGTGTTAACTAGGTATTTTTCAAAAATAATCCAGAAAATAAATTATTTTTGATGAGCTAAGAAATTAGTTTCTGTTATTCGGTGTTTAGCGTTAACTTATGTCATGATTATGAGGGATTACTAAATTCATTCTTGAATAAAAAAATATTTATCCTTAATGTAATTTGTTTAACTTTTCAGCAATTTCAGTCACTATAGATATAGATTCAATATGCCTAATTCTGAGGAGACTGAAAACCTTTTTTACGAGTTCAAACTTGGGCCAGTACAGTTTATCAGCATTAATACTGAAGCTTATTATTTTCTGGAATATGGTATAAAAATTGTAGTTAAGCAGTATATGTGGCTCGTGGAAGTTCTAAAGGTATTTATTATTTTCATATGATTAATATATTCAAAGAAATATTGAAAGGACAAGCTAAACTATATGATATTTTATGATTGCTATTGTCCTTAAAGGAAGCTAACAAGCCTGAAAACAGAGCTAGGTGGCCGTGGATCATCACGTACGGCCATCGCCCGATGTATTGCTCGGACGATGATGGCGATGATTGCACCAAGAGATCCTCCCGAGTAAGATCTGGTTTACCTGTAGTAAACTGGTAAATAGTTCATAAAAATGATAATTATTTCATTTTTTTCCTGTTATTTATTGTTAAATAAAAACAAAATGTTATTAAAGTAGTAGTTATCAAGTATAGGTTTGTGACCAAAATTGGGTTTATAGATCAGCACTGTCAAATCTATAATCTGATTGGTCCACTTCTTTTAATGAACCGTAGACAATTTATTATCAGTTGTTCTTTCTTCTGATTGTAAGAAAATATAGTATGTTTCATAGTCTTAAACTTTTTTTAAAGAATTTCAAAATTAGTTAGATATTGTAAATGCAGTTTTGTTTATGAAGTCAACTTTGTGACCTCTTCCAGTATCTCTCCAGTGCACTTAATACTAAAATTTCTTTTGAAAGAGATATTTTCAACAAAGCATTCTCATGAAAAACTTATAAATTACTAATAGGCTGTTAAAAAAAAAAAAATTACCGTTTCGCTAAAAGCATTAATCCCAAGAACTGTAAACATTTTATATGTTATACTGTTGTTTACCAACAATGCATTATCTATTTAGAACACTAATCTGAGCTTATTTATCAACAATGGACTGGCTCGATTTATTGAAAAAGCAACATGACAGTGTCTTGTTATTTTAAGACATTATTGGAAAAATTCTTGTTCAGCCATCAAAGTAGCTTGTGAAATCAATAGAACTGAAGGAAGTATCCTTGACAAGCGAACAGCAGGGCGTTGGTTTCAAAAATTTTCTAATTGAGATACGAGATGAGGCTCTTCAGCAAGCTGTAGGACCAAATCCATCCACAAGTACTCGTGATTTTGCCAAGGAGTGCAGAGTGTCAAAAGACACTGTGTTACCACGGGTAAAGTGAAAAAGAGCAGTAAGACTGATACTGCACTAGCAACAATTAGTTATTGATGAGAAATGGCAGTGCACGACAATGGCTTATATTTGGAATATTAATTTTATGTTACATTAAAGAAAAAATGTATTAATTTTAATGAAAAATGGTAATTTTTTTTATACTGTCCATTAGTAGATTACCCTTATGGTTTTATTAAAAGTTGCTGTGACTGTTTATTAAATGTATAATTAATTGATAATAGATCAGGATTTTTTTACCAATGGCAGTCTTTATAATATTTTTACAAGTTTATTCTCAGAGTAGCTTTCGGAATCAATCACCATATTCATCTCTATTTTTTTTTCGTTTGGCACTACAAACTATGAAGATCTTTGGTTGCGCAATTTGGTCTTACAGAGGTATGTTGCTTGCAGGAGCTCAGATAGCCTGGAGGGGGTCACCTCACGTTGCTATGAATCATGGTCTCCATGGTGCAGAGGCAGGCCGCCCGTAGCTCCATAGCCGATCCCTTTGGGGCCAATTAAATCTATCCTTCCCACCGACTCACTCGGGTTCAATGACAAATCGGTCTAGATCCATGATGACTTTATGAAAAGTAAGACTGGATAACTGCTTGGAGTCAGCAGGCGCACGAGGACCTATATTTCTTTCTCCGAAACAGACCATCCATGGACCGAACCTCAGGGGGGCTACTAACATCCTGGTAGACCACATCCTGATTCCCGATTAAGTACACGGGGTAGGGTCATCAGTCCTATGCCTGGTCGGTGTGAGTTGCCTGCAGTAGCCTGACGGGCTCACATACCCGTGGCGGGGGGGGGGGGGGAGACTCGAACAGCTTGGCTTTCTCTGGTGGACGGTCACCCGAATCTGGTGGTCACCCATCCAAGTACTAACCACGCTTGACGTTGCTTAACTTTGATTACCTATTACAAGCGCCTTAGCCCGTACGGCTACCCCAGCCACCCATTCATCTCTGTAATATAAGAAAAAAAACTCTGTACCACTACAACTCATCAAGGGTCTTGGGCTCATTACTCTCCAGGAATAGGATTCCTCTTTATAGGATGCCATCTTACTGAGTGCTGAGAATTTGCTATCAGCACCCTCTATATTTCGGAAATATTTAGCGACTAAAGTTACTCTACCTTATTTAATTCACTATTATTTAATTTTTTTATGAATGGCTATTATATGTGAATAGTGCTGTAGGATGTGAGTCGCTTCCTGTTTTGAATTTAGCACCTTTTTTTTTTTTTGGTTTATTGTTATATTAATGGATTTTAAAATTTTGAACTTTGATTGGTAGTTTGATTTATAGAGTATTTTAAAATATTTTGAAAATGTATTGCATGTCTATGACTTTTCATGTGGTTTAGTAAATCGGTAACTGTTTTTGAATCAGGTTTGAAGGTACTTTTGTGATTATATATTCTTGTTTTTATAACAGTCGATGTCATCGCTATATATGATTCATCACAATTTTTACAGGAAACATCATAAATTGAACATTTATAGTTTTGGATACGTGTTGGGTCCTTTATCGTGATTTTAGGTTAGTAAGTTTCATGGCAGTGCTCCACAACGGCTTATATTTTGAATACTAATTTTGTTACATTAAAAAAATATATATTAATATTTTGATAAAAATGGTAATTTTTTTTACAGCCCATTAGTAGGTTATCCTTATGGTTTGATTAAAAATTTGAAGTTAGTATTTTTTAAATTTATAATAATTGATACTTAGAATTTAAAGGTCATGAAAATAACCATTTTAAAAAATATTAATAATTATTATAATTATGATAAAAAATATTGTAATTAAGAAGAATATATTTATGTAGTGTATGTATTTTTTTAAAAATCTAATGATAATTATCTTCATTATGAAAATAAAATAAATACTTTCAATCCACAATACTGACTCATTTTTATCAAATTATTTATTGGCGTCATTTAATCATAACCTACATTTTTATATACAAAAATTCTGAGCTGTTTTATTGTTATTTTGGTACTACTTTACTAGCAGGCCGGGTCGAAACCTCACTTCTTCTCTATGTTATCTAACGTCACGTCACATAACCTCCCTCTTCTTATCCTGCCAAACCTTTCAGTTATTACATTGTTTATTTTTCAGTTATTCCCTTATTAAATTCATTATTTTTGGCCTGTTTGTGGAAACGGAGGAACTGCCAGACAACACCTCGATTCATATTTATGCGAATTTTTGTGGCGGCGTGTTCACAATGAAGAGGACCCGTTCCTTGCTATTTTAAATAGCATAAAACTATTTTGCCTACCAAAACAAATAAGACGAAGTGAAAATAAAGTGTACATATGTTCTTTAAGTGTTTTTTTTATTATTTCATCTTCATCTTTTATATGTAAATATGTTCTTTAAGTGTATTTTTATTATTTCATTAATATATGTGTCGTAAAATAGAAGTATTTGTTTTTGTTATTACATTTGTTTTTGTTTCTGTTTACACTTTCAAAAATACGAATATAATATAATAATATGAAGATAGGAATTACAAGAAGGCTTATCACTGCCTTATCGGAATTATCAGTGTTGAGGTTATAAACATTGGCCAATAGCAGTCAGACCCGGCCTGCTAGTGAAGAAGTACCGTTATTTTTTATGTGTTGGTTTAATTTATATATTTGGAAGATAGTAAGGAAATGTATTCACAAAATAAAAAAAAGCTTAAATAAAAAATCTTATTGTTATCTTATACACTGTTTTGTGTATAAGAACATATACTTCTGAAAAAGAGCCAGAAGCTGATTATAAAGATACAGCTGAACTTTTATTGGTTAGAGCAGGGGCCTCCAAACTTTTTGACCCACGGGCTGCATTGGAACCTCCACTAAGTCTGGGGGTTCTGGTGAGCCAGATCTGGCCCATGGGCCATAGTTTGGAGACCCTTAGGCTAGAGAAAATAATTTTAAAGTGTAATTATTACTCTAATGTTTATATTTGTTTCTCAGGTTTGGCTTAGAAAATCTGTTTTATGAATCAGGAGTTGATTTAGAGATTTGGGCTCACGAACATTCGTATGAGAGATTGTGGCCTGTTTACGAGCACAAGGTGTATAATGGAAGTAACAGTGCTCCGTACGTTAATCCCAATGCTCCCGTACATGTCATCAGTGGATCAGCAGTAAGTTACCGATAATTTAGAATAAATATGGACTGTAATAATAGTCACAATTCCAAAGTCTATCGATAAAGATTAAAGAAATGCAAATTAGTCCCTAAACATTTTAACTTTAAGAAAAGTATTTTTTTCCTTGAATATGGCCTGATTGATTAATGTTAGCAACCAAAAAAAAATGAAGTTAGATTTATTGATCAAATGTGATTTTATTATTAGAAATAAAATGAAGTATTAACCAAGTATATTAAAATATATATTTACTGAAAAAAATTGACAATATACTCGGCTGAATTTGGAATTATTTAACATTTTAATAAATTTATTTAAAATCACTACAGTATTTATGTAAATCTTTTCAGGAAAAAAATTAAAAAAAGAATGATCTATTTTTCAATTTTTGTTTAATGAACCTATTTTACTTAAGGGCTGCCAAGAGAACACGGATAGATTTATAAAGCACCCAATGGCGTGGTCTGCTTTTAGAAATAGCGACTACGGCTACGCTAGGCTTAAGATCCTCAATCATACTCACCTCTACATGGAACAAGTCTCCGCGGAGAAGGTAATTATCATAATGCATTCTAATAACAAAGTAATCTCTTGCGTAATTAATAACTTTTGTTATATTGCTTTATGCCCATTTTTCAGGAAGGAGATATTATCGACAGTTTTTGGCTAATTAAAGATCAACATGGTCCTTATTCAAAAAAATAACATGCCAATAATTGTACGTGGTGTACAACTTGAAAAGAGTTAATAAAAGACAAGGAAATCTCCATTAAAAACAAAAATAATTAAGTTTTTCAATGTAGAATCTAGATTATGACCTAGTGATTTTTAGATATTTTAGTGTTTTCTGTTTAATAATTTTTTTTATATCAAATCAAATGATACATGTTAAGATTTTATTGTGCAATCCATGTTTTGTCTTTCCTTAAGATAGTGATTAGATGGAATAATGAAAAAATTATCGCAATGTTTCTCTGATGTATGGTGAACAATAATACAAATTTATTATTCTATATGAGATTAGTTATGTACTGATTATTAACATTGAGTACTTTAAATTGTTTAATGTTTATATAATATCCATTTAGTTTATCTTTCATTCAGAAGAAATTATAAATGTGTGTAAATATATGTTTATTTTTATCAGTCGTTTGTTGTACATTGGTTTATTATCCCTGAAGGTAGCCCACATTTGTTTTGGGTAATTAAAATTATCTGCCACATTAGATAGATTCATTAATTCTTTTGAAGGTATGCAAAAAAAATTAAATCTTTCTGGAGTTGTATTTTTTTATTACTCCTGTTTTACATATTCAATGTTTCGAGACTCAACCCCATCTTCAGGAATATTCTGTTTCCTATTGTTCCTAAATATTGTCCTTTATTATTAAATATGTGTCCTTAAGAGTCATGGTAACAATGCAAGATGTAGGGTAACAATGTTTCTAAATAGAATAGAAGTAAAAAAAAGAAAAATTACAACATAAAAAAATTATGAGGATGAAACAAAATTTTGGAGAAATTTCAGTCCAGATATTTTTATTAGGTTAGTCGAGACAAGAACTTAAAATTCTTTTCTCGACTTCCGAACGATAGCCCTGATTTACAAATACTTTGTAAAGCCATTTAACACTCCTGTTGCCACCTATACGACGATGATTTCCAAATTTACCAATCATTTCAACCTTCTGAGATGCCTGAGGCTTGCCCAAAAGCTACAAGAGGATATCAACTGCATCAACAGATGGGCAGAAATAAATGAATCAAAGCTAAATGCAGATAAAACTAAGTCTATTCTCATCAGGTCCAGACATCTCGTTAGCTCCCTTACTTACTTTCCTCTACTTAACCTCAATAATCATCCCATTCATTTTTCCTCTACAGTCAAAAACCTAGGAGTAACCTCTGATCAGAACCTGTTCTGGAATAACCATATCTCCCAGATTACCCAAAAATCCATAACTGTCCTTAAACAACTCCAAATATTCTGTTATTGTATTCCTCTAAAAACCAGACAGCTCCTTGTAACCTCCCTTATATTCTCCCTCATCGGCTACGGCTGTTTGAGGTATGGAGGGCTATCTGCCAGGCTGGAAATGAGAGTGAAGAAACTCATGAACTGTTTCATAAGATGCATCTTCAGGATCCCCAGGTTTCATTCTGGTACACTGAGTTGAAGTGGCTTTATCCTACTTCCCGACGACAATTCTTCCTTGGTGCACATGCCCACTCATACATACACTTATACGCATACCTACTTACACCGGCATACACATCCACAATATTCATAAAATAATACATATTTAATAGCAATTCAACCACAATCTTTCGGTAATATATCTCTTTTAAGCACAAGTGGGATTCAATAATAACCATATCTCCCAGATTACCCAAAAATCCATAACTGTCCTTAAACAACTCCGAATATTCTGTTATTGTATATATTGTATTCCTCTAAAAACCAGACAGCTCCTTGTAAACTCCCTTATATTCCCCCTCATCGACTACGGCTGTTTGAGGTATGGAGGGCTATCTGCCAGGCTGGAAATGAGAGTGAAGAAACTCATGAACTGTTTCATAAGATACATCTTCAGGATCCCCAGGTTTCATTCTGGTACACTGAGTTGAAGTGGCTTTATCCTACTTCCCGACGACAATTCTTCCTTGGTGTTTTCCTTTTCCAAATCCTCAGAACCAAAAACCCTCCCTACATCCTGAAACTCCTTACTCTATGTTCCTCTATCCACTCTCTTAATACCAGGTCTCAACCTATAAATTTATATATCCCTTTCCATAAAACTACTTTCTTCAACAAATCCTTTGTCATTCGTGCTACCTCCATATGTCAATCCTCGTCCTCAAGTTCCTTCAAACAACTCCTGTTCCACTATCTACTCCACATTCAAACTTCCGCAAACATGTAAAATTACGTGCATATCTATACTGTTTAATTTTAATCTACTGCACAATTGCAATAACAATAAGCAGTTAATTAGTTTGTATTTTTTATTATTCTAAGACCTATAAATTTGTAACTCTGATATTATTCTTAGGGGACTGTAGTCCCAGAATAAAATTATTCTTTTATTTCATGTTTGTGTGGAAACATCGGCTATAACCCAATAAAAATATCTTTCCTGAATTTTTTTTAAAATCCTTATAATTGATCAGTCGACTACTTACCCATCTCTAAAATAGTTATGGATGACAAAGAATAGAAAATAAACTTTATTCTGGGACGAGGTCCCTTACGAATAACAATTATGAACAAAAAATAAAAACCACATCTGGCCAAATATTACATTAATCAAAATTAAAGAATATATACAAAATCTTCAGTAAAAGTATATTAAAACAAATAAAAAAGTAACACCATTTAAAAAAAAAAAATTATTTAAATGAAAAGAAAAATAGAAATCAGGTAAGATAAAAAAACAAAGTGTTATTCTTAAAATTAAAACTCAAACAATTTCAAGAACCATTCACCTCAGTCTAGCAATTCCAGAAGGCAGTGGATCGGACAATAAAGGAATATTCAAATATCTTAGTTCTATGGGAAGAGATATAAAGGTCGGAAACACGGGTTCTTGTTTTCTGGGAGTGGACCACGGGTTTAGACCATGTTTGCGCTGGCAAGACTGTGTGGCTGCTGATGCATGTAGACTACTTGGTGTCAGAAATTGGAAGGCTGCAGCAACTAACCGGGAGAACTGGAGATCCATGCTGGAGCAGGCCAAGTCTCAAATAATTGGGATATAGTGCCATTTAATAATAATAATATATAATGGACCACGGGTTTGAACTGTAGGAGACTGTAGATGTAGGAAAGGTGTTGGGTGTTGACCATTTGGAATAGAAAAGATCAAGAAAATATTGTTGGTTGGGAGAAGGGAGGAGCAACTTTAACTTGTCGTAAAGGTGGAACACATAAGACAGGTCAATATTTATGAAAATAGGAAATAAAATATTCTTGAAGTTGACAGAGCCCTGAAACGTTAAATATGTATGATAAAAACATACTTAATTTAAAATATTCAAAGAGGAATACTAAATTTTTTTCATATACATTCAAGAAAATATATAAAAAATCATTCCGGTATTGTGTGAATTATCATAAAGATAGATAATTAAATTGAAAATAATTAATAATAAAATAAAAATTTTGGAAAAAATATACTTATTTATTTTTAATTATTTTTTTTTTGACTGGTCACCCCAACCATTCTTCTCTTCGATAATAAAATAAATTAATAACAGAAAAAACTAAACCACCACTTTCTTGTTAATTCTAATTAACAGCTCTTGTTAATTATTTTAGTGGTTACCAATTTATTTCCTTTTTTATCAGCAATAAACAGTTGCAACCTTATTGATATCACTAATTGGAGTAACTCCTTTATATTTGTTGAAGAAAATATTTTTTCAGCAATATAATAGTAATAGCATGTCCTTCTATTATGTTATATGTATAAATCATTATGTTATCCATCTATGTAAAATTTAGCATTCAATTTATTTTATAAACAATAGATCAATTTTATTTTGTTGAAGATAAGTGATTATAGTGACAAGATAAGTTGAAGATACTATCTGTACCATAAATATTTGCTATTCTGATTTCCAAGTTGAATTATCATAGATATCAGTACACTCTCAGTGAGTGTTTGAATATTTCTTTTTTGTAATCTTATTTTAGACAGTTATACAAAATAAATATTCTTTATTAGTTTTCATTAATAGAAACTATTAATTTAATCCTTTTTCATATTTCTGATTAAATAAATCTAATCAGTAGAAAAATTAATAATTGATAAAATTATGCAAAGCATTGATATTCCAGATTGAAATGATTATTTTAAAAATTGTTTGATCAATTACTAGGTAAGGTAAATTTACTTCACAGGCTTATAAAATATTCAACAACAAAAAAAACTCCAAAACGGTAATTTATAGAAAATATAATTTATTAGTAAAAATAAACTTTTTTATGTACATTTAATAACTTTACAAATCAGTCAAATGATTTTCAAACCATTTAATTCAGGTTGTTAAAAAAGTATTTTGTTAATTAATAGATATATATTGCACTGTTAAATTTATTGTACAACCGTTATTTTTGGAAAACCTTTACGGAGAGGTGGCAGCTTGCGTTTTGCTACACACTTGTCTTCAATTTTAGTACCTGGCTTCAGAGTTGGACAACTGTTGACATAGCAATGCCTGACATGTTTCTGAAACGTCAACTGAAGAGAATGGTCTCCACCATCTGGCGATACAATGAAATCGCACTTCAGACCTTTTCTCATGCAACACTCTGTTACTTCAGGATGAACAGTGAACAATTCACTAATATCTGACAGAGTAACATTAGATTTCTGAGACACCATCCCTGTGACAAACAGATCATCAATCCAGAAATAATTGAAATCTCTAGCATGGCTAAGAAGCTTTTTCACTGCTTCAAGTGTCACCACGTACATCCAACCAGAAAGGAAAGAAGGATAATTTTCATCTGGGTATTCATTTCTTGTCACATACCACTTGTTTGCCTTGACTCGAATGGGCCTCATATCTTTGAGAACGTAGCCCATAAGTTGGAATTTCTTATTTTCAATAATGTCCAACAGGCTGTACAAGTCAACTAGAATATCATCATCAGTTTTTATGACAAATTTAACGTTTTTACAATATTTTGTCGCCCATTTAAGACCCATAAGGTGCTTGTAAGTGAGGTTTCTGTAAGATTCAACGAAATTCCCCTGAACCAGATCAGAATATTTTTTATTCTCGTCGACAAGGGCATTTTGACTGACTTCATGGAAAGGCGGAAGCGTTGCCAGTAGAAAAACTCTTGAAATGCCTAACCTATTCAGATCAGAGGAAGGATAGGCTCTTCTGATGGCGCTTCTGGCTTCTACGTTTCCAGAGTAAGATGTGACTATCTGGACGTGTGTGATATTTCTTTCACACGGTTTACCTTTGAGGATGTAGTTGAAGTTGCGGAGGTCAAGGAGTTCTTCTTCTCTACCAATGTAGCCGATGTTAGGAAGATAGACCAAGTTGTCATTTGCACTGTGCTTGATGTAACTTAGATATAGAAAGAACAGCAAACTCAAACACAGGATGGACAGGCATGTATTCCTGTGCCTCATATTTCAAGTGACCATTCTGGAAATGTTGACACACCCGAACTGGAGCACGGGAGTTGACAAACGAAAGTAGTTGAACTTCAGCTGACCTTGGAAGAGTAACTGGTCCAACAGGTGTTACTAGTAGTAACTTGCTACTATACGGAGCGGTTCTATAGTTCTGTCTGTAACAGTTCCAGCTCCATAACAGGTTTACTAGTCACAAGAGTTCAGCAAGGATTACGCGTGGTTCACAATCACTTCGGTCACACTTGTTCGTGGATTGCCGAATGCGTTCGGGTTTATTCGAAAGGGAACGAAGGCGACCGATCTCATGAATCAGTTATTATTAACTTTCCCGCCATTTAAGTACTGTTCAGTTATACACCAGGAGCCGACTTATATTCGAAATTTAGGCTACACATCATGAAACCTTAATCGAACTTGTACATATATTAAAGATCTGTGAAGAATAAATAGTAATAGATAAAAACCTTTAATTATTATATCTCTGAATAATATTTCACGATATTATTATTCTTATTCATGATTTTCATTATTCATTATCTCGGAATTATTAGATATTAATTCCTTCCTCGAAAATAAACACGATATTTTTTTTTGTTGTTGTTTAGGAATGACTTCAAGTCACCATTTTCGGATTAGCGAGCAAAATAACTGCGAATAACAATAATTGCACATCTAATTCATTCAATAAAAATAATAGCGATTAAAACGAGAAAATAAATTTTAAGTCAAGAGTATTGTCCAACTAACTGGCACATCTACGGCTCCCGTTGGGATTGAACATTTTTGGAATAAATATTTATCTATATAACGATTAATAGATACATTTTATTTATCAATTTTGTCCTATTTTCTCGCCCAATCTTTAATCTGATTAAAGATTAAATGTGATTAAAAGCGACCTTGACAACTTAATAGTGGATTCTTATATCTAAGAAATAAAAAAATCGATGAAAATTTTTAAATCCGATAGTATATTCATGGAAAGTTCTGACGACTAGAAAATAGTTGATCCGTATATTTAAGAATTCAAAAAAGTTATATAAACTTTATGCTGAATCTCAAATCAGGCAATATATGCATACAAAGCGGCCCTACACCAACTAACAAGCAGTAGAATCTAGAATTACTAAAAATTCAAAAAGTTACATAAATTAGATAGACGATCACGCAATTCTAAAAAAGGCTTGCTGAAATAAATTATAAATACAATTATTCCAACTTCTATTCTATGAAAAAATCTAATAACTATTAAAAAGATAATAGATAACTTCAGATTATTTATTATCCAAATGATATAAAAATCTTTTATACACAGTGCTAAAAGGTAATATACAACAGTATATGCGTATTTACAGCCAATACATTTAAGCACGTGTCAAATCAAATTTTATTTCTAAAAAAATTTTTTTTTTTTTTTAACAGACCTTGAAACTACTCAAACATAATTTTATATATTTTTTTCTTTCACAGTAATAACCTTTATAATACAAATTAATAATTAACAAATTAGAGATTACATAATTCGTTAATAAGGAAATTCCATGAATGGAATACTTTTTTTTTCATAAATGTATGAAAAGGGACAGTATGGTGGGCGCATTAACTGACGCCATAAAATACGGCAACATTCTCCTGTTTTCGAGATTCCATGAACAAGTGTGATCGAAGTGATTGTGAACCACGCGGAACTCATCTGAACTAGTTCCTAATTATTGTTTCAATAGGAAAAAAAAAAAAGAAAAAGAAAAGCACAGAGAAACAACCATTTTACATATTTGTTTGTCCACTGTTTGTGAATATCTAAATGTACCATTAAAATTTATTTATATATTCTTGTCGATACTATATATGCATTTAATTTTTTTTCCCTACTGTAGTAACGCTACAGAAGAGCATATTTTTAGAAATATACCATACACCATACAATATTATTATACACCATATTATACGCATTACATTGTTATTTTAAAAAAAAATTGTATTTATTTTTTATATTTATTTATTTTTTATACTATATATGTATATATTCCATCGCTAACATATATATTTATATTAGGTTGTTACAATTAATGTATATATTTTTATATACATATATATTCCACTATTACAATATATATTCATATTCGGTTGTTATAATTTATATCTATGTTCGACTGTTAAAATTTATATATATTCTTCTGTTGTTATAATATATGTATATAATCAATCATTACAATATATTCATATTCCGTTGTTAAAATATATATTCATATTAGATAGTTACAATATATATATATATATTTTTTTTTTGTCGTTCCAATATATATATATATATATATATATATATATATATATATATATATATATATATATATATATATATATATATATATATATATATTCATATTTGGTTGTTACGATATATATCTTAATTTTTGTCTTTACAATTCATATCTATAATTGCCTCGTTAAATTTATATATATGTTTTTATCGTGGCAAATATATATTCATATTCCATTGACACAATATATATCTTAATTTTTGTCGTTACAATAAATATCTATATTTGCGTCGTAACAATTTAAATATATATATTTATGTCGTTGCAATATATATTCATATTCGGTTGTTAAATATATATCTTAATTTTTGTCCTTACAATTTATATCTATATTTGCCTAGTATCAATTTATATATATATATATTTTTGGTCGTTGCAATATATATTCATATTCGGTTGTTACAATTTATATCTAAATTTTTGTCGTTACAATTTGTATATATATATATATATATATATATATATATATATATATATATATATATATATATATATATATATATATATATATATATATATATTCGTGTCGTTACAATTTATATCTATATTCGCATCATTACAATTTATATATATATTTTTCTCGTTTAGACGTTTACCAAACTCAAAAAACCACAAACAAAAACAAACAAACCAGCACAAAACAAATATAAACAATCCCATGACCTTTTCGAAATGGCGGAAAGCTGATACTTCTTCGACTATTGCATTTGCTGTAACTTATTATAATTATAAAATAAATCGTAATACTGCAAGAGGAAATGGATAAAGACGTAATAATAAATAAATAATTAAAAATTAAATAAAAAACACGTCGAAGGAGATTTTGAATGATGAAAATTCAATAAAATCGTACCAGGTAACCATTTATATTAAATTATTTATGTATTACAGTGTGGCAGACTGTATTAATACTCAATAAAAGATTTTAAAAAAACTTATGGATTATAGATTATAATCAATTATTATTGATTCAGGGGGTTGGAAAGGTTCTGTAATTATTTTTTACAATGATTTAAGTTGAGAAATGTATTTATTTATGAACTTGAATCTTTTAGATGAACTTTACTCCAAAACTAAAATAATTTTTTAATGTAACAAAATACAATGAAAGTGGCTGTCTTGGATATTCAAGCTGCAGATAAGTTTTCTTATAGAACTATTATGTTATTTCTGAAAGTTGGAAGATCGTGATCGACTGACGTAGAAATTTTAGTCAATACCGATATTTCAAAAGCTGATATACCGATCTGATTATCCGTCTATCTTTCTTATTATTTTTTTCTTTCGGTCAATTTTCACTGAGGATATCCTCTTTACGGGTCAACTTGCGATATACCAGTATATCCCCCTTACATTTCCATTGGTCATGGGTCTTACCATGTCCCCTGGAAAATATTCCTTATTCATGATAAAACTTTTTAATCTTTTGCCTAGGGATGGATAACGAAAGCATATTATTATATATACTCTGTGAAACTATAATAATTAAGGAGACCTCTTTGGAATCAGATAAGAGTTTAGCAGTTATCCCAAGTTCAATTTGTTTTATTTTAAGTTTAAAGTTTTTATTAAATTTGATTTATGTTTTTTCAATGACTGAAAGTGCGAATATATATAGAAATTGAAATCTTGCTTAATAATAAGTTTATTTATTTATTTATTTGTTGTTTCGTTGCCTCTACCATGTAGGCTCATTGGCAACACCTTTAAATTACACTCTGTTGTAGAGTTTTATCACTTTTAAAAATCTTAGAGTTTTTTTAACTGCTTTAAATTATGGTATTTAATATGAAATGTTCATCATAGCCTCACACAGACTTCTTAAGAGTAATTTCTGTGCTATATTATATTTACAAATATCCTGTAGTTCACTTAGTGCATGAGGAGATAGTAGTTAGACAATAATTATTTTAACAAACGGCCCAACCTCAAAATAAAGTGTTTTTTTTAACAATGATTAATTATTTATTTCAAAATCGAGTAAGGCCATTGCCTCCATTTTACTTCTAATTTCATCATTTTCCATATCAGGATTTAATGCTAATTATTCTGTCAGTCTCTAAACTTTATTATTAAAATTAAAATCGTCGGGAACAATATTATATAGAACAGAAATTATGTGCACAATAAGAGACATCTTTCTTAATCTTTTGTTAAAAATTGTCTAAATTTATAATGTCTAAATATTGTTGACTTTAAATCTAACAGTAGTAGAAGATGGTTAGAGTATGCTAGGAGATTAAATAAATATAAAAACAACTAAGATCTCTCATTTTATTGTGCCCAAGTTTTAGGGCTATACCAGGGTGCATTATCAAACTTTAAGATCGACTCAAAACTTTTCTTAAGAAATAGTTAGTCAGTTTTGGAAAATGGATCATATTATGAGATTTCAGAAATAATCCTCTATTTTGGGTACTGGATGTATTTTGAAATTCACAATAGAAATTTTCACATAGTGACAACTTGTCAAATCATGGTTAAAGATTCTATATTTGCTAAATGACAGTTGTCTTAGGATGCTGAAGCCTATAGCATTATTGAAGGCCTAAAACTTGGGTTGAAACGTTGGAGCTAAAACGTGAGCACTCTGTAAAATGAAACCTTTCATATTTGTTTGTAATTCAATTTCTGACTGCACTCCCAACTAACTTCTAGTAATGTCTACGTTTATAATTTTAGAAATTCGTTCAAATCCTACCAATAATTAGAATAAATAAAATGAAGAACATGGTAGAATAAAAAAGAACAATAACGTGAAAGATTAACAAATAACATTATAAAAAGTAAATATTTAAACTGCAAATTAAGATAATACTTAAAACTTTCATTATATTATATAAAATAAAACAGGAACTCTAAAAATATATAACAATTTCCAGAAACACAGTAAACAAATATAGACAGACTAACATCATATTGAACATTTGTAGTTTTAACTTTATTGTTTTATTAATCCATGTACATTAGGATTCTTTTTTATTATATGTTTAACCTGGTTCTAATTATTAGTAGGGATTGATAATTATGTACAATTTTTAAATTATAAATGAAGACAAGCAGAAGTTGGCTGTGGGGGGACCAGAGATGAAATTGAGGACGCGGTAAAATAAATATTAAATTTTTAAAAAATAGTATTTTTAATTGTAACGCCAACATTTTTACCCACCTTCCAGGTCTTCATCAGGGCTACAAAAGATACAAAATATAAAAGGTACCTGGTGAAAATAAAATAAATGAATTATAAGTAGATATTAAATAAGAAACAGTTGTCTGATAAAGAAATAATAAAATGACTCAAATCAGAGATATAGTGGGTGACAGTGTAGTTAAAATATCAAGTATTTTATATATATATATATATATATATATATATATATATATATATATATATATATATATATAGATACAAACAAAAATAGAAAATAAGTATGAATAAAAATAGAAAACAATATATTCTCCTTTGTTTTCTATATTTATTCATCCTTATTTTCTATTTTTGTTTGTATCTTCTTTATATATAATACTTGATATTTTAACTACACTGCCACCCACTATATCTCTGATGTCATCTAATTATTTCTTTATCAGACAACTGTTTCTTATTTAATATCTGTAAGGTGGGTCAAAACGTTGGCGTAACAATTAAAAATATTATTTTTTAAAAATTTAGTATTTTTTTACAGCACCTCCCAACCAACTCCTTCTCATATAATATCACGGTCAACCATCTTTACATCATAATACCTATAGATAAGTATATTGAAGTTACCACAATGTGATATTTAAAATCAACACCCTAGCCATTATAGATGATTTAATGACATCACATAATGAAACCCATATTCCAAAATCTTTTAACTATATTATTTTTTTAAACTTACATTTTGAGTGAATTTTGCTACCAATAGATCATAAATCTATTAAACTCCTGAATGTCATCAGGATACCTTTTTTATATTTTAATTCTTTAACTCTAGTATTTTATAAATAGCTCAGCCTGGTCAAGGCGTCTTTTTTTTTTTGTGGCTCACCTTTATAATACTCAAGAAATAATAAAATGTCCTGGTTACTCCAGTCTCCCATTTACAAAATGACTCCTAAACCTACAAATAATTTAATTAACATCCAAGGTCCATCAACCAAACTATAGAAATAGGAAAAGAAATAATTTGTCTAATTAACAATGACACTAATGGTAAAGCCAAACTACCCTTTTGGATTTCTCTTGTTTTCCTCATTTTCCAAAGGAGATGGAAAACACAAAAACAAGGAGGCAAACATTTTAAATAGGGAAATAATCATAAATATTTGTATTTCTTTAGTTTGTGAAATGCCTTAACGCAACTATTCAAACGGGCACAAACTATGGTTTCTTAAGAAAAAAAACAAACAAAAGTATAGGGAAACAACCATTTCACACATTTGTTTGTCCACTGTTTGGACATATCTAAATACACCTTAAAATATTTTATCATTGTGCAGATTTGACCCTTGTTCTTTTTATAATGATGCAATTGCCAAATGGCCAGAATAAATTAATCAAATTAGTCCTTTATTGCAATTTATTGAACGTTTCAAGGGAAACTTTGCCCCCCTCCTCAGTAATATATTATTTTCACAAATTGCAATCAAATACTCATTTGATTAATTTACTCTATCCATTAGCCAAACGTATCGCTGTAAAAATATTTTAATTTAATATTATTTATTAATAATTTATTATAATACGATGTGGTTAATAAGACAAATGCAAGAAAAGTATGAGGAAATGAATACTGGGCCGCTATGGAGCAAGTGCTGGAATGTTTGGAACGACTACATGGAACCCGATAAATTGGCGGAACTGTTTGGAGTAGTTATCGTATTCATTCTCTACCTCAATTCCATAAACAATGCAGCAAAGATGTATTTGTAATCGTTGTTACAGATAGTATCCAGAAAAGAAATTTTATATATTGCAGTTTTGATATTGGAACAATTTAGAAATAAAGTAAAAACGATATCTGTAAAGGAATATTCAAGTTTTCAAATACCAAAAAGCATCAATAGAAAAGAGAAATTTTAATATTGGTGCTTAAAGAATAAAAATATTAATTTCTATGATTCCTGTCTATATAAATCTGGTGCACGCATCACAAAACTTTCATTTACCGCTCTACTTTGAATAGGAATTCTTTTCTGCAATGTTGGTCCATTATAATAAATGACTAATGTAACATAACTTAAAATAAGCAATATTAAATTAAAATATTTTTACTGATACATTTGCCTAATGGTTAAAATAAATTAATCAAAGGAATCTTTGATTGCAATTTGGGAGAATAATATATCGATAACTATATATTTTATAGTTGGAACCACTGACTTCAAAATAAAAATTTTATTAGCTCAAATGAGTAGCCTCAAATTATAGAAATTATCTTCATATCAACGAGTTTCAAACTTGATTTCCTTCTTTTTATTTCATAACCACTGAATTACAAAGGAAAATTAATTAAATAAAGTAAAAAATTAACCCAATTAAAGTCTTAAGCCATTTCAAAACCTATATGAGCCAAATCAACTCAGTATGAGGTAATTTAAAAGCATTTTTCACAGAAAAAATGGGTTCTGTTGATGAAGAACACATAATTAATTGTTGTAAAATTAAAGAGACTTAAGATAAATTTAATTAGTAAAAAGAAATTCCCTCATAATCTGTTATTAGCAGTAAATCTGTAATTGTATATGTGCAGCATTTATAAATTTAATTTCCTTTATAAATAAATAAATATTGTCTGCTTTATCTTTTGTTTTTTTATATCCCTTTATTGATCAAATATGTTTTCTTTTTTAAGCTAAATCCTTTGTTCTTCAACCAATTGATAATTTGTTGTATTTTATATATGTTTTTATTTACTTAGTATATTCTACGTGATAAAATTGAAAACATGTTATTACCAACAATCTCTGATTTCCCAAAAAAGTAATGAAAAATAAATAAAGTAAGGGGAATCTTACTGGGAACTTGTATTATGGACTAATGGAATTCAGGAGTGAGGACTATTATTTCAATTTATCATATTATGATTATTTATTAACTTAATTGATAACAGGTATATCGACTGGTAAATAGAAATTTTAAAATTATTCAAAAACTAAGTTTTACCATTTGGAAACAAATACTTTCCTATCAACTTTAAGAGGCTTAAAAGTGAAATGAACAATTTTTTTCTACTGCAGATGCAATATATAATATCGAAATTACGGTAAGAGCTAAACCATTTCATAAAAAATAAAATATCTTATTATCAATGATCAGAAATAATTCTATTGATCTCTGATCAAATTTTGAATTATTTAAATTTTTAATATTGTCTGTTGCGGATATGTTGAAGAGGAGTTGGTTGGGATGTTGAATCAAAAGTTACAAAATAAAAATGAACATATTATATTTATTAAATTTATATTAAATAATTTATATTTATTGAATTTACATTAAATAATTTATGTAAATATAAAGCAAATGTTCAATATCTAAACAGCACAATATTACAGCAGGACAATTGTATACTTTTTATTAGGTCTTTATCCACAAAATGCCTGGTAGCAACAAAAAAGGATTCATTTTATGGAGAGGTCCAATAATCTCGTGTTAAGGATATTTTATGTATATTAATCAAAATATTTCTTACGGAACTAATAAATTGCTCATATGAAGCTGGTATCATAGTTTTAGATATTTTTTTATGGGAAGGTAGCAGATAATCAGGATTTAAGGCTTTGACAAAAGACACGAAACCCATGAAGGGCTTCTCTTAATTCACATCATCTTAATATTTGAACAAATTCTACAAGTTCACCATTTATATTTAATCAATACAACGAAAATAATGAATTTACGAACAAAAAAAAAGGAAAATTAATTTTTAATAATAGGGAAAACCAAAAAAGGGACAATGTACATAACCAACTGATATGCATGAAACAGAACAAAACTAATTAAAATTGGAACTAATGAAATAGGAACACTGGCTCATGTTTGATACATTTAGTAGGCCACTGTGAATAGGGTGGACAGGAGTATTTATTTAATGAGAGTACTATCTAATGTTGGCATATTCGTTTTTATTTGACCTATTTTGATGAAATTAGAAAAAAAAAGCATGGAATGGAAGTCTTTTGTTCAAAATGAGTGAGAGGAAGTTGTATTCCTTGAATAAAATGGAACTAAATTTAATCCTCACCCCTAAATTAATATTTTGGAAAGAGAAGATGGTACTATGTTTTTTTTTTTTAAAACAAATAAAAAGTAAATATATGACGTGAAATAGACTCTTATGGTATTATCAATTATTTTGTGACCACTATGTTTAAACAACAAATGTGAATATAGCAACTTTTCATGAGACCAAAGAAGAACTTATATTTTAGTTTTAAGTCTCACATTATGGATAAATTTTATCTCAGAGCCTTTTTACTTCATTGAGATCAAGATTTGTGGTAATAAAATTTTATTTTACATAAACTACTATGTTGAATTAATAAAAGTAATTAATTCTAATAGCGCGATCTTTCAAATTTTTTACCTGAATACATTGGTTTTTTAAAAAAGTGAGTTTAACTATCTAATTTACAAGTTTACCCTTATCCACTAGAGAGAGAGAAACCCTTTATTTTTATATAAACTATAAAAGATAGCTACCCAATTCTATTTAGTTGCTGTATACACAGCATACTCGTTATATGCATAATATCCCATACTCTATGGATACTCGTAAATAAAAGAAGACGATTTTAAATTGTTTTAAAAACATTTTAATTTTATTTTGTAAGTAACAAAATAATTATTACTGAAGATTGTCAATGTATCCATTATTATTTCTGATTAAATTGTTATTATTTATCAAAACTTATGAAATTAGTTTTATTTGAGTGATACAATCATAATCTGAGGTGTACTAAAATAAAAATTGAGATCTATAATTTAACCAAACTATGATTTATAAGATAACCAACAAACCTTTGATGTAACAACAGTATACATCGGCAGCAGAGACATCAAAGCAAGAATAGTGTTGTTTTTTTGTTTTTTTTTTACATTAATTTTAAACTTCATATAATATTTATGGAATTGGTAGCAAACACATATGAAGTAGTTATGAATAAATACGATTTTTATTCAATAAATTGTTTAAGTATGATTTTTGACATTTTGATTTCAATTTTACATGACCCAGTTCCAATCACTACCAGAAAGTTAGTTATCCATAGTTATCTTTATTTTTACGAATTAATTTTCTAGTCATTACAAATTTTTAAGTAGAATATTCAACATAGTTGGACAATTCAACTTTCTTAGTATTCTAGATCTCTTAGATGGATTGTGTATGTTGGATGATTAAGGAACTTTTCATCATAATCAGGAATAATGTAAACGATGAGCAAGTATCTTTTTTATTTATTCAACAAACACAGAAGACCAATACACAATTAAACTATAAACTAAACATTTACTTAACAGTACAATACATTCCATATTTATAATTCATTATTTTGTTTTTATATATATAAATTTAACTTTATGTACTTGTATTTGTTACTTTGTGAATGTATATTATAAATGAGAAAAATGTTGTGTAATATTATAAGTGGATATTTTTATTTCTCTTATTAAATGCTGTTTGTATTATTATTAGTTTGGTGCAACAACACATTGACATGTTGAGGCCTCCGCAATCAGCAACCTGTAGAAGTTTCTGTCCTACGCTACTGCCATCCAGTTGTGGACTTCCAAACTCCTCGCCTCCCCAGCCACCCAGTCAATCCATCAAAGTCGGGGCTGTTTTTAATTTTGTAAAATATATTATAAATAAACACTGAACTTCGGACTGTTTGTTATTCTACCTTCCTTTCCTTTGATTCAAAAAGAAAAATAATAGAAGTAAGTAACGATAAATCACGTGATGAGGATGTAAATTAAGTAAAATAATATGTATCTCTATTATTATTTATATTCTTACTACTCTCTTTATCCTTAATTTACTTATATCGATTATCATTTTGTTATTTATTTTTATCTATACTATATTCATTTATATATATCTTGTATAACTGATTTAATTTCATTATTGATGAATACCCACCAGTTTGAATTCAGAGTTGTATTTGTTATTGTATTACCAATTGGCACAAGATAATTTTCAAAAAATATCTTTAAAATGTTAAGTTGAATATTTAATAGTTGACCGTTGCATTATAAAGGAAGGAGATCGTCTGGGGTTGCGGTCATAAAAAGGCTAAATAGTAATAAACTAAAATAGTTTTACCACCATTTAGCCTTTTTATGACCGCAACCCCAGACCATCTCCTTCCTTTAAAATGTTAAGATTTCAACTACCAAATGATTTTAAATGAAAGCCATTGTAAAAATTTAAAAGAACGACATTGAATGAGAAAACAAAGAATGCATTATATCTTATGAACATGAACAATTTAATAAATATAAAATTGTGAAAACTTACCTTTAACATTTGAAAAGAAAAATAGCAAACAGCTTAACTTTGAATCAGATATACATCTTTAGTTAATAATACATACAGAAATCAGCATCAGTATTTGATTATAAAGGGATAATGGAGGTAAACTTAAAACAACTCTTCACAGAAACACATTTATTTGTTTTATTCTACTATGTATCACCATATATATAAAAATACATAACAAAATGACTACATATCCATAATATTTATAAATGAAGTTCACTGTCACTAGATGCATTCAAAATTCCACTCATTTCCAACACTTTAGAGAAATATTTTTATTTATTTTGGTCTATTATGGTTTACCATATATTTAAACATACATAACAAACCATTTCATATCTCTATTTATAAATAAAGTTCACTGTTGATACCTCTAGCTTTATTCAATACTTCACTTCACTCACTATAAATGCTTTTGAGAAATTAGCAATAAATAATTAACCTAAAATGTGAAAGAATCAGACACAATCTTAGACTATAAAACAGTTAAGATAATAAATTTAAAGAAGGAACCATTTCATAGAATTTCTCACGCGCAGTTTTAAGTTATTAACATATTAGGGAAGGTTCTGGGGCCTTATCAAGTTAACAATTACATTAATAAATATTTAATCAATATAACAAGACGAAACCAACAATTTTAATGTTCATTTATAAATTTAAACGAATTTTGAATAATAGTTTCCATAACTATATAAAGGTAGCAGCACTATCTACCAAATCGTTTGAATGACAACTTTAAAACCCTATAAAAGAGAGCAGCACCATCCAATAAGTGTATAAAATGAAATAGTAGTTCCAAAATCCGATAAAAGAGGTCAGCACTATCCAGGGGATAGGGTACTCAAAAGTAGTTTTTAAAACAGCTGTAAGAGGCCAGCACCATCCAAAAAAACTACAGAGGCTTAATAAAATTATATATATATAATATATTAATATTAATATTCTTAATATTAAATAAACTTGTGTAAAAGTTTTATATATTACAACACAAATAAACAATTGAAAAATGAAATTTTAACTTTAGGATGTTTGTTTTTCTATCTTCCTTACGTTACTATTTATAAATATATATTTTTTTCGTTACAATTTATATATATATTTGTGTCGTTACAATTTATATATATTTTTCTCGTTTAGACGTTTGCCAAACACAGACAAACCAACACAAAACAAACAAAAACATTTGAAAAATGAAATTTTAACTTTGGGATGTTTGTTATTCTACCTTCCTTTCCTTTGATTAAAAAAATAAATAAATAATAATAGTAAATATCGATAAACCACGTGATGAGAATATAAATAAATAAAAATAAAATGTTTTTCTATTATTATTTATATTCTTACTACTCGCTTTAACCTTAATTTACTTGTATTGATTATGCAATATATATTCCTATACGGTTGTTACAATTTATATCTATATTCGCTTCGTTACTATTTATATATATATATTTTTTTCGTTACAATTTATATATATATTTGTGTCGTTACAATTTATATATATTTTTCTCGTTTAGACGTTTGCCAAACACAGACAAACCAACACAAAACAAACAAAAACATTTGAAAAATGAAATTTTAACTTTGGGATGTTTGTTATTCTACCTTCCTTTCCTTTGATTAAAAAAATAAATAAATAATAGTAGTAAATATCGATAAACCACGTGATGAGAATATAAATAAATAAAAATAATATGTTTTTCTATTATTATTTATATTCTTACTACTCGCTTTAACCTTAATTTACTTGTATTGATTATGCAATATATATTCCTATACGGTTGTTACAATTTATATCTATATTCGCTTCGTTACTATTTATATATATATATTTTTTTCGTTACAATTTATATATATATTTGTGTCGTTACAATTTATATATATTTTTCTCGTTTAGACGTTTGCCAAACACAGACAAACCAACACAAAACAAACAAAAACATTTGAAAAATGAAATTTTAACTTTGGGATGTTTGTTATTCTACCTTCCTTTCCTTTGATTAAAAAAATAAATAAATAATAATAGTAAATATCGATAAACCACGTGATGAGAATATAAATAAATAAAAATAAAATGTTTTTCTATTATTATTTATATTC